TTACCATCAGTAGAATGACACCTTTCTTTTAAATATAAGTCTTTTGAGTATTTTTATTACTACCAACAATTAATCTATCCCATTTTCAAACATTTATATGTGAAGATAAAATATTTCACCAATATATTTTTCTGAGTGCAAGTCCAAAATATTTAGAAAATATGTGCACGAATCGGTCGTCAATTATAAAATATCGCCGTGGCGGTGTATGTCTTAGTTGCAAAATACAAGAATAACCACGGCGCCGGCGAGTTTGATGACTTTTAGGTGTCGTTGACGTGCTTGCCTATTTTTATAACTCTTCTTGACTGCCGCTTCAGTCTTAATTGCGATATCCCAAGAAGTAATGGCTAAATTAGTAAATTTTAGTTCGAGAGTCATAAAGTTCTGGCGGTACGCCAGTCAAAGCAGCAAATGTGTATTTTAATTGCGAATAAAAAATAAATCACCGCACTAATAAACCGCATGAAAGTTGTAAAAAATTCACAATGTCTTTAAAACGGAAAATAACATTACCAGTAGAGAGAAAGTTCCCATATTTAGGTTTTTCATAAGACCACAGTAGTACGTTTTAGGTGTCGTCAAAAATAAATTATAAAAAAACTCGATCTCTTCGACGGCCGTACCGCCTGTAGCAAAACGTAATATCACACTTCTGATTCAGTGAATTTGAAATAGTTTATCTAGTTTTTGACAAAACTGACTGGTATTAATATCCTATTTTTTTTTTTTTTTTAAACTAACATCTCGTTATTATAAAGAAGTATAAAATCAAATCTATCCATTCATCTAACTTCTCAACAGTTATTCCTCATTCTACTCAAATACAAATAATTTTATTCTATATACAGGCCATATAGTCGTACACCAAGGTGAATAATATACTTTCAAAAATACACTTCAAATCAAGTTTTTTCAACCAGTACAAAGACAAAATCATGCTAAAAACTAGGAAAAAATGTTATTTACATTACTGGGGAAGGGAAGCCAAGGGGAACCAAAACTGGTTATCGAGCAGCGACACCCAAGGTTCTAACATTCAATTCAACAGATTGGGGAGGAGAGTTTTAAAATTACTGAATTTAATGATAAATATAAATACCATATGAATTTTGCCATAAGACCAGGGAAAAATTGGCGAATCCCCGTTTGCACTGAAATAAAATCCTCGGATTCATTCGACCTCGACTCTGCTTGATATACAGTCTCCTCTGATTCATCATTATAACATTTCCGTATTAAAATTATTCACCTACTAGCGTACATCAGCGTCATAATAGATTGTGACAATTATCTTCGTGCGTAATTGTATGACCACCCTGTAAAATGAAGTTCCGAGATGGGAGTCCTAAATAGAACCCAACTCAGAAAACAGAAAAATATTTCTGAGTATATCAGAGTCTACCCAAGCAATATATAGATAACAACACACAATTAACAGTTGCCAAATCTTTTTTACTATTACGAACGATACAAAAAGATGAACGAAACACGACGGTAGTGAAAGATAGATATAGATAGATCCCATGTAAGTAGTAGTAAACCTTATATATACATAAAAATACAGTAATATGCTCTACACAGCATAATTCTTACATAATGAGAAATTCAACTCAATTGATTACTAAAACTATTATCAAAATAAACTGTAAGCGAAGAATTTTAATTTTTGACATTTTAAAAAATCGGTGAATACTACCGATATTGCTCGCATTGTTACATTTGCTTAACTTAAACTCCTAAAATAAATTCTATATGCATCTGAAAATAACGTGAATGCGATATAAATTAGGATTGCCATACGTCAGATTTTTCCCGGACATGTCCGGGATTCTATGATCAAGTTTGCGTTAGAGAGAAATATTAAAAAGTGCTTTTATGTCAGGGATTTTTGAATACAGAGAATCCCTACTACAATCGATATTGCGCATCCGTGAAATTGATTTTTCGAGACAGAGATATTTCACATTGTTGCTTTTGATATAACGTAAAAGATAACAAAATTTCTGTAGGGTAATTCTTTGTGTGTTTCAAAGTCGAAGAAGAGCTTGTTGAAGAAGATAAGATCTTCGGAAAAATGTGCGTAATCCTACAAGTATTGTTTGTAAATCGCTCTGCCTTTATTTCTTGTATTTACGTTGTAGTTTATCGTGTAATAACTCTATTTGTATTGTTCTTGTTTGTATTTGCTATTTGTATTTTATAAATGTTATTGTTCACAGAAACAACCTACATTTGATTTAGTAAAATGCAACAATTTTGCTCCTTTTGGTTTGTTCTGTATTTATCTATTCTCACGAGAAAGCGACGACAGTTTGTGCCTTTGGATACCTTGCAAATTTATACCAAAGTATAAGTGTTTTGGTTGAAAATTGTTCCACGTGGATCATTAAAATTTTGTCAGTGATTTTGTTTTTCAGATATGGTCACCCCAATATAAACGAGAACACACACATAAAAAATATATATTGGCAAAATGAACTAAGTATTAATGTTCAGTACAGGATACAAGAGTAGCCACTGTTAGTGTTTGCCTCTTGGAAGTTTTTCAAAAGAAATAAAAAATAGCGTAATAAATATACTTCTGGCGTCTATATTATACAGATATCTAGCATAAAACTTTGCACGTCTTTTTAAAAACGGATTAAATATTTCTACACAAAACTTTCTTATCAGCACAGAGGGGCGCACCGGGCGCCGCCCATTTTCGGTACTTGGGACTGCTTCTGAGGTAAAACGTGGTTCATAGTCTACGCTTGCTTTAGAAAAATGTCATCCATCGGTCCAGCCGATATTGTGGAACCTGAACTATTGGATGAGTCTCCTTTCAAGCCATGGTGGGGAAAAATAAAGGAATATAATATGCGAGGCATGTTAATTACTTCATTCCTTCTGGTGTTTATCGAGACAACGGCATCCTCGACAAAGTGTGCGCCGAAAAATGCATTTGCAAATTTGACTTTCGAACAATCTACTTTATCCAATGAGTTTTGTCAATCGCAACGAGGTGTCATGATAGATCTTTTTGGAGTCTTGTCATTGGCGACCTCTGTTATTTTATACCTTTGCTTTGCCATCTGGATGCTGTCCTCTGAAATAACAACGATGTTTTCAGACGTAAAACGAATTGACAACGAATTAGGTAAGCAAAATGTGAGCAAAGACGAAGTTGAAAAAGCTGTTACTATTCCTCAAGTCACCAACAAGGTCGATAACAGGGTGGAGATGTTACGGAATATCTGCTATCTAGTAACCTTTAGAAACTTTGATAGGCCGCAAAGAGCGAGAGATAATATCAAGACGTATTATCTGAGAAGATGCACTCTGGCTGGTATTGTATCGTTCATTGCATTTATTCTTGACTTACTTTTCGTAATTTTTTACTGCCCATACACATCCAATGCATTTGAATGCATTCTTTCCGAAAGAGAAGCTACGGTTGTTGGAACCAGCTTATTTCTGTGCTCTGCAGACCTGCATATTAAAATCTATCCCTTTGCAATAATCTTCTTGTTGCTTTTGGGCGTTTCCATCGGTATTTCTCTATACGGAATTTATTTGCTACAAAACTTAAAAATGATGATAATAGTACATTCGTACTAGAATTTAACAAATCCTCTTGCAAACTCAATGAAGCTTCGATAGCAATACTGGAAAGAGTAACTGACCAGAGAGAGGTGACAGAAAACATGAGAAAAAATCTCCGGAGACTTGGATTATGCGTCTATATTAGCCAATACGCGAGATTTGACGAATGTTTGAATGGAATAAAATATGCATGGAAAACACTTCGAGTGAACAACAATTTTCTCTCAAAACAGGATAGAGAAAATTACAAAACATACCTGGACGTTCATCAAGCGGTATTTGAGTTCGACAAAGAAATGGAACCTACAGATAATTGCTGCTTTGATTGCGAAAAACGCTTGAAGACAAAAATTCAAAACCGACGGGTACGGCGGATATATGTTAGAACGGCAATATCAAATTATAATGACATTAAAAATGGACGATATGTCGCTGAGCACTTACTATATTGGGCTTTGAGAGACAAGACAAAATATGCTGGTCTTCGGGACAAGCTTGCAGAATATCTTCCACGGATAAACGAAAGAAAACAATATTATATTGATAAGTTGTGCGAAATTTTGGAAGCTTGACTTGTGATTAGTTTTTATCGATTCCGATATAGGGGTTCTCAACCTTTTTTCTGTTAAGTACCCCCGAGTCACGAAACAATCAACGCGAACCCCCAGTAATCAGACACCAAACAAAGTTGTGATATATTAACTGACAATTTGTTGCAACGGCAATTTATTGACCAACTGCTGTAACTAAATTTAATATTTGTGCTGATGTTATTGTCCTTGTCCTCGACCTAACTAATGAATTCTTGGGATCTCTCTCAAGTTTCGATGCATATCCCTTTCTGCAATGCTCGCATCAAATTGTCTTTTGAGATTTCACAGTTTGGCTGAAAAGCTGTGCAATTCACATTGTTGGGTCACAATCACAACAGCGCTAGATCAGGGAAAATCTACGCTGAGTTTCAATTGGCATGCATTTTCATCTTGTAGTTACTCAGTTTTCCTTTGTTAAAGGATATTGAAAAACACACACACATAAACTCGACTTCCATCCAAGTACCCCTGAAAATCTTCTCGCGAACCCCAGGTTGAGAACTCCTGCATCGGATGCAATACAACTTGTTTTCATGATTTCCATTTTGTTCAAACTGATTGTTAAAAACTGACTGACTAATCTAAAATGTTATTTGCATAATATATTTATAATACCCAATATAGAGTGAAATTCTTCAGTAGCCTACATGAAACTTATATTTTTTACCACATTGAAATTAATTAATTTTTAGTGTAGTCATTCTTATACTGAGGATGTAAGACATACAAATATGAAAAAACTATTTCGATCTCGCAACCTGTAAAGCCTCCATTCCGACGGAAATGAGAGAAAGAGTGTCCCGCTATTCATTTGATCGACGGCTGAACATATACCACGAATTAGATTTTGCGTCGAAAAATAAATTTCATTTTATTCGCTTTCATTTTTTATTTCATTCACGTTAACAATTTATTTGTTATAATGAAATGTAGCAGAATATTGCCAATTACAATAAACTCGCACAAGGTAACTTGGGTATTTGCAGGAATAATCATTTTTTCAATATCGGGTCTGTTTATTGGCCTTGTACTTTTACACTGTACAGAGACTACAAATCACATGTCGAATATAGTATATATATGGTACTCGTCGGTGTAGTCGTTTATTGCTGTTTCAATCATTTGAGTGCCAGTCAATCACTGGTATTCGTCAAAATCCAAACTAGCGTTTAATAAAAACTTCCCAATTTTACTTTAGAATGGTAGGAGGTCAAAGGTTACGGAAAAGGTAGCTATCAACTTGCTGAGGAAACTCCGCACTTATATAAGTGTGATTCGTTTGCAAATGTTCATAAAAAAATAATGATCGAAACTTCCAACAAAAGTTTGGTTTCAATAGGCCGCTATCAAAATATCAAACTCAAGAAGCAATCCACAGACCAGGAAATGAAGTCAGCGGCTTATTAAGGCGATCATCAAATGAGATTAAATCAACCCGAACAAACATGAATCGACCAGTTTATCTGTGCCACGAGCATTTTGGCTCGGGTGATGTCGACGGGTAATTGAAGCATTCAGAATTGAACAACTTCACTTCCTCATGTTTCAAGGTGGAGTCCGCCACCCTGAACAGACTATTTCCTCGGAAGCCAATTTAATAAACTCTTCTATTAATGCTACATTTATTCGAAAACCCATTGCGGAAATGCCTTCGCAAACAAGGACTTTTTGCGAAAATAGACGTTAAACATGAAAGAGCTCTTCGGTCGCCCGTAATCTTTTCTCGGATATCACCCCCTTAAAAGTGCGCGCGACCTTGTTTTCAGCAAATTTTCAAACGACGGTGCAAAGTTTTCCTGGTAAGCTGATAGGTTCCATTTCTGTAACCTTTGACCTAGCACGCAGAAGTTGAATTCGACATTATATATATGCAATTCGATAATCACCTTGTCACTATCTGTAGATAATTTATTTTGATGATGCAATTAGCAAAGATTTAGAATGGTGACATTCAACTAATCAGAAACGATGTTCATTAAAAAAGAGAAATTTAAATAAAGATGTAATGGATGAGTAGAAAAAGTGTGGATGAACTCTCAACTATAATTATATTGTAATTCAAAAAAGGATATTTACAGTGTATAGACATAATCTCAGTTTTAATCGGTAAGTATGGAGCTTAGGTAGGCTACGATTAGTTAAAGATAATTTTCACTTCTTCGCTTCACTACGTGACATACTAAAGAGCAGAAACAGTTTCTTCGGCCTTTTTAACCGTGTTGTTGTCAAAAAGTTCATTTTGGAACATCAAATTTCTCTTTATGATTTTGGCGTTTTTTGATTTGATGATACGCCCTTGCCACGCCCACAATAAAAGGAACACGATCAGTATAAATCCAAGTACAAGACAGAAACTAAACATGATATAAATTGCAGTATCGGCTTCAGAAGGCGTCAAAGAAAGTCCGAGACCTTCTCCAATTGGAGAAATCGCGCTCGGACATGTAGATTGGGAAATACTGGAGACTGTTGTTGACGAAACAGGCACAGGAGTTGTTGTCGAAACGAGACCTGGTTGAAATAATATAGATTGTAAATATTAATTAAAATCTGGCTTGGGGGAAGGTGTCGCTGACTGGACGACTCATTGAGTCTTTCGCGACCGCGCTTCAATTGCTGTGAATCAATGTTTCATGTTTTTTAGATCACCATGTTTTTTTTGCTATCTATTGATAGTTGCACGAGAAAAATATTGAAATCTGGTAAATCGTACAGCTTCCTTCACCATCAAGTCCGAAACCAATAACTGGCCTACATCGACATGGACTGATAACCGGACGAAAGATTGTGATTCTCTATATGATTAGGTCGTCTTATCGACTTTTTTCTCTCATGATAAACATGAAAATCCCTTGTATTCTTATTATGGAGTATTCCCATATTTTTCACAAGGTTAAAAAAACATTCACATGTTTAAAAATAAAAATAAACTTGAAATATTGGCTCTTAAAAAAAGAAAAATAGTACCAGTGGTTGAGTGCCGTGGGTTCATATTAGTAGTTTGAAACATTCATGATTTGTCGGATGATGTATAGCTTCGTTCATATGGCCATTTGCTACTTGCCTTGACTAGAGTGAAACTTTCCATAACAGAACAAATAATTCAAAAATTGAATATTTGGCAAATTCCACTTTTTCTCCAAAGCCTATTTCCAATGAATCTTATAATTGACTAGAGATTATAAAAGTCAATGCAACAATAGAAAATATCTCGGCAACAAACCTTTAGGAAACTGAGAAACAACCTGGCTCCATAGATTATTTTTTTCGATGTTATAATCAGTTGGATTGTTCAATGGCTGAATAACATTTGAATTCATTTCCAAATACGATTTTCTTTCATTTGTATATTCTGTCCAAGTGTTTGATGAAAATGCGTTGTTTGGGTTTCTAAAAAACGGAAAATAGGAATTTAAGAGAGAGTTTTAATGTTTTTTTGATTCATTGAAACGTACGCAGCCAGGATTTGTTCATTTTAACATAACGCCATGCATTTGGGGGGGTGGACATGGGGATCCGAGCCAAATTTTTCAATCTGTCATGCTAAAATAGATAGGACGAAAGTGGTGACCTTTTAGTCCATAAAATTATTCATCAAAATATTAATCTAAACTAAACAATTTCACTTCAAAATTTAATCCCTAAAATTTTCATCAACTATAAATTTTGATAGAATTCAAAAAACCACTGAAAATAAAATTCAACCTCACCCTCCCCACGCAAAATTAGTCCAATATCCCATTATTGCCAAACTGAATTCTCTGTCACTGTCCGAAAACTTCGAAGGTTGTGTGAAGGGTAAACCAAACGTGTATATGACGTCATCACCATGACGTCCTCCAAGCCATGTAGGTAACGATGAAGTGTTAGATAATGCAAGAGGTCGAATAAGAACATATTGGTAGAGAGATCCAATTCTGAAATAGAAAATGACGAGACAATGCTTTAAAACATAATAACATCATAAAGCAAGACTCTTCAAAATCAGCAAAAAGTGATCCCACTTTCGTCTTCCGAAAAATCTATCGAAACGTAATAAATTCATCTTACCCTGACTCCAATTTTGCTTCCAAACTTTTTGATGAATCAACAGCAAACATGAAATCAGTAAAATATTTGACTGAAGATTCAAATTCAACATTTTCTGTTTCATCCCAGTTTGTATATTCGTGTGTAAGTGTGTTGTATAACTCAGGAGACCATTGGTCAATTTCTCCACCAATCAGAAATCGATATGTGTCTTTTATAGCAGTTTGAAGAAAAGTGCTTTCTGATTGTGATCTGCCTACTGAATCTGGATATGCAGCCTGAATAACAACATTATTGACTCAAGTTGAAAATCTTCGTTATTTAATTATATAGTTTAAATCAAAAAATTAGCACAAAATGGGAAATTTGTCAAAGTTGTGTCATAATTAAGTCTATCATTTGAAAAATTAACGCAGTGTAACCAAATTCCTGCGGCCTGAACGGGAATAATGTTGTCTTATTTGATATCATGGCCAATTAACTAGTTCAATTGAGACATTAAATATTTGACACAAAAATGTAGAACTTCAAAGATTAAATGTAGAATTTGAAAAATTAACATGGTGTAACTATGGTACTAATGCAACAATGTAGTAAAGATACCCAGAGAAATTAAAAATGGATTTCGAACGTAAAATTTCAAACAGAAATGGGCATGTTTAGAAAGTTTTCTGTGGAACAAATTTCAATAGTTATTTTAATCTTAATAATTCTTATACCCCCCACTTGGTAAAAAATGTTATATTGGCAATATATCAATACAAACATAATGATCAATAAACAAATATGGAACACAAAATTTTCAAATTAGGATATCTCTCTAAAAAAAAATAACCAGTATTTATATAAATACAGAGATGAGTGGAAGTCGCCAAACCCCCAAAACACAAGCCAAGTCGAGTCACAAGACAAGCTGAGTTTGTCACCAATGGAAGGTATTTGCGTGCGAGTTTAGGTTATTTTATTCAAATGGTTATAAATGATGACACAAGTCTTCCAATTAAAAGTAATAATATAATTCACCTTCAAATATCTGAAGAATTCGTGACTCGTTGTTCCAGTCATAAAATCAATCTCTGATTCAGAGAGTAATTGTGTCATATTGACGTCATTTGGAATGATGTCATCATCAATTGTAAATCTCCAAGTGCCCCATGCATTGCTGATGTCATCAGAGTTTGATGTCATTGGTTTCAAGGGCATTGATTGGACGATATTATTTGCGTCCAGATTACGTAAGCAATCTAATGTTTCAGACTCGTTTTCAAAGTTTCCGCAATTGCTTGATTCTGCCACTGATTTAGCGATGTTTCTACATTGATCTGGATTACAGAAAACCCAGGGTGAGAATATCGATCCACTTTGACTGATCGATCTTTTTACGTGGGATCTTGTAGATGGTAATATCGCCTGTTAAAATAAAATAAAGGAATTTTCATATTTCCAGTGGTAGAGACTGTTACTGTCTCTTGCTCGGTTATCAGTCCATGTTGGATATGGGAATATGTAACCAGTTATTATGGTTTAGATACAAAAACTTTATGCTGAAGGAAGCAGTAAACAACCAGTGCTTGCATTCACCACTCTTTGTGAACATGAACCCAGTAATCCGTTTGCACATAATTTTTTCCCGATTGGATTTGAACCAGCGAGCAAGCCTATGAGCCGATTGCAAGCTTGATTCCAACGCTTAGCAGAATGTGTAGCTGAATAATAAAAGTTGTTATTTGCAAGTATGAAACTCACCAATAACTCTGCTGCTGCACTTCCGGATCCTTGTCCAATCATCGTCAATTTTTCAGAATCTCCGGCAAAATTTCCTGCGTTTTCTGTTGCCCATAGCAACGCTTGTTGGAGATCAGAAAGTCCGTAATTTCCCTTCATTACGTCATTTTCAGTTGTTAAAAATCCGAGCGCTCCGAGTCTAAAACTTGGCCGAATTATCACGACTCCTCCGAAACTTGAAATGTATGATGGATCTAAGGTGTTGTATCCAGAGTTCCACCCTGGACTCCCTCCACCACTCCAAAAACTGCCAACATATTTTCCGGGATCTTCTCCGTTAGCATCACCATGAATCCACATCATCACAGGTGTCGAAGTCGTATTTGCTAAAATAGAAAATCAAAAATTCTAACTTTTTGAATTCATCATTCAGAATGTTAAATAGGTTTGTTTAATAAGCAGTGTAAGCACCTAAAAACAAATAACTGGTTAACTGATTCCGTACAGGACATAGACTGGTAACTGTAGTCCGTCATATGATTGAACCGTCCTAACATCTTTTTTCCCCTCCGGAACAAATATGTTTATCCTAAACTAAGCGGTGATATTTCCTATGGAATTTTAAAATGTTTCAATTAGTGCGCATGAAAAAATAATCTAAGATAATACTTGTGCAGTGTTATGATATGCCTGAAATTTGATAAAACTACTTGCGACATCCCCTTGGCTATGACATCTCAGCACCTTTCCTCTCTCAGGATGAATATGAATGAAAAATATTTTCCTGTGAATACTCACTTCCGATCAATCCTGTAGGCATAAAAACATCCAGATAAAGACAATCTTCATCACCGACAATATTTCCATCAGATGTTGTTTGAAGACAAGGAGGTTTTGGAAGATTTGCTTCAAGTATGTTTGTCCATGCTGTAGAATTAGAACGAGTTCGAATCATTTTTAACATCCAGAAAAATTTGTAAAATCGGTCGGGCGAAAATGGTTCCATAATTTAATAATGTTGAACGAAAAAAACAGTTTTCAAATTGAGGAAAAATCGTTTTGAATATTTGCAAAAAACTCATTTTTGCAGAATTGAAGTATAATTAGACTATTGATCATTTTCTGTGAGATTAGAGCACCTATTTCAGGCGCTAATGAATAGGGAATATTTATGAAGTCAGCCATGCAAAAATTAAGGAACACCAAAATTTGTTATTTTGGACGAGCAGACCCGTTTTCTTTGCCAAATTAATGTGAATTTTTGTAAAAAGCCACTTTTTGCAGAATGATTTATTTGGTAAATATGAATCGTATTTAAAAAATTTAAAAAGAACTATGATAAAAAAAAAAGTCACCCATCAAAGAAACCAAATTTTATCAAAATCCTCAATAACGCTCTGAAGATTGTTCAAAACTTCATTTCTTCGTTTGCTGTCATTATGGGTTTATCATGCTGCATCTCCCATACAACTTCATTTCATAGTCTCTAGCATGAAGCTGAAGGATTGAAAGTTATAAACCCGATCCAACTTACGATCAGCTTTCTCTGATTTAGCAAATCTTCTGTTTCCAACCGGTGGTTTTGCAAATGGAATTCCAAGAAAAACATGAACGTCATACATTTCATTCTTCATTCTCATTCCACGAATTCTTCCTCCACTCGTCATTACTAAAGGATTGTCCGGGTCAGTTACAGGAGGGGTAGGAGTTGTTGTCTAGAGATACAAAAGAAACTGTGTAATTACTATTTTAATATGTATTTTACAGATGGATCAGCTGGCTGGGGTGATCACAGGTTTCGGTGACAGGGCAAATGTAGTCAAACGAATCTTCCAAAAACTTCCAGCTATTAGGAAATTCGAAAGTCGTTCCGACTACCAACTCAAGGTTGAGAAAATTGTTTGAACTTTAGTGTGAATTTGAGAACTTTACTAACGCATCAAATATGATGGAAAAGTTAATGTGCCCCCCTTCAGGGCCAAGACAGACATAAAACTTTCACGTAAAATCTTGGTTTTGCTATGAATTTCACTTCAGATGTTTTTCAATCTATTTTAACACATAGCGCGTACACAGATTCGAAAGGGAAAAAAATCTTACTTCCACAATTTCAATTTCGCAGAATTCAGCTTCAGCGATCAAATGTTCATTCCAGAAAGCATTTTCAGTCGGAAGTAAATTTTGCAACATCATTGTTTTGTTACCAAGATCAAGTTGAATGTAATTCTTCGCTGAAAATGTAGGTCGTGACCCCTTGTAGTCTGCCCAATTTACTTCCGGGTCAGGGTCAACAGAATATCCTGTATTAGGATTCCTAAGTCAAAAAACAGTGTAAAATAAGGGCAGAGTATCAAAGTTAGACAATAAGAAAAATGAAATTTTGAGTTTTATACTGTATTATGTTACGTTAAACAAAAATCTTTTTTGAAGCGGCTCCAACTGTTTTCAGAACGAATCGCTAAACTGGCAGTACTTATAGGTACGAGCTGAGGGTTTTAAGCAACAGAATTTTTCATGTTTGTCAAAGCATGTCATGTTCCACACCATCAATTAGAGTTCCACTCCAATTAGAGCCTTATATAAGCGTCTATCATTCCACACAGGGGTAAAGGAGCCACTTACATTAAATAAAGCCTTAATTTTTATTTAATGTTTTCAAAAAAAATGTTTTGCATAAGCGGGCATTGATATATATAAGACTATTTCATTAACGTGGCAGGCATGGGGTCGGCCAATGTTCCCTCTTAATTTTTTGTAGTATGTGTGCGCAGAAATTTTGGTGTGTGCGCACTTTTTTGAAAATGACTTATATTTGTGCAAAAACCTATGAAGAAATTTTGGCGTTCTAACCGGATAATGGGTGGGCCAACAACAAATTTTCTCAACCTGCCAACTGAGAACATTGTTATATTACATCGAAATACGTCTGTGCGCAGTAAATCTATGCGTGTGCGCGGCCTCTGAAAACTATGGTGCGAAAACTGAGGTCGGCATAAAATTTTTAATGTGTAAAACAAGCAATGCAACCAAATAAGTATTTTTAAATTTAGCCTACACTTACCCTGACTTAGCAAAATTGCTCCAATACTGAATTATTTTTCTGCTCAAATCTTTAACTTCTTCTGGTTGTGTGACATCATTGATGACATCACCAAATACAAAAGAAAACTCAGCTGAATGAGCTGCGCCAGCCCATGACGGAAATCCATAAAAATCTGGCCTAAAAAATAACAGCTGAATTTATTTCCAGGATTTGAATGAGTAATTAAGAAAAAGGAAAAAAAAACAATATAATATTAATTTGCGCGCAAATTGGCGATTTAAATAGCCTATCACACCTTTATTACTAGGAAGTTAATGTTATCACTTTACATCAGGGGTCAGGAACCTACAGCCTGCGAGGTAACATAATCCGACCCGCGTCGCTTCACTGAACTATAGTCACAAAACAGCTGTTTTGACGAATATATTTTTCACGTTACACAATTCATTGTGAGACGCGTATAGACTAAATTATATTATAATCTAACAAGTATAAAATTCACAATTACTTGTTTAATGAGCCTATGTATTAATTATAATTAGACAAATGGCAACAAAACGCAGAGAAGTTGATGCTTAGTGCAAAGGGTTCGATGGTGCCGAATGTGCAATGCAATGAGGGAATAAATCAATATTCTATTCGAGAGATGTATCACTGCTTTATTTTGATTATAAAAATTATTATCCGCTCGGTTTCCAACTTTCTAAAAATATGTGTGGCCCGCCAATGACTTGCAACCATTATTTTGGCCCACGAGCGACCCCTGCTTTACATAGTGTCTGACTAACTAACTATGATCAATGGCCCCCCTTTTAAAATGTTTCAATCAGTTACTTCGAGCACCAGTTCAATAATAAAGGAGCCAGCAAAAATAAATGAATCACAGTCAAATATCACACAAGTTACATTCAATTTACTTTAAATTAGTATAGTCATTGTGAATGGCACACTCAAGAAACCCTGGACTAACCTGTCATGGGGATACGTGAAATAATAAAAATAAACTTCGGCTCCGAGTTGGACATAATCATCTGCAATTTGTAACGCTTGACCGATGTATCGTTCTTGACCAAATAAATTCGTTAAATGAATTTGCATTTTCTGAAAAAGGGAAAAAATTACGATTCAGAAATGGATGGAAAGCAGAACAGGAAAAAAGAGAGAGGAAGGAAAGTAACCTGTTTATCTTGAAAGAAATTTAAATCATCGTAATCAGCATATTGTTGATCTATTAAATTTGTTCTCCAACCATAAGTTGCTTCCAACCATTTATTGATGACTTCATGGAATTTCTCTTCATTATTAACAGTTTGTACATCACCCCATCTTACACTCCCATCTCCATTGTTTGCACCTGATAAATTGATAATTAAACTACATAACAAAAAAAAACGAGAAAAACTAATATATATTATAACTAGATTCGAATGTTACCATTTAGCATAAAATAATGAGCAAAAATTAAAACATATGTCTATGTGTTACACTGTCCTTAGAATGCCGTCTCAAAAATGTCATGTCAATAGCCCATCATCGCATAATAAAAAGATTTAGAGAAAATCTAATACATATTCTAACGAGATTTGATTGTTACCATTCAGCATAAAAGAATACATATGTTACCATACCAGGGCATCATATAGCTAGCAACGCGTTGCGTTGTCATTAAAATGGTGTTTCAAAATTGTCTTTTACATGCATACATCCAAACTGACCGACTCGCACCACATTTGTACCAATGTCTGATTGTAAACAGACTAGCTCTATCTTTTCTCTTGTACTACTACTTTAGTTTAGGACAGGAGCGTAAAACCTGCAGCCCTCATGAAGAAGTGCCAATTTTGAATGTGCGGCCCGCAAAACAAGTTTTTATTTTAATTTGATATGTGCAAGTAATTCCAGTTCTTAACTGCTAGCAAACAACGTATGTCACAAAATCAGAAACCAAAATTTTTGTGTAACTACTAGATAGCCTAGATAGCCTAAGTGCAGCCCACGGGTTACCTAGTTTTGTCTATCTGGCCCTCCTGTATTAAAGGTTGCACAACCCTGGTTTCGAGTATATTATAAAAAACTTGGTCAGAGAATATGACATTCGGTACAAGTGCAACACGCGTGGAGCAAATACTGTACACAATATTTTTGAGGCGTCTAAGAAGCTTTCATGAATTGGTATGATCGCAAAAAAGAGAAAATAAATTTCTTCAATTGTCATATCTTGCATTTCCTTTCTCATAGCCCAATCTGTATTTAATATTGTAGAAGATTTGTCGAAATAATCAATATTTTACCAATAATGTAATTCCAATTTTTGACTCGATCTTCAGTGGCAAGTTCTCGTGGATGAATTGGAATAAATTCTCCATCAATTGTTGGAAGATAACTTAGTCCTGTGGAAGACTGAAAAGTCAGCAACGATGCTGCGTCAAGATTACGTAAACAATTGACTATGACATCATTTCCAGAATTGACGTCACAAGAAGCGGCTTGTGCTAAGCTGAAAAAAAATGACAATTTACATATGTTGTGTGCATAAATGCAGACTTGGATAGAGCTTTGTTTGGAAAGAAAGAAACTTACAAATCACAAAATATATAAACCTGGACATCCCAAAACAAAAAAACGAATATGATAATATCATAGTTTGTTAATTTTTTACAAATCAAAATTTTCATAAAAAACTTGAATAAGGTTCAATAAAAACAATAATATTTGTAATCCAAACCTAACAGTTTTATCGAGTTGTTTCATGTCATCATACGGAAGAATCGAAGAACTTTCAATAATCGCTTTACTTATTCCTAGATCATCGTTAGTTGGACTCAGTGATTGAAGCAAAACACTCTGACCTCCTGCTGAGTTCCCAAATATTGTGATTTTATCTAGAAAAAAGCCAAAAATAGTGTGAACTACTTATAACTCTCCCATATTCTGTTCAAAATAAAATTTCATGTTATTGAGAAAATTGGTGGTTATAGGGTTTGCACCAATCGTCTTACATTTTTTATATATTTAACAATAAAAAATTCAAAAATCTACAGTGGACGACGCGAGCATTAAGAATACGCTTGCCATCGCAACTCTGATTACTCGGTATGGGTAAGCAGGTTTAAATAATGTGGAAGATAATTGTGTGCAAAAGGATTGCTAGACTCTTCACCGCCGTAGGGTGGTTAACTGCTGATCGATGACCATCAAGTCCATGAATTTGAGACAAATAACTGGTTAATTAATCCAACATCTGGCATGGACTGCTAACCGGACAAGAGGCAGTGTTTCGCCACATGATTCAGTCTTCTAATTGGCTTACCTCATATCAGGAATAAAAATGATATGCCATCCTTAACCTATCCAATCTAAAACCTTATACAGATCTAAGGCATAATTAAACATCATTTCTCAAACAATATTATAAAATATTATACCAATGTTTACCTGGATTTCCACCAAAATTTCCAATGTTATCTTTCACCCAGTTCAAAGCCATTTGTTGATCGAATAATCCATAATTTCCTCGAGAATATTCATCGTCAGTTGTTAAGAATCCAAAACTTCCAAGTCTGTAGTTGAAATTAATCACAATAACGTCACCAAGTGCTGCGAGGGTGTCACCTGCAAGAGTAGATATCAGAATGACACTCAAAATAGTTGATGCAGTTCAAACCGAACAGGAACCGCCTTCTACAGAGGAGAGTCCCTTTTATGTCTTAACTAAACAATCGATGTATGCTAAACCAGAATATTACAATCTGAAACTTAGCGTTGAAAGCAAAATGTATGGGTGCCGATGAATTTCAGATTAGACTTTAGGTAAAGAGTTAAATAAAGTAAATGAGTACAGGAGATCCAGTGCAAAACTTATGTTCATGCAAAAGTTAATTGAAATCCATGCTAGACTTCAGTCATTTTACAAATGTTTTTTTAACTGATTTTGCTCCTTCTAACCCCTTTTATTATAGCACATTTTCCCCGCATCATAACTTTCCTCCTGTGCATACCTTTCAATTTTTCCATTCCGTTACCATTTTGATATCCACCACCATGAATCCAGATCATAACTGGCAACCCTGCTGTCGTATCAGCAGTAACATTGACTTGAGGAACATATACGCATAAATACAAACAATCCTCGCTCATCGTTTCATCCAAAACTGAATTTTGTGGACAAATTTTTTGATAACTCGTTGCATTGAGATTGTCAGACCATCCAACAGGTTTTTGTGGTTTTGAAAATCGCAAGTTTCCTGAAATAGAAAAATTTTTGACTGAACATAAAGCCTTGATAAACAAAATAGCCTGTGTAACTTTGGTCTTATAAATTCATTAAATTTTGTCATATATTATTTCAAAGCAGTGTAGGATAGAAGAATTTAAAACCGAGTTTCCCTAATACCAACTGAATGACTTGGTCTTCTCGAAATTATTAAATTTTGTCAGCATTAAAACACTTTACAGCAGTGATTGGCAGAGAGAACTCAGATTGAGTGTTAAGTTGAGTTATGGGTCATCGAAGTCTCGAGTTGATTCCTAAGTTAAGCCTCATCAAATTAACAAGTACGAACCATTCCTATTTAGATAACTTGAATCACTTATTAAGTAAATAACTCAAGTCTGATTTGAGTCAGTAATACAGAGTGTCATCTTCAGTTACAGATTCAACCAGAAAGCCAGTGACTGTTTATTTTTTCTTTACCTATTGGAGGTTCAGCATAAGGAATCCCAAGATATCTTTCAATTATCTTCCCATTAGACTCATATTCATATCCTTGTACGCATCCACTTTCTGTAGCTCGTATAAGAGGATCTGGTGGACATGTTACTGCTTTGAGCTGAGCCTAAAAACAAAGTTATGACAAATCCTACATCATCTATCTGAGTGCATTACATCTCAAAATATTCATATTAGCTTGTATGCAATTGAATTGAACTAAGTTATTCAATAATTGATTGTTTTTTTATAAGAAAAAAACTTTCAGGGTGAATTTATTAAGATATTTGTTTGCCCATTTGCACCTATAACTTTACAAGTAGCGAAAGTACTTCAAATGGAAGGGCAGCATTAATAATAATCTACCTATGTCTGTTCAAATGAACTTAAAACAGAAAGTTTATTATAAGATGTTACATTTTTCCCTGCAGACAATACTACAACAACACGCCGCAAGAGGCTTAACATTATCAAAATATTTTTCCCAACATAAACTGTAACACCTGATGAGGTGGTGAAGGGACTTGTGGCCCTTGTGGACAAACAATATCTTTTACTCAAGATCTTTAATCCGTGATCGCGTAACTTAAACAGTTAGCCAATGATATATTATCTAGATCAGTGGTCCTCAAACTTTACGTGCCTACAGACCCCCTATAAATCCCTGAAGTAATCGCGGATCCCCACAATTTTTAAACTGTAAACACGATAGAAAAACATAGCATAGAGCGATTCAGACAACATTTAAATTAGCTACCACTCCTCACGTACACAAATAAGTAAGCGGAGACGAAGGGGATAGTGATTTTAAATGCAGTGGCGTTTTGCTCACAACTACTTGTTTTTGTGCGATATCCGCCGCCGATATTTAAACTGAATTTTTGTTTTGCACTCCTCTAAAAACTACTGCAAAAAGCACAGATGTCAATATCAACATTTTTTTTATAAGAAAGGCCTTATTTGGGAAAAGTCCTAGTCGATTTTTCACTGTTTAGCCATTTTACTGCTAATGAAATGAATGCGAATATTTACAGAACCGGGAGTCTGACAAGATCACCGAAATGCGATCACGGAACCACGGCACGAATTTGTTAATTTTAAAGACGTCATCAATCACACAGATATTTGAAGTGAAAAACGAATTCCATAGAGCATACAGAATTTTTTTCAAATAAGTAAAAGTAATAGACAACAAAATATTATAAACCTCGAAAAGTTTTGAAGCATTTGATACTGTAGTTGAACAGAAAAGAATTTTTTTAAAAGAAGAAAATGCAAAAAGACAACGTTAGCCTATGATGCCAAAACTATAGGCTCTTGCGGCCCCCCTGATATTCCTTCCCAGGGGTCCTGAGGGGGCCGCGGATCCCAGTTTGATAACTGCTGATTTAGAAGAAATACTATGCTAAAATTTTGACTTGTTTATTAAATAATCAATATCATTTCAAGCAGAAACTGTTTTCTTGTGATTATTCAAACTGACCTTAGTATTAAGTTTTTCTTTATTTGTAACTGAATTAGGAATCTTAGATCTTGATCCATCAGCTGGACATGGACCAAGTGGAAGAGTCCAAATATCTTTTAATAAATCTGTCCAGAATTCTACGATCTCTCCTCTAAATAAAAAATAAAAAATTCTATTCTCGTTATTTGTTTTTGTTACGTAAATCGAAAGACAAAACTATTTATAAATAAAACACTTCATATCCAAACAAATGAAATTTTTCCTCAGTGAGAAATTAGGAAAATGTTATTTTTTGATACCAGTTTTGTAAAATAATAGCAAATTCTTGTACTGTAAGTTTCTTATGTTTACCAGTACACGATTCTGCAGTAAAATGACTGGCATTTTATACTTGCCTTCTTGAGGAAATTTCATATTTTTAAGAATCTTACCTGTAATTACTTAAAATAGGAGTATATTTTTCTGGTTCAGATGCAGTGCTGGAATTGAGTTCAAGAGCATATTTTGTATCAGAAGTAAATTCAGGCCATTCTGCAAATATGTCGCCTTGGTTTGGATAATTGGGATTTCTAAAGTAAAATAACACTTTTAAAAATAGTCTGTCACATCAATTTTTTTCTGCTGATTTAACTTTATATAAATGAATATTTTCTGCTAAAACCCAAGTAATTATAAACAATATCAACCTATTTTAATCAACATATATTTTGTGTAGCCATTGATTGCTACATCCTAACAGTCGTATAGCAATGCATACACAACTGATAAGATACAAACGATATCGATACCCAGATGCAGTTTGTCAGTATAAGCACTCAAAAAATTGACTAAACCCTATCGTTCGCTTCTTACCACTTATGCCTGTAATGTATTATTCGTGTTTTATAGCCCTTAGACCAGTGTTTGTCACACTTTTCAAATCTATCCATTTTAAATAATTTGTCAAGTCTCACATCCCACTTCAAAAATAACTAGATAACAATAAGCTACAAATATCAGATAGTAAGGCGAAAATAGATTGACATCTTTTATTCAAAAAACGTGGATGGAACATAAATAATACAATAAATGAAAGTTTCAAAAACATGCAAAATTGGTCACAACATATCTCTGCGATCTTTAAACAACAAAAAAAGTAAATATCCAAAACAAGGCAAGCAAGATCAAACCTAACAACAATTTTTAGGTTCAAGCAGCTTCACTCCTCTTCAAAAAATTGTCTAATTCCCCCCTTGTGGGATGCGCTCCGCTGTTTGAGAACAACTGCTTTAACAATGAAGGTAGATTTTCATCTAGAATTAAAAGTACTTACCCACTCCAAGCAAAATTAGTCCAATAAGTCATGATAGATTTGCTTAGTGTTAACTCTTCGTCGGTGAAGTTTCTGTGCTGTAAAAATAAAATAAAAACAAGTCAGAGAAAGAAATAGAGAGTGGGAGAAAAAATAAGAGGTAGAAAGAGAGGGGAGAAAAGTGAGAGATCTAGGACTCAAAAGAGAAATAATGGGAGGGAGAGAAATGAGAGAAAAAGAAAGAAGGTGAGAGAAAATGAGAGAAGATTTGGTGAATGGGACATAAAAAAAGAAAAAAGAGAAGAGAGAAACGAGAGAAGTGCTAGAATATATTAATATTTAGAAAAAAAAGAAAAGTGTGATATAGAGGAAATATAACTGAATAACTTTTATAATCCCCTTCAAGCTGATATTGGAATTACCATGTTTTAGATGGAGTGATAAACTATACTACACTCCTACCAATGCTTGTGTTACGCCAATTCTTATTGATGACTTCATTTCCATTCCAGATGGAGGTAAGCCGATAAGACGACTCAATCATTTTGTGAACTACCATGACCTCTCGACTGGTTACACGTTGGGTAAGTTGGGATAAATATTCTCTACAGAATTCGAACCCTTGTACCTGGTCAGGATATTATAAGGTGCATTGGAAAGCATGTTCTTAACGTTTAGAGCAAAGCGCTATCCAGGCAACTTTAGGAAAAAAAGAGAGTACTTTTAATATACAAAAACCTGAATAACAAAAACACATGTATTACCCTATAATCATGTCCAAATACATATTCCAATTCCCCTGTGTGATCAGCCTCCATCCATTCTGGCCAGATTGGTATATTCGATTTTTCACTGAATCTATACATGTATGTTCTGCCAGTGCTGTAAAAAAATGTGTATTTTCAGCTAAAAATAAGCAAAATAAACAGTTATAGATGGGCGCCAAAAAATACATTACTGGTTTTTCTCCATAAGATGGTCATTCTCGAATTACCAGTTTATTTTCGCTTCTCCAGAATAGGCTCCCTTCCCAATGGCTTCAAAGAATAAGTTACTTCTGAATAAATGTTTTCCGAACAATCAAAACATACTGACATTTAGGGTTTCAATGAGTGCCATATTCACAAAATTCCATATAGAGCAGTGGTTCTCAAACTACGGGGCGTGCACCACAAAGGTATAGACAAAGGCCGTAGACAATTTTTGAGAGTGCGTGAAGCTAATTAAAAATTAAAATATTTGGTCTTGCCTGCCTCATTTTGGATATTTATTTACGTTCCATTCACATATTTTTAATGTGTTTTTTGAATAAAACATACTTTCTCATTACTATCTGTTATTTGTAGCTTATAGTTAGCTACCGGTAGTTATTTTCGAGGTGGGGCAGGAGACTTGAAATAGCGCTATAGTGTTTATACAGAATGAGAAAAAAGTAGGGTAATGGCCCATCTTGCATGTGTTGATATTAAACATTCAAAACTTACCCATTAGCTAACAATCTTTCATTTGCTGTCCAATAAGTTGGGGTGGCGAACATTGAGTCAGTGTACATGTCAACGATGGCAAGTTTCGGCCATAATGTGTCTGTGGCTGGTTCTGCAATAAATAAACTATTAAAATAGGTTTAAAGTGGCAGTTAGTATTTTGATAAGAGACAAATATTTCATTCTCTTTCGAAAAATGCTTTAGACAAGCAATCATCATTTGTTTGTCGACACAACATATAACTAACTTAAATTGTGTGACAGGAGTCGTGAGGGACCTGAGTTGATTTTGTTAACTATTGATCAACCAGTTTAGATTGTTTGGAATTACGTCAATCAGAAAAGTATAAGGCTAATTGTCCTCCCCATGTTTGAAACATGACGGCTGTGCCAGCTGTTTTCATCAGTGATGTCCAAGACATAATATAGAGGATTCAAGATGGGATGTCTAGATCGCCGTGACGTTGGCGGTCACACTTGACGTGATAAAAACAGTGTTTTCTCTCATGAATTACGTTAATTAATCAAACAAATGTGGGTTTCAAGGGACTCAAAATTTTCAAATACTGAAACTTTGATATAAATGGTCCACTAGGTATGAGGAAAACTTTTTTATCCGGATAAAAAACGTGCCCTAACAACAACAAGACAAACAACAATTTAGCAAAGTAATCTAGAAAACCACTCAGTGTTCAAATATAGGTAAGCATATTGTCATAGCCTCACCTTCCCAGTTAATATATTTGAATGCAATCGCCTCTGCAACATGATCTGGTATATTAAGTGCAAGTTTTGTGGTTGCCATTCTTACATCATCACGAGACATTGGGAAACCTGAAAGTAATATTGAATAATGAGTTATGTTAGTGTTAGCCAAGTGAATATAGGCTTCCGTCCATTTACACAACTTGATGTAAAATAGGCGAACAAAATTAATTACTTCCATATTGGTACACATACTTCTGGAGTGCCAAATAATGGAAGCAATTTGGAAATCTACAGAAAAATTTAAGATGATAGTATTTATCTCAGATATTGTTAACTTGGGATTAGTTAATCTGTATAGTGTCTCCCACTTCTATGTAGGCCTATATCATTACTTAGTTTGTAAAAGTGACAATGTATATTTAAACTAGATCATATTCATTGATTCTTTTGTCTAATTCGAATACATTCTCGTCCGATTACAAGTCCATGCCGGGTACAGACAGTTATTAGTTAGCCAGTCATTATTTGTTTCATATGCGTGGACTTGATGGCGCAAGATAATCAAAGGTGCGATGGCAAGCATATTCCTAATGCTCAGCATGATGCGCTATAATGGTGAGGCAGTTTATTCAAAATAATGGCCTTTTAAACAATATATCATCCAAAATTTCTGACTTCCGATGTTTATAGTTGGAAAATGGAGTGTGGCAAACATATGTCCATCCATGCTGTTATGCCCGAGTAAGAAATCTTTATCTTTTGACCCCTGGAGAGTATTGATTGGGTCTTCAGGTATAAAATATCCGTCCACAACTCCAGCCCAACCCTGAAAAATTTGGAAACGTCAGACTTTTAAAAAAACGTCGCACAACAAGAAAATGATTCCATAAACCTTGGCGTTGCGCGCAAACCAATAACAAAAGCTAGTATGATAAGGTCTTATTTTGAAGGTCATTTTATATGCTACATAACATAGGAGAGTGGACATCTCACAACGTCAGGAAGTTATAAAAATATCGAGTCGTTTGATCGCAGCTGCCTCACCGAAAAAAAGTTAGGCGTTTTATCTCGCAAATTCTCCTTGTCTGACGATTATAAGCTTTTATGATTCATAATAAATGTTTTATTATGACTCACAAAAGCTTTCAACGCGATAAAGCACAAACAAACAACCGATCGATCTATCAAGCTTAGCCTGGCCTGATTCGATGTGGTGACTTCTCAAACGGAAAATTTCCAAAACGCGTGAACAACAAGCGCTATGGAAAATCGTTTAGTATCATATGAAAGAGAAAACCAATGTGCAGTCAACTGTATAGTCACATTTCAGCTTTACAATAGCGATAAACGTCCAACAGAAAACGTCAGACTTATTAATACTGCATCCCTAATCTGTCAACGTCATTAGATCAATATTAGACCATTTATTCGCCATGGTATGAAAAAATTACAATACAGAGACAAACACACCGAGTGGAAAAATACACGGAAAAAACACACAGGGCAAAAAGTTACTATATCGACAATCAAACCTACCTTGTGACATAAAATATAAGCGAGAAAACATGATAAAATCTCTATGATGTAGGTTTTACTTTAAGAGCTACATTTTTTTATCTTTTTATATCCGTGATTTTTACTAGGGCCGTAAAAAACATCACATTTTTAGTTTTCAATTATAAGTTTGCAATTTTAAGTTAACCTACCCCATGTTCAAGTGCACCCTCTAATTCACTTGCCACCACTACGTCATTCAATGGTTTATTCTGCAGGCATTTCACGAGTAATTGGTTATTATCTGTTGGACATCCGAGAATTTCAGAAAGTTTTCGAGCATAATATGAAGGATTTCTAATCAAAGTCCATTGTGCTGGAACAACTCCACTCTGAGCGATTCCACGAGAAAACAGATTTGTGCTCACTGGTGACATCATGTGGTAGGATACAGAAGCAGCTCCCGCAGATTCACCTGCATAATATAGAAAATGGTTAATTTGTCATTATTTAATACGAATTGCCAGATTTGTTTACATCCTTCATGTTAATCAATGCCCAATTTTTGATAAATCGCAAAATCACAAGCAGGCTTTCTGAAGGTCCAGCTTTCTGTATTACATAAAACACAAGCAAAACACGGTACCAAAAATGGACTGCTTGCCATTGCCGTTTAGTTGCCATAAGACGGTAAATCAAAGACAATTCTGTATTCTAACCAACAAAAGAGGGTAATCAGACGCGCAATAGCCAGTATGTTCCTAACACTTAGCTCGATGTGCCAACTGTGAGCAAACTGCATACCATTTGCAATAGTATTAACTTGTTTTTGATTTGAAGGAGTATGCAGCTTTCATGCAAATCGCAATTGTACCCACAAAAAGGTTGGTAACCACTGTATTAGATCACATTTACCGAATATAGTAACTTGTTGAGGATCTCCACCAAAGTTAGCAATATTATCTTGGATCCATTGCAAAGCAGCAACCTGATCTAACAATCCTGCGTTTCCTGGAGCATTTTCATCTTGTGTGCTGAGAAAACCTAAACAAGGCAAATGAATCTAAATCGGATATACTGTAAGGGCTTTAGTTTGGGAACCACTGGACTAGTGGTTAAAGAACCAAACTTAATTACATTGTTGAAGATCTGAGACAAATATTAGGTTGACAACGCTGGACCAAAAAATTGCAGTTCAGTCAGTCAGTAGTTTATTTTTCACCAAAATGAACATACACTAGATGCAAACAAACACTAAGAAAATGGCCAATAAAAATGGCCAGTAGAAGCCAGTGAAAAAATATGAAACCAATGTTGGTTATCGAGCAGCGACACCTGTGATAAAGTCAACTTTGATACAGGTAGAATAGGAAAAAGTCGAACAAATAGGTTATTAAAAGAATGAATGTCCGCAAACCAAAACCGTTACAAAAAAGAGACAGTTACTCACATATATTAGCAGATGCTTACACAGAGCTTTGTTCAGAGTTAAGACATTAAAAGCGTAAAAAAATAATAATTGAGAAGTGATTTGTAAAGACATTAATGATTATATTTATACCTATATTTAGGGAACATTTTGACAAGAGAGAGAGAAAGAGATTTGTTTTTTCATCAACCAGAGAAAACGGGCATTGCAACAAAAAAATATACAACAACATACGCAAAGTTTTTTGGTATTGACTGGGGGTATCGATTCGACCATACGATCATTAGAGTCAGCTCCCCCCACTAATAACAAAATCAGAATAAGTAAAATGGTTTTAGTCTTCCCAAATAAGCAATACCTAGTCATCGATTTTGTGTAGTTTGGGATGTAGCCAATAGATTATTTACCAAGAGCTCCAAGTCTGTAGTTCAGTGAAACACCAATAACTTGTCCTTGATTGGATATTTTTTCTAAATTGTAAGCGAACACTGGACCAGTAGATCTTCCTACTGTAAAAGCTCCTCCGTATATCCAAACTATGACTGGTAAAAGTCGATCTCTGGTGGCTGAAACAATTACACAAAACTTTTTTGAAAATGGTTCAACTTTCAACTATTTTAGATCACAAACGAATAAATTAGAAAAACGATAGATGATGGAAGGCACCAGGTCTATAGAGTCAGAGTCTGGAGTTGAGCATTGCTTTATTATTTTGAAGCTCATGTATTTTTCAAACTTCCCAGAGTGAAAGTCAAAATTTTTGAATTTTCCAAATCGAGAATCCAAATTTTCGATTTTTAATGGTGATAATTAAAGTTCCTACAAAAACATTAAGTAGATGGACTATGATGGACAATTGAAGGAAGCTTTCATATAACAAAATTCAGTTATCTCAAGTTAGAATTTGGAAGCTTGAGTCGAAAAAAATATTTTCGAGTCAGGAAACAATTTTGAAATGGCTAAGTCTAAGTGATTCCGAGTGGGAGTTCAGACTCCTCTGCCCTGGAAAGCACAAGAGGAAAATGAGAGCATAAAAACAGCCAACTTCAATATACTTGTGCATATACCCAATAATGGAAAATACGGGCTGAGCATACCCATATCCGACATAGGCAGAGATGCAGGGTTAAAAGAAAAAGATCATTATGAGTCGTTCCCTGGATGAAATTAACAATGCTATTTAATCTTTATCTAAGTAACCATTTCGTTGCTACATATACATGAACTTCAGGCTTGCACTATTGGAAAATTTGTAGAGTGGTCGACGTAAATTGTCTGAAATATTGTTTGTTTTCCTTGGGAACATTAGGTGCATCTTTTGTGATGAAAACTTACCATTTATTCCACCTGGAACCCAAATATTGAGAAACAAGCAATCTTCTTTTCCCCAAGTTCCATTCCTAGCTGCTGTGATCATAGCGCAACCATTGAGCCACTCAATTCCAGAGATTTCTCCATCTGCTTTCAAAATTCCATCCCATCCAGGGTGAGGTTCTGGACGCATGAATCTGGGAAGGAATATTAAAAAATCTATCTTGAAGATAGCTATCAGTCACACACAGAACAATATATTAATTCACAGTAATCTACTTGTTAAATATGGCATCAAAACTGACTGTATTACTAAATTATTTTATGAGCTATGTTGAAAAGAAAAACTATAACATAGGAAAAAAGGGAGGGTGATGTCATATTGGTAATAAAAATTATGACCATTAGGGATTCTGTACAACAAACGACTATTACTTAAAGCAGAAAAATTGACAGACTATTTATTATTAAACATCAATTTCAAATAATCTATAAGTTCACCTCATGCACAAATAACAGCAAAATATTACGACCCAGTAATACAAAACTGCAGTACAAAATTGAATCAGTTAAAACTCAGATTCTAAATCTAACCTCAATTTTCCAACGGGAGGTTTAGCATAAGGAATCCTCATGAATCTATCTGTGATATAATCCTCTGTTCTAATGCGAAGTCCTTGGATCTTTCCTTTGTTTGTTTCAACGATAGGTTGAACTTGTTCTGAGACTGTTTCATTTGATGGCAGAGGATCGGGACGAGCGATAGCATCCTGATGATAAAATAAGGATTGTTATCTTCAAATTGCCACAACAACCTAATGCATTTAGAGTCAATCTATGTTTATCTTGTGTTAGTATGCAGTTGTGCTACAGCATCCTTGCTTCATACGAATCTACTTGTGCAAAGTTATAGTACAAAGAGAAGTACTGGTAGTTAGTCTCGAGTAAGAGTCTAATGCAGTGTTTCCGAACCTTTTTTGGTCGCGGACTATTTTCTCAGCAGGGAAAATTTTTGAGGACTCAACGTGCGTTAATTGTAAAACAAAACTCTCTGTGAAGAAGCAATAAAACCAAAACAACAGAATTTTAACGAAGTCAGTTTATTATCCACATTTACAAATTTCAATGGGAACCATAGCAAGGGTGCTCGTCATTGAGACATCAAGAAATGCTCGCTCTGACAAATTTGAAAGATATTATGCGATCACTGGCGACGGACGATTCGTTGAGGAAAATTATAGGAAGGAATTTGCAGCTAAAATTTCCAAATAAATTCATTTTGATTAGTTTATTTCATATAGGCTTTGATTGTCCTTTGTATTTTTCTATTGACTCAAAACAAAACCTCTTAAATGTTGTTACTGCATATATGTTGAAATCTGATAGAATTCACCTAATGGTATTTCATATTCAAATTTTGAAATGTTACTTTTTCATTATCTGTATTGGTGGTTTGAATTTTACCAAATGGCCCACTTAATCGGTAGAAAGAGTTTTAACTGAATAATGAATGGGAAAAAAAATCTTATATTTTATTTGCCATAAAATGGTGATTATTAAGATGTGAAACTCATGCGAAATTGCCGTACAATAAGATCATTTAAAATTGGAGCAATGGAGTTACAGGAAACAAATAGAAAAAAAAACACAAATAAGCTATACCACTCAATTTTAACGTAAGCGAAAAGTACGTGTGAACTCGTGTTTTTGTCAGAAATCCACAAGTGCTTTGTGCAATTCAATCGTTGGATTCAGCGAGGCTTGATTGACGTGCCATCCAAGTCACATGTTACCAGGTATTATAATAGTTTGCTGTTCGAATGTTTTAACCAGCCCTACTCAGTAATCAGTAAATATTGACTCGATTAATTTTATGTGAATAAACCTGCCTTTTATGCTATGTAAATACTAACGTATATCGTAACTTGGCTGGTAAAAACTATTTCACCCCGCAAGGAATTTCGCAACACTGAAAACTAAAAAGTTTAGTCACCTACATAAAATATACTACTACATAACATTTCTAAAACGGTATTGCTTGTTGAGGACTCATTCAAACGATCCACGGACTCATTTGACCGGACTCTGGTTGAGAAGCAGTGGTCTAATGCGATGTGAGTTTAGAGACTTTTAAGATTCTGAAGTATGTTTTTCTGACTCGGTTTCCAGTGACAAACAAAGTCTAAATTTCGGGAGAGAACTAAAAAAGTATTAAACCGAGCATTCTAAACAGACAGTTATAAGATTCGCATTTGCCAACGTTTCTGTTATCAAAATTGAATTTTATCAGAGCAAGGGGTAGGTCGAAAGTCGACAAGGAATCACTGATCATATTTCAAATCATCATGTATCAATTTCCCATCTATCTACATCCCTGAATGTGCTAAGCATTTATCAACATTACTTACATTCAATCCTTTTCCTTGTCCGTACAATGGAAGTTCTTGAGCCCACAAAACAACTTTATCAGATTCTAGATGATCTTGAACTCGAGTAAAATTAACATCGGGATCCTTCATACCGATGGTTAAATACTCTTGACGACTCGTACTATATTTCGGCCACTGTGTTGGTATGGGTTCTCCAAGGTTGGGATCACTAGACATTAAAATTGTAAAAAATGGATTTAACAAATTGTAAAAGAAAAAAGGATGAATACTGAATTGTAAATGCTGATATATTAATCGATTAATTATAATCAATTTAAAAATAAATATGATTTCAATTTATTTTTTAAATATTCTGCCATAACTATTTAAAATGAGTTTATCACTCCTACTGAAAATTATAAATAACAACATGAAGAAATGAAATGGACTCTGGGAAAAGAAGAATAGGATATATATATTTACTGAAAGGTTATTATTCCTGATTCTGTCCTGGACTAGAGGGCATGGTTGCTAAATAGGATAGGATAGGATTTACATATTTATCTTGTGGGAGAGGAAAGTCGATAAGACAACTCAACCATATGGCGAACCACGGCCTCTCGTCCGGTCACTATTCCATGTCGGATTAGATAGTTATTTGTTTTCGGAAGCATGGACTTGGTGGTGGAGGAAGCCGTAACCGAACAGCGGTTAAGTGAACCACCCAACAACGGCGAGGAGTCCAGCAATCCTCTTGTACTTAACCATCCCTGCATGAGATTCAAACCTGCGAACCCACGCAGAATAATCAGAGGTGAGGTGGCAAGATCATTTCTAACGCTTAGCACAACGATCCACACTGCTGCTTTCTGGATTTTGCTCTACCCAAAAACAAATTTTAAAAAAACTATGTGTGCGGATACATAGCAAATGAAATCTATCAATGGTTGAGTATAATATTAACAAATGCTTACATGAGACTTGCTTTTTTAACATTAGACTGAACTGTGATAGCATCGAGACTACATAACTCAGGTTCAAATTCCATGCTACCGCTTCACTTAGGCTGTAATGAATTGAGTAGTCAAGATTCCAGTCATCCCAAAAACAAATAGTAGCAAATTTGTTAGATAACAGTGGCTGTTTGTACAGAAACTTGTTCGGAGCAGAAGGTGAAAAATAAGAGGGTGAAAATATGCATGAAATTTCCTATACCCTGTCGCTACATACAATATAAGTTTAAACTAACACTTGTTTTTCAATGTCAACTTACCCAGTTTTTGCAAAATTTGTCCAATACGTCATGACAGCAGAACTTATATCTCGATCTTGCTGAGTTGCATTTATAACAAACGGTAAACCAAACACATACGCTAGTTCCTCAGAGTGCCTTGCCCCCCTTGCAAGTACTGGATCACCTCGCGGAAAGGCTGTTTTGATACAAAATAGAAGTCAAAACATAAATAAAGATAAAAAAAAATGACACACAAATTTGTTAGTGAATTTTGAACACAAAATTATATAGATTCTGGTACAGAATGCAGTCAATATTTCCCTCTTTTGTCAAAGGATTTTCGAAACAAATCCTACCCTATTTCCCAACATATATAATGTTTTGGCGATTTTGGCCCTCGACTACAGGTTGATGAAAATTTCAAATCTGACTCCAGCTCCAGACTCTCAAGGAAATTACATTTTGACAAAAAAAATATGATAGCCAATTTGTAAACTTCAATTAACATAAGTCAAAGTCTTGAATTCAAAATCCGATGCTTTCAAATTTTCAACTTCATTTTTAAAAGTTTTGCGGAACAATATTAGTCTTTTCTTGTGAAAATAAAGAAAACCATATAAAAACCCTGTTTCAAATAAAAAAATGCAATGAACAAATGAAGATAGGCATGAAGGCATAAAGATAGTACCATGGTTATCATATTCATTAACTAGAAGCACAACAAAAATGAACTAGCATAAAATCAACATCACAGGTAATTATCCCAAAATTAGCAAATTCTAAGATAGAGCAACAGGACACAAGAAATCCAGAAAAAATTTTTGTTCACTCACCAATGTTTGCTGCTATCATGGCATCGCTTGGAGGCTGCGTGAAATAATATTGGTAAACATTCGACTCAAACCTATCAACTGCGATATTTGACATATTTAAACTCGGAGCAAGGAAATATATATCCCGGGTAACATTCAAATATATCAGCTGCCATTCATGACCTGTTGTTGGATACTTTGTCTGATCAATATAGTTGTACAAGACTACCTCTGTCATCTGAAAATATAATAATAAAGAATTGAGATTTCATATCACAAAATCTGACTCGAAAGTTGGCAAATCATGTTAACAGTTTGGAACACGCTCACTATCACACCTCTGAATTCGGCTTCCGTATGTGAACCAAGACGCCGGGCACCGGAAAGATGTATGTGTACCAGGTTAGGGTTAAACCATAATTTCAAGTACAAATACTACGGGAGTCACTTGGCTAGGCGCCGAACTCGTAATAGAACTAAAATAAGGAAAATAGGAATAATATTATGGCCTAACCCCAACCTGGTACACATACTACGTTTTGGTGTCCGCCATCTTGTTCCTCATACTACAGGAGTACCCTGAATTCTGTGTGTGAATTCGCAGGTTCAATTTCTGGAATTGGAAAAAACTATGTGTGAGAGGATAGCTGGACTCCTCGCTGTTGTGGGGTGTAATCATTGGTTGGTTACGGCTTTCTTCAGAATCAAGTCCATACATCTGAAACAGAACACTGGTTAAATATTACCATACCCTGACAACTGGTAATTAGACGAGCAGCCGTGGTTCACCATATGATTATTCTTCACTAGGATGAATATTAAAATCCTATCCTATCTAAAGTTTCTCAAGAATCTATCTGAAAAATCACAGATGGTAATCACCAGGCTGATAGAAATTTGTTCCCACTGCTTGGCACAATGCGCTCATCAGGCGAGTATAACTGTGAAAATAGTTTTCAGATAATTTGAGGCACTTTCAGATATTATATGTTCCACTCTGTCGAATTGCATTCTGTCCAGCATTACAACAAGGGAACATTTACACAAGCTTCTTACAGGTGACATATAGTCAGTGGATGCTTGTACTGGAATATGTTTTGGAGTAAAATGTGTGAACAGGAGCTGCATAAGTAAAAAAATAAAATCTTGAATTATCAAACAATTACCTTAGCTGGTTCTTCAAAGAATTGTTTGAAGAAAGCATTCATAAGTTTCTTAAAATCTTCTTCATTTTTTATTGTTCGAACCGAATTGAGGTCGGCGACAGAATCAAAATCATTTACACCATTCATAAAGTCGTACCTGGTAAACAAAGCAAGTCATTAATGTGATTGGACAAGATTGAAAAAAGAAACAAAGTAGTAAAATAAAATGAGAGAGAATAATAAAATAAAAAAAATGATTGACTATGATACGAATACAGAGGGTACTAGAATATCGGGTACTCCCATAGTGTGTGTACCAGGTTAGGGTTAGGCCATAATTTTATTCCCATTTTCTTTATTTTAGTTGTATTACCAGGGGACTGTCTGTCTGTCTTAGCCAAGTGAATATACCCTCTGCCCATAGGTTTCAGTCTCTTTACACAACTTGATGTGTAAAGTAGGCAAACAAAATTAGATACCTCAATATTGGTACACGCACTACTGGAGTGTCGAATATTGTACATTGCACTGCTGGCCCTTCTGGGCTACTTATAAAGAACTGACAGTTGCAACAAGAATGCTTGAATGAGATAGTGTTAAAGTCACAAGTAAAAATAACTTGCGCTATTCATATGGCTTCTACGGGAGAAAGAGTTAAGTGAGAGAGAAAGAGAGAGCAAGAATGAAATCCAAAGCAGAAGATGGGTAGAGAGAGAAACTAATTTATGAAATATCATCTCTGATTTTCACATAGATTGACAACAGGGGTGGGCCAATACTTTTCTGAATGTACAGGTGATAGATTTAGTTATCGGGCCAAAGGCCCAAAACTTAATATGAAAACTATAAATAAAAAACAATTTCTTTACAACAGCTAGGCTAACGTTTATATAATAATAATAAGCCAATGTAACAATCAGGGTCAATATGAATTTTTTCTATGGAAATGTATATCTATAAAAACTATAGTTGTAATTTCAGCAGGCAAGAGTGGGCCGGATCCAGCCTGCGGGCCATAATTTGCCCACCCCGATTTACAAGGATTGATGTGATGATTTTTGAGGAAGAAATTTTACTTAGTATTCACATGGAGTATTAATAATATTTTTTACTTATTTTATATTATTGTTATGCATATATCGTAAACTATCCGAAATTAATAACAGCCAGAATACAAGTTAACATATCAAAAGCAAATGTTCCATTAAAGAATGAATAACAAATGCTAGTTTTATGCGCAGTTGAGAAGAAATGAAGAGTTCGAAAATAACCCAAACGAGGAATATATCATGAACCATTGTTTTGAACATACCTCCCTTTTACGTCATTAACAAAATCTTGAGACATGACCATGACGTCAGGGACATCCGTTATGAATGTCCCATCTGAGGTTGGGACCCAAGGTGGTTCTATACCCAGGCTCAACCATTCTGGGTAGGATCCTTGCGATTCAAAAATGTCCTCAAAACTTAGTTCACGTAGACACTGAACTCCGATAGCAGTTGAAAATGTTGGGCAACCAGCATTTCTCATTAGTTTTTCAGCGTGGTAACGAGGGTCAGAGTTGAAGGCCCACCACGCTAATGGTGTTCCACTCTCAGAAATTACCCTATGAAAAAGTTTATTTTCTTCATTGTAAATTGGTGATATAGCATGATAAAGAACAGCCGCAGATCCAGCTGAATTCCCGAAAATAGTGACTCGATTTTTGTCTCCGCCGAAGTTTTGAATGTTATCTTGAACCCATTGGAAGGCGGCAAGTTGGTCCAGCATTCCATAATTGCCAGTTAATTGATTGTCACCTAGAGATAAAAATGTCTGATGAATTTTAGGCCATCTACTAGCTATGGCAGTGATTGAGCACTTGCATTTTGTAAAAACAAATTTTAAAATTGTGTTTTCGGGATGGATGAGCTCGCTCGATTTCGGGTGATTGTCTGCACATTTTTGGAGTATTTACAATATATATTGAAATTGACGGGCCTTAGTAAGTCACTGTGGCGTATTTTTGGATGACGTTGTCAGATAGGGGTTAGAAATGACATACGCAAAAATTGTTGAGTCTGGCATACCGTGTTTCCCCAAAAATAGATTATTCAAATATGACCATGTCATCATCGTCTGAAATGTCTTGCAAGTCACTAGATTCATAAATTTCAAAGAAGATTTCAGTTAACTGTACTTTCTTGCTAACGACTAGGTCAAAAGATATTTTACGTTATTGACTAGGAATTATTTTTAGGGGAGGGCTTATATTAAAATCATTTTTAAAACTCAGACTAGGTCTTTTTTCAGGCTAGGTCTCATTTCTGAGGAAACACAGTATATAATCATACTAGACCAATAACTGGAAGAGAGGTTGTGGCGTATCAGTAATTAACAATAGCTTGACTTTGAATTCTGACACATAAGACCCGTGACTTGATGACTTGAATTGGAGATTAGAGACTTCCATGCAACATAGGAAACACGACCTAAGACTTTGCTATTATTTAATAAATTTCAAACTGGTTTGAATCATGGATCCTGGATCCTTCATCAAATATGTAGGAACATCTTCCAAGGAAAAATCGGCTCTCAGCCTTTCTTCCATCATAAAGATTTCATGTAAACCTTCTGAACTTCCAAACTAACTTCTATACACAGATACAAGTTATCCTTGTATTCTGTTTGTCTATTACTTTATTCATTTATGTCATAGAACAGTAGAACTGAAATACAGTGGTTGAATGAATATAGAATTTCAGTAGTATTTGCAGTTCTTTGTCAAAGATTTATAAATTAAATTAATAAAGAGTTTTATGTGTATAAATTTAATAAAAATCAATTGCAAAAAATACACAAGAAGCATAAAATTAAAACATTCAGTGAATGATAGCTCAGTAAAATAGGGAAGTGATAAGTCCATACCTGTGCTCAAAAATCCTAATGCTCCTAATCTATAATTGAAGACGACCACGATAACATTATTTACAGAAGCAAGTATAGTTCCATCATAACCATTGGCAGAACCAATTCTGAAAAATAAATTATGGTAACATCGATAATAGCTTTGAAAAAATAATTTCCCCAACGTTCTCTGATCAGGCGTTTATAAGTTAACTCTATTAGAGTTTTTAATTAACGTATAATGACAGAGAATTTCTACGTAATGCAATTTCCACCAACTTCTATCTATTCGTCATAGATAGGATAGGATAGGATTTACATATTTATCCTGGGGGAAGCCGATAAGACGGCTTAATCATATGGCGAACCACGGCCTCTCGTCCGGTTACCAGTCCAGGTGGGTATGGAATTAGTTAGCCAGTTATTTGTTTTCGGAAGCATGGACTTGATGGTGGAGGAAGCCCTAACCGACCAGCAGTTACTTGAACCACCCTACGGCGGCGATGAGTCCTCTCGCACATGATCATTCCCGCATGGGATTCGAACCCACAACGGATAATCAGAGATCCCACGGAGGGTAATCAGATTTGCTGTGGCGAGCGTATTATTAACGCTTAGCACGATGCGCCACACCGCCGAGTCATAGAAACAAAACAAAATTTTGTTTATCGCTCATACTGCCATAAGGGGTGAACATCCCCCTCAAATTTCAACCCCACATGCTTCTGTTCTCAACATAAATAAAATTGTATTTGAATATTCTGAGAGTGACTCATATGTTGGTGCGAATGATCAGTCAAATACTTGCTTCAAATACTTAATATTTTAGCAAGTTACAAATAGTTTTATGACTAATAACAAAATATGTACCACCCCCTAAATTTGGGGTCTCATTTAGTTTCGTACCTAATATACTTCTAGTGGGCGTAGCATGACAATTTTTTCACGTATCAATCCTGACCCCCACCTGACTACACCATCCAAAAATTACGTCAACACGACGTCACAGTGACGTAATAGAGCCCTTCAAACTATACGAACTGCCATCAAAGATGCGCAAACGAGCACCCGAAATCGAACAGTATTTCTCTCGTTTTCTCGTCACAACGATTGCAATAGGAGAGAGATCGATAATGTCAGTCAGTTCTTTATCGTCGGCGCTAATGCCATTTCGGGCGATTGTCTGTATATTTAGCAAGCTCTATGACGTGATTGTGATGACGTAGTGATGTAATTTTTGGATGGCGTAGTCAGATGGGGGTTAGGATTGACTTTTAAAAAATTGTTATGCTACGCCCACTAGAAGTACGTTAGGTACGAAACTACACGAGACCCTAAATTCGAACCACCCTCAGCCTCAAAGCCCCAATCCCACCTAAAATAAAAATCTGGGGAATATACTGGGACAAAATATTTTTACTAAGTAATTTTAGCAAGCATATAGTCATTTAGAGATATAGTAAACAAGTTATTCTATAACCAGTGCACAGTATATGGATGAACTATTACCACCTACTTTAACTTAGCATTCATTTATCTCACAAGGCTAAGTGAAACCCACAATGTTCTTTGTAGGGGGATTCCCCCGATTTTTGTTGACACTGAATATAAAAGTGGTCGAAATAAATATTTTTACATGTTTGTTCATTATAAGATTGCAAGCTGACCTGAAAAATGAAATGTTTTAATAGAAGAGATGGAGTGCAAACTGATGCAAGTTAGCACTTCAGGCAAACAACTAGGCATTTCAATAGGCCAGTGAATAGTGGCGTATCTAGGGTGTGGCAGCCATGGCTCGTGCCTTGGGCACCGTTTGGACAGGGGCGCAAAACGGCGAAGTGTTTCAATTGTAATATGTTTCAATGAAAAAAGTTCAAATTGGAAATAATTGAAACTCGTATATTAACGTAAATAATAACGTGCAAGTATCTCAATTCAACAACAGTCGTTAAAAATTTTAAGTCAACGATTAAGGGGGCGCATTTTTAAAATTTGCCATGAGCGACATTTTAAGTAGATATGCCCCTACCAGTGAGTTCCAAAAAACGGAATTAAAAAAAACTTTAGGCAAGGGAATTATTGTCCAAAAATTGAAAGGGTTGAACTATCATTTTTTAGATATGTTTTGTAAATTTCGGTGCAAGTTAATTATTTAGTGACCATTTTTCTACAGTAAATAAAAAACTAAATAAATGCTAAAATACACCAATTCAAAATCCACTCAAATTCGAAGTGTTTGCGTTAGCCGTCTCCCCGCCATCGTATGCAGTGGGATACTGTGGACTGATTAGAATACTGTGGCTCTCACTAATTGCCAAAAAATTGTCGCTGTCGCTAGACGCTTCAAGTTGCCACTGGTCGGTTATGTATCCCGTCGCCATTCACGTCCGTTTAGCATAGCAAATCGACCTTCGGTGCGCCGAGCAAAGCGTTTTTTTTTCGTGTAAATAGTGTGATAACTACTCCATTAAGACTTTTGACGATGTGCGGAACCATACGCAAAGATTTAAATTACGTAAAGTTGGATTTATGCGCACTGTCAGTCACTAAACACCACATGAGTTGGTTGTCACCACACACACGCAAACACCCTCGCCAAGCTATTATTTGAGCAAATATTTACAATGTCAGCGAAAATGTGTCGAGACGCTTTATACCAGGGGTCGGCAAACTACGGCCCGCCGGCCAGATCCGGCCCGCGGAACAATACATTCCGGCCCGTGACGCTTCACTGAATTATATTAACAAAGCAACTGTATTAACGATTATATTTTTAACGTAACAGAATCTGTTTTGAGACACTAAATTATATTATAACTCAATAAGTATGTATATAATTAACAATCACTCGTTTAAAATGAGCCATACAATTTGAATATATTTAGACAAATGGTAACAGAACGTAGAAAAGTTGATGTTGAGTGCGAATGGTTTAATGGCGCGGAAAATATTCAAATGATCAGTCTTCGCGCGCTGCTTGAAATTTAACTGAAATCTGTGTGAAAAAAATGTGATTCAATGGCCATTCCCTCGGTTTTTAATTTTCTAAATGACTTGCAACCTTTAATTTTGGCCCGCAAACGACAAAAGCTTGCCGACTCCTGCTCTAAAATAACTTAAGTGTAATACAAAATTGCTCCATAACTTATCAATTCCATATCTTTCCCATGGCCAATATTTTGTCGCCTAATAGTCAGAAATAATTACTGGTAAATCTTTAGAATGGTATATATATATATTAGAAGTTTTTGTTTTGACCCGTATATTCAATCACATATCTCTGCATAACAACAATGAATCCGTCTCATTTTAATTTTTGTTACAATAAAGTCTACTTACACAAATCCACCCCCATGAACGAAGACCATCACGGGATAATAGTCCGGGGTTGACGTTTTTGGCACGTATATATTCATATACAGACAATCTTCATCCCCAGAAAGTGCGGAACCGCCGTATGATGGTTGAGGACAGTACGATGCCATCTTTGTTGCGTTTCTTGCTTCTCCTGTGTCGCTCCAGCTGGGGTGAGGTTGAGGGGGTTGCCATCTTAATTTCCCCACAGGTGGGGAAGCGTATGGGATTCCTAAATATGTTTCCGAAATTAACGTTGATTTGCCTCTGATTTTCCCGAGCGTGGTATCACGAACAACGTCGATTTGAGCGGACGTTATCGAATTCCACGCTACGAGAATTAGTATTGTTTTATAATACAGTATCATTGTGTTTTTACCACAGCATATCTTGACTAGAAACTGCAAAACATGATATATATTTTTATATCGCTCTCATAATTTAATGCCTGGTGCTCTCTTAGAACAGAAAACTCATTACAAAACGAAATATGCAGAGAATTGAAATATCGACCTGAAAACTGTATATAATACGAATAAACAACACTGCAATGCTCAAATTTACGAGTGTCATATAAAAGTGTTCAACATGATTAAAATAATACAACAAACTACTACTTGGGTGCATGGGAAGATTAGCACACAATTTCAATTTTATTGTAAACAAGAGATTCGCGATTCGTGGTCGTACAAAAAACAATCGATGTACAATACTAAAAGCAGAAATAATAGTAAATAATAAACAACAACAAACAGAGTAAAATATAACAAGTTCATTTCATGCCCCGGTGTTTTGGTGCAAACAGTATTATTCAAATCGCTTATGCTTTGTGGAGTTTGTGAATTTATGAAATACATTTTCAAATTTTTACATCTAACGATAGCTTGCGTAAAAATGGCCTTTTTTTACTGTATTTACTCTTCATGATTGCTCTTTCATCCTGAAATTGAAATATATCCCAATAGCGAATAATTTTCTCGTGCACGAGTGAAATTAAATCTCTCACTATTTCGTTAATCAATTTAGTACAGTATTTGCAGATTGCGATAGCAATGCTTTGCGCCTCTATCCGAATCTGTATATAAAAATGTACACTTTGTGCAGTAATCGTGAAGTCAGCTTAATAAATCCAACTCCGTTTTCCTTCGTTTTCACGTCTAATATCACAAATGTATTGATAGGTCTATCTTGTCGCACTTCTGTTAGTAGGACTTTCAACCTGTCTATGGCACTTGTCTATAACACTTTCTGAGAACTAAATTGCAACAATATTTTGACGTGTCGTTCTACAGCTATTCTATTCTATACTCTTATTTGAATAGGACATTTTCACAATTACCTGGCTTACTAATTCCATAATCCACATGAAATGGTAACCGAGCGAGAGGCCGTGGCAAGCCATGTGAATAATCCTTTATATCTTCATTCCTCTCCCTGGGATAAATATGAAAATCCTATCCCCTAACAGGTTGGAAAAGATTCTGTCATGTATACGCTATCCTTTGTCTGTCATTTTTTGCGTCAAAAAATACCATTCAGTCATTATAGCTCAGACAACAATAAAAAAACCTGACTTTACATAATACAGGCTTATGTTTGACTTGCTCGATTCATTATTTGTGGTTAGTGGCGCTGCATGTTTACTTTGATCAGTAATCAAACACATTATAAAAGTGAGTTATTGATGGCTTGTCATAACCACAGCTTGACCTGCCATAAGCAAAGCTCAAATTGTCACCGAATGACAAATGCACTAATATTTGCAGAGGAACACTTACTATTTTACGCCATGGTTCTACTAACAATGCTGTATAGTACAAATATTAGTGACATATGTGTAGCTAGGGGCTGGGGCAAATCCTTCTCCAGAACATCGTACTTATTTTTCGACACTATTTTGCCATATTCGTTAGAGATTCACAGACAACCCGACGTTTTTGGCGTACTATCAAACCTTCCTACAACTAACCAACAGAGATAGACGGAATTGCGTGTCTGTATAGCTTGGATAACATTGACAGCGAAGTAAGTCTGGGAAGAGCTTCTTCGAGATATCGGTGTCTTGTTTTACCTGGCATTGTTCGAAGCAGAAGGAGCGTGTTTGCCAACCAGGCTAATTTCCCATTTTAACCCACGGCCCAAGTAATTTTCAAACTTCTACATCGCTTCTATCAAAAATTAGTGAAAAAAATATATTATATTCCCGGACCTCCCGAAGTATGCGCACCAAGATGGCGCACAACCTGAATTCAGGTTGTGTACCAGGTTAGGGTTCAGGTTATGCGACATCTTGGTGCGCATACTTCAGGAGTACCATATTCCCAGTCATTTATTGTTATAATTTGATTTCGTCTTGTTCATTTACATACGATGTTGAATAATATAGCTAGTGGTGCCGTGATACCTTTTTACTGGACATATTTTTATTAAACAAAAATGTGATTTTATTGTCAACGTCTGCTCGGTGGTAAATATCCGTTTTCAGGAATAAATGAAATATATATGCTCAAAAAAATACTGACGATTAAAGAATGCAAAAAATCAAATGCAACTATATTCTCAGATGACGCTGGCAATGCGGTTTAAAAACCCACAACAAGCCTCGCAAATTCATTTAAAAAAAAAATTCCATTTGAAAAACTGTTCATCGACGCTTTTACAATCCGAATTTATGTTTTCAACAAAATTATCAGTTAAATTCAACTCTGACATGACGCAATCTCTAACGAATCATACACATAACTTTAGATACGGCCATGACTAAGTAGGACTGTATTACATCAACATATCGCGAGAAAACGAAGAAATGATATGTGGACATAACAAACATGGGCCTTTAAACAAGCAGGTTATGGGAGCAGTCTTCAACAACATGAAAGTACAGAACGAAAAAGAAAAAAAGTTTTGCCATTAAATTACCGTGATCAGCAACGTGTTCACACTAGCTAGACAGATTACGACGTTGGGAGCTTAGCATCAATTACTTGTCTTCCATGGCTGAGTATACTCTAACAACGTGGTTATCTAACTTTTTAAGCCTCGCCGCCTTTTTAGAATTTAGTCAATAAGTTATAAATACCAGATAGTAAGACGAAAGTATGTTTTCCATTTAAAAAAACATTTGAAAATACGTAAACATTTAAAATAACCCCCCCCTCTCCACAAAAAAGTTGTCTACGGCTACGCCATCCACCATGAGTAAGTAAGTGTCTGCTAAATCCAAATAAATTGTATAATTAAGGACGTATAACGGTTAGATGTGTTTCTCACGTAAACCTGTCTTACTTTAAAATCCAGTCTAAGACTGACATTTACAAAAAAAACTATGTACTCTGAAAATCTATGTTGTTTTGCAAGCGATCCGACGTTAATATTATTATTGCAATTGTAGTTTGATTTTGATAATTCAAATTTAATTGTAACGAGTCGATTATGCTGGGTACATTACCCGTTAATATCGAGCTTATATTCGACATGAAATTTTATTCGTTCGTAGAGAGGCGGGCAGATATCATATGTACCATCTTTGCCAAAAGGCTTCAGACGTCAATGGCATAGGTTATTAAATATGTGAAATAACATTACATTATATAGGTTACTCTGTATAGTAATTTTAAACTCCGCCATTGTACAAAAAAATGCAATAAACGAGGCGGAAGTTGCAATAAACGGAAATTCTTAAAATTAACCAAAACTTTGAATGAGGTTTGAGAATAAAACATAAAAAGTACAACATGGGCAAGCGAATGAAAATCGCAAATTTATACTCGCTAATCTAATCGAATCTAAAGCTCGTGAGCCTCGTGATGATAAGCTACTAATAAGCTGATAATAAGATAATGTTTTTATGATCAGAGGTTTCTATGTGACCTCGTGGGTATTTCGTAATATTGTAATATGTAGTAGATTTATGAGGAGGTTGAATTAGTTAGCAGCAAAGCTAAACGCCATAGAAAGTTATTGCTCGAAGTATAGGGTTGCCATACGCCATATTTTTCCCTGACAAGTCCGGGATTTTAGTGGTCAAATTCGCGTCAGGGAGAAATGTTAAAACGTGCTCAAATCCTTGAGTTTTCAGATATATATTTCGCATCCACGAAATCCTATTTTTTCAGAGATATGTCACATCCTAGCATTTTTGTGCAACTCGAATTGCATCGCATTCAGATAATTGTGATGTCACATGTGACCAGAATAGGCAGCTTATTGTAATCGGTATTTTGGTTGCACCTTTACCTGTTTTTTAATGCGTGCTAGAGTTAAACACTTGTGCTAAAGTTTAAGCAACAATTTTGCTCCTTTCGTTTGTTCTGTATTTATTCTATTCTCACAAGAAGGCGACGGACGACAGCTTGTGCCTTTGGATACATCGTGAATTTATACAATAAGTGTTTTGGTTGCAAAATTGGCCAACGTGGCTCATTAAATTTTGTCAGGGATTTTGTCTTTCCAGATGGTAACCCACTAACCCTATCGAAGTAGTATTCCCCCTTTCTCCATGAATCTGCTGCCTTGTAGTATTATTTCAATTGGCGCTCCCGAAGGTGGGTGTACCAAGATGGCGCACAACTAGTTACGTTTCAATACTTACACGTAACATTGCTAGCTTTTTCGCTGTTCACTGTATTTTCGATCTAAAAATTGGATACTTCTATATTTTTTTCTTCATTTTTAGAGAATACATAGCAATATGAAGTATTTCTTATACACCGTTGTCTTGTTGCTTTTTTTACAAGCATTTAATTGCTACGGGCGATTGTCAAACGGGTCTTCGACCGTAAACCCCGATACATGCCGACCAATTAATTTCAATTGCGGCGGCGAGGAATCTGAAAATAGAAGAAATATCAGACCACAGTCCGGTTCGCCTGGCAAACGTGGAATACAAGGTCCAGAAGGACCAGCTGGACCGCCTGGAGCATCGGTCAGTAATAAATAGGATCAATTTTCTCCATTTTATATGATTTTATTTTTTCTGCTGTTTACAATAGCCTACCTAAATATAGGAATAGCTACATAGAATAGAATCCGCTCTGGTTGGGATAGTAGTATTTACATATTTATCCCGGGGGAGATGAAAACCGATAAGACGACTTAACCATATGGCGAACCACGGCCACTCGTCCGGTTACCAGTCCATAGCAGGTTTGGGATTAGTGGGTTAGTTATTTTTTACGATATATACATGGACTTAGTGGTGGATGAAGCCGTATAGCTGAACCGCCCACCCTACGGCGACTAGGAGTCCAGCAATCGTCTCGCACGTATGTATTTTCAACGGGATTCGAAACTGCAAACCCCGCAGAAGTGCGGTAGTGAGCACTTTTCTACTGCTTAGCACGATGCGCCACGTCGGCGAGTCAAGTATGTTGGAAGTATTTGTTTAAAATACTTTTATTGTGCAGGGGCCAAAAGGCGAACCGGGGAATGAAGTTGATAAAACGCTGATGCAAATGGATATTCTACAAATGTTTGGTAAGGTTTGCGTCCTATGTCACTGCTTAAATTGAATTTTTATCTTCATCCCAGAGGAAGGTAAGTCCGATATGACGGCTGAATCATTTTAACGAAGCACACACGGCTTCTCGTCAACTAACAGTCTATTTACAATTTCCAATAGATGTTGATGTTTTGTGAAAAAAATTTTAATGCTGGGTTTGTTATTCGCGAAAAAAACCTTTTTTTCAACTTGACAGAAAATCAAAATTTTATATTAAACTTTCAAGCAAAAAATGAAGTCTTCACTTCTGTTAAAATTAATTTACAATAACTTCACTTTTAACCATATTACCTAAAAGAATATTTCAACAAGATTGACAGTTTAACTTGAGGTCATTTATTCAGGAGCAGTGAGTTGTGAAGAACTGCGGACAAAACATCATGTGACTCGTTCTGGGCATTATTGGATGCGATCGAAAGACGTCGAGTGGCCAGTTTATGTCTTCTGCGACTTTCAGTATCGCGAAGGTATGTTGTTTTATGCTGATTTCGATTTGTCCAACTATATGTAACTGGGTGTTATGTGCCTCCACGTTCCTACTTTTGATAGCACTGGCGGACTGAATCACAATTCGGAATGTCGTATTGCAGAAACTTGTACTTGTCAATGAAAACACACAAAGCTTTGCATAGGTCGCATTAGACATTGAAAGACAAACGACGATAACAGAATCGTTCGTGAAAAACGATAGCAATATGCTATGGCGTTGTAGGTAAAACATATCTGGGTCAAATCTCACGCCTGTCATTTCAACCACAGTGTGAACAATCGGGTACTGCCGAATCGGACAGATTCCCGCCCTTCCAAAAATGTCGCCTTTTCCGTGTTCGCAGTCCTGGTGTGAAATCACTCAATTTATAAAAAATAATTATGAAAGAAATATGGGGTAAACAAAATATTATCGTTAACATTTAAAACTTGAAATTACTGACTAGAAAGCCTGACGCATTAAACTCAATTGACTATGTCGGCATCGAGAGCAGCAAATCTCGTATCAAAATACCATACGCGCCACAGTAGACCCCACGTATTAGTAGACGCATGTACATATCCTTGTTTGAAAGGAAACACTTGTAAACAGTTGTTAAAATAAAACTAGATTGGCCGCCAAAGCTTCCTTTGATAATAACATCATATTTGGGTTTCTTTACCTTTGGGCTACATGTAAGGAAGTTTGTAAACGAATGTATCGCAGTTGCACGTCTTGTTAACAATCCTTCCCTATGTTTACAAATACAGTTACAGCCAACTTACAACATACATGAGTATGATGTACATCTTATAAAACATAAATGAATGTAACTATGACTTGGTGTTATGTTTCATTTTGCTGCTTATGCCTAAGTTCAGCAACCTTTCTCCATGGGAGACCCGCACAATTAGGCCCGCGAATAGATGTCTAAAATATCGATTCTAGCAAAAAGCATGCTAAACCCCGACCTCACCCCCCTGAAATAAAGTTTACGAAATGTTTCATTTGAAAATATAACAAACTTAAAGTGGTTATTTGCGAACATACCATAATTAGGTGGAAAATTTGTTTTCAGGAAATAGAACTTGCCGAGATCTCCCTTTTGATTCCGAGAATTTGGAATCTGGATATTATTTGGCAAAACGTAATGAAACATCTGAGGCGGAATTTATGTATTGCGACTTCAAGATTCACGAGGGTAATAATTTTTATGTTTATTAATTCTAAATACTATTGTTTCTTCCGGAAGAATAAATATTTTAGGCAATCAAAAGCGTAAAGCGCCAAAAGTGCCGAGGCAAATTTTGTCAAGTCCAACACTCCGAAAATGAGTAATTAATAAACACGACGGCTTTGATAAGGGGTATTGGAAACTTTGTGCCACAAAAATATTTCTCAATGATCCTGAACTATTTCTAAATAACCCCGATTCGAGTTGCTCTGGCCTGGAGGTTCGAAATTTTTTGGCCCACGGCGTGTAAATTTATACGACCTTCGGATATACCGGTAACCTGCCGTTGCTACGATATAATCCTAACTATGCGCAAATCGCAAATGTCCTATAGGTCCACATGTGTTTGTATATTCCTATTTTTAAACATCCTATATTTTAATCAAATTCACAACTCAAACCGAATTATGTAATCCTGTGGTCCGAAAATTCCGCGGAAGTCTGTTTACCTTACTGGTTCCGATTAATAATTTTGTCCAAATCGAAAATATTTTCACGTTCTGAACAAAAAATACAGTACCTGTACTCAACCTACCATTTATCGCCTGAATCACCATTTTAGTGTCTTCTTGCGACCAACTCAAAACCACACTCAAGGTGAAGCAACCAGGCTACTATCGGATGAGATCAAGCGTTTCTACTCAGCCAACTTTTGAGTATTGTGACATCATTGAGCGTGAAGGTAGGTGTAATGACTCAAAATTTATATTTACCGTAATAAGTTTATAATTACCGTAATATATACCGTAATATAATATAACCGTAATATAATTACCGTAATATATTTACCATGTCTTAGCAATTAAATAAAATAAATTTTTAAATCTAAACGGAAGATATGGTGATCCTACGGGTGTATTTTTTGGACATTTTCAGAATCAAGTAATCAAATTAAAACACTGTAATTTATTATATAAGATATACTTATGCAAGAGGTAAGAAGGAAATCGAAAAAGAGTAGAAATAGGGTATATTCGCTACATTGGTTCTCGGAATCAATAACTATCGCATAAGTCACAATTTATTTGAACCCTTTTCCGAAGTCTCATCTAGTCTTGGCACCTGGATGAATATTTTTGTTAACTCCACGGTTCTCCTCTTATTCACCTCTAATCTAGTTAAACCTACTGCTTTCAGATGTCTCTACATGTTACGGTCTCCGTAAAAAATACGGTCTTCATGAAGCAACGACATATACTTTGAAATCATCGCCTACAAGTCAACCATTCAAACTATTTTGCAATTTATCTTCAGATAAAGGTGATCATTACCATCTATGTTACTGGGGAAATGTATTGTGTTCACGTTCTCGCCACAGCCACTCATCATTATCGTAGCATGGTCAGCTAATTCTAATTCTGTCCAGCCTATTTGGCGACAGTATTTTTAGCGCAAAATAATTTGCTTGACAGACAAAATTGCAATACACTATGAGTCTACAAATGACTTGCAATCGTTCGACAGGATGTATGGTACCAATAACACTTATATATATATATATATATATATATATTATATTTTATAGTGGTTACCGAAGTATCTCATAATATTGAGAACGAAATAAAGAATCCTAACAGGTGTGAGCCTGGAGGATGCTACTCGGCAGCACCAGCGTACAACCTAGGAAATGAACATATTGTTGAAATTATCGCAAGTTCAAGAGAATGTCGTCAATATATAAAAGTGAGCATTAGTAACTTGAACTTGTTTGAAACTTGAAAATTGGTTGCTATGGTACTATTTTCATATTTGTTCTGGGGGAAAGGGAAGTCGATATTAATCATCTGGAAACTACGGACTCTCATTCAGTTACCATTTCATTTCGAGTAGGCCTATAGGAACAGGTAACTATTTATTCTTTCCATATGTATGAACTTGGCTGTGGAGAAAGCTATAACCGACCAGAGTTTACGTTAATCATCTACCGAAGGCGATGAGTCCAGCAATCCTTTGACATATATAATTATCCTCCTCCGAACTTGAACCTGCGAACCAGCACAGAATACCCGAGATGGTGCTGCCCTCGCACACATATATCTCCGATGAAAGTGCAGCTGAAATAGAGCAGTTAATTTTTTTTCCGTCGAATAACCTCATGATGTTTTCTATGCCATATTACGTACCTTCTATACGTCTACAGGTTAGATGTACAGGGATAATCTTTTTAAATGAAGGTTACGCATGGTGGGTTTCGCGAGATGGAGATAAAATGAACTATTGGGGAGGAGCAACATCTGGACGAGATAAATACTGTGCTTGCGGTGAAACAAGTATGATTTAAATGTTATTTATTATAAAAAAGTAGAAAACAGCTTGGTTAAAAACGACCCTAAATAAATACTAAACCAATATCCAATTGATTCTAAATCAAAAGGCGGGGGAAGCTGTAACCCATCAGTTTTATCACAATACGGGCACGTCATGCCTCTACAACTTTCGGCGTTGGAAATACATATTAGCCAGACTAATAAAAGTTACAGTCAATTCTTAAATGTTGTAAGGACATGGGTGGGTGGCACATCGTGCTAAGCGTCAGCATTACTCTTCTCTTGCTACACTGCGTGGGTTTACAGGTTCGAACTATGCGAGGGTTAATTATCTGCGATAGGATTGCTAAACTCCTGACCGCCATAGGGTGGTTCGCAAAACTGCTGGTCGGTCACGACTGCCTTCATCGCCAAGTACATGCATCTGAAACGAATAACTCGCTAACTCACTAATTCCATACTTGACATGGGACTTGTAACCGGAAGAGAGTGGTTTGCCATAAACATCTTATCAGTTTTCCTCTCACAGGGATAAATATGATATTTTATCTATTCAATCCAGACTCCTGCATCGTGCAAAGTTACAAATGCAACTGTGATTCAAATGATAACAATATACTCACGGAAGACGGAGGCTACCTAACAGATAAGTCAAAGCTACCGGTAAAAGAAATAAGACTAGGAGATCAGGATGACGCTGGAGAGCAAGCTTGGCACACACTTGGAAAACTGGAGTGCTTTGGAGAAGGTAAGAATATGTATCTTGTAAATGTGGTGCCCCATATGACCAAAAGTGTGCGAAATACTGATACAGGGGACAAATGTGTACCGGTATCAAGTGATAAGAGCCGTTATAAACCATGGAAATTATCAAGGTCGTTGCACGAATTTGTTTCCTTTATAGTTTCATGACACGCTTCACGCGAGAAATTTGATGACGATCATTTTAAGTTAGCATAGCAGTTATTAATTTCGACTAACTTTCCCTATAGTATACCAGTATGTCATCAATTGTGGGCTTTTTCACCCCATATCCGCGGGGCCGTTATCACCAATGCACTTTGTTTTCAAAATTGAAAATTATCGAAGTTTCCCATATCCGGCGTGCTGAAACTTCTAACACCTCTAGAAAACAGTCTAACGCTTGGAACTTTTTATGTATAATTGTAACCAAAACTCCAATAGTCTAGAACGATTTGCACGATAAATATGTTATTTTCAGAATGTTACAAAGGATCTTGGTCATATTTTCCCTTCTTTGAAGTGAGAGGGAGGGGTACCCTGTAACATGTGATGGAATTAATTAGCTCTAATCAGTGCAATATAGAAATATAAAAACAACTCACACTTTATTTCCGTTTCAGCTTGACTACCAACAACGAAACACACAGCATGTGAAAGTTTTATTTTAATATTTTGTACAAAATTTGAACCAATAAAATGATAATTCAAGCAAAATAAACTTGCGTCATTATTATGGTTGACAGTTAGCCAATCTTTATTCCTCCATTAGACCGGACTTATTTTTGCAGACAGAAATTACAAACAAAGAACTAAAACGACGATTTTAACAAACTGAATTAACAATGAACATAAAGCGACAAAAAGAGTTTTAACTAAATATATAATATTGAATGCTGCAAAATTTACTCGTCCGTTATTAATGCAACACAGCTGGAAGTCGCTATTTCCTAATTTCATGAGCTTTGCTGTACACAGCATAGGCCATTGCCCTAAGAAAATAGTTTTCTAATAATCTTCAGTCTACTTATATAAACTTAAAAATGAGATATTGCAAGTTGAAGTTTGTCTAACCCATACAAAAACAAATTTCTTTTGTTGTGTATGAGCTTAATTATAGTGGCACACACTATCATTGGAATACAAGGTTAATACAATACTGCGACATTTACTATCCAATGCATTGCATTATTTGCCTTGGGGCGGGGCAAACAGTTAATTGTTAACATGATTTTAGAAATTAGGTTTTGTACAGTGGTGGGATTCAGCCGGTTCGCACCGGTTCTATAGAACCGTCTCACGGAATTTTATGAGATCAGCGAACCGATTAGCATTACTGGTTTATTTACTAAAAAAATATGACCTTTTGTGATAGAACCGGCTAACAAAAATTTGAATCCCACCACTGGTTTTGTAGAGAAAAGAGAGCCCCAGACGACCAGAATTAATTTGTGATATTATGTTGAATTTAACCTATTTTTTAATCATCTTGCAACATGATAGAAAATTGAGCCAATATTGGTATTTTGATTGAAGCTCTAGTTCAAAAATCATTTGTGGACAAAATTATGAAAACAACAACTAAATCAATAATACAAAACAACATGAACAGAAAAACGACTAATATTGGCAGTGTTAGTGAGCCGGTCCTTCGATCGTCAATAAATCGGTTTTCATGGAACGATCGTTGGAGTTCAACTTCCGTAAAACTGAAATTAAAGCACAGTAAAAATATATAAATCTCTGGAAGAGGTAGTAAGAAATTTATTAAAAGGTTTATTCTTGAAATTTTGTTTTAATGCCAAATGTATACTATATATAGTAATCTTCATAAATACCAATTAAAGTTAAGCAAAACTCGTTGAATATATTGAGAACTGGCATTACAACAAAATTGTTATTGATTCGTCTGTTTTTTTTTTAGTTTTAAAATTTTGCTTCATAATTTAAGAAGTATAGCAATATGAGTACCTTTACACAACTTCATGTAAAGTAGGCAAACAAAATTAGTTACCTCCATATTGGTTCACATATTCCAGGAGCGTCCTTACTTCACCTATAAAACTACTGCATTCATTCAAAATCTATCTAGCTATTGCAAGGAATATTACTAACCGATTGTCCAGGCATGCCAGATTGTTGCTGCATATGTCCTGGGGACTGCATCATTTGATAACCTTGCTGTTGGTACATCATTTGTTGACCTGGCAACACAAAATATTTTGAATAAAAAGACTGAAATTTTGAATTCAACTCGAAAAAAAACAAAATTTTAAATTTTCACAATTTCCGAATCTCATTATATTCAAACCGGATAAGATAGGATATTTATATTTTTCTTGTGGAAGAGGAAAGCCAATGAGACAACTTAATCATATGACAATCCACGTTCTCTCGCCCGGTTACCAGCCCATGTCTGATGTGGCAACAGTTGGTCAGTTATTTGTTTGAGATGCCTATACTTAATACAACTACAGTTCTCTGACACTTTTGTTCTGATTCCGGATTATGCCAATGTCCAAATATTATTCAAAATGAATCGAATTGAAGGTGGTATTGGCTATAGACAATTTTTCATTTCAAAATTAGTATTTTCATCATTCACAGACAGAATATATACATCATACAACCCCCCTTACACTAAAAATAAGAAGGTTCATTCAGACTACTGATATAGCAGAAACGAGTAGATATACCTATTCTGCATCAATAAATTCAAATATTAAGAATTCACATTCATATTGTTTTTGACAAATATGCGGGTTACACAATTTTCATGATTATATGAACCTACCTGGAACTACAAACTGTTGTTGTTGTTGTTGTTGTATTTGCTGATAACCTCCCCCGCCTTGTCTCATTTGCTGATGATAATCAGGGGTTCCTTTTAAAAAAAACACATAGTTTTCGTTGGTGGTGTACTCTCAAACTGGGTAGGCATAAAATTCGTATCCTAGACTAGACCGTTAACTTGCTAAGTCAAGCTTCAACCATTAGGCGAGGGGTGAATAAGGTTTTTGGACCAGCGGCTAGAAATTCTGCCCACCTGTACTTGCAGGCTATGTAATTAGTTAAGGGCAGAAATTTATAGCAGCATCTGGACAGCCAGATTGAATCACCGATTGGGCCAGATTTGGTCCGCAAGCCTTAGTTTGTCATGCCAGCATTAGGCCATAATACACATAAATGATAATATTGAATGATAATAATATTATATGATAACAGAATGTACAAGGTTTACTCATATAGGCCTACATCTTGGCAGCCAAAAAAAATCCCAATCAGGCTTGTTCAAACCTGTAGTGATATTTGCTTATTTTATATAAATTTAATTCAGTGCTTGAGATCATAACCTTTCATGTAATTATTATCTTACTCTGGTATGCCCCTAGTGTAGGATGGTTCAAACCCAGGCCCTGTGGCCCGCGGCTTCATTATCTGTAGCCCGCGCCCTTTTCCAAAGTCGAGATTTTTGCTTCAAAAAGCTTAACGATGTTCGAAAACTCTTACTCAAAGTTTTTGTTTTGTATTGTTTACCTATTCCTGGCCCGCGAATAATGAAAAAATAATTTTGTGGCCCCCCCCGAGGTCTACAACCTTTGATGTAGTATTTTGTGTGCCTTGTACTACCCTGCCCCTATGTATCTGTTTTAAGGTTCATGGAGTGAATACAGTACTCTGAAATATTGAGTTTATTCTCAATAATATTCTACACTGTGGTTTAGACATCAAGGGTAGAAATATTATTACGTACCTTGATGTACTGGTGATGTCATAGAATGACCTGGTGATGTCATCATTGTTGATCCCATCAAGTTAGGTTGCCTACAGAAAAAGTAAAATTTGATTTATTTTCTCAACCAATAGAGAATTATTTTGACAAAAGACTTGGAAATTACACTTTAGGCATATATATACAAGGTAACTCGAAAGAAAAACAGAACTTGTAAGTTTGTTAATGGGTTATAGGAAATTAAATTTTGTTTGCGATTTAAATCTGTTTGTGTATGAATGTGCCTAGAAGTTTCAATAATCCAGGACACTTCAAATAAAAGATATGTTTTCTCTAAATATGCTCCGATTAACCTTGGTTCTATTTTTTGAGAAAATTTAAAAATGAAAATTTTGTTATATAACGAAGTCTACATCAGATGGATCATTTTGCTAAAATGGTTGTTTAGAGAAAATCGTTTTTCTCCACAGCTAATGGACAATATGGACCAATCAATTCTAAATCTTCAGTACTTTTGGGTACTCCCGTAGTGTATGTACCAAGTTAGGGTTAGGCTATAATTTTATTCCGATTTTCCTTATTCCAGTTCTATTACGAGTTCGGGGACTGTCTGTGTTAGCCCATAGGTTTCGGTCCCTTTACACAACTTGATGTAAAGTAGTAATGAACTCTGAAAAGCTATATTCCATATTTAAAAAAAAAACGATCATGAAATCTGTCAAATATAGCAAAATTTGCCTTTCTAAAGCTAACTCGAAAATACTTTCCTTATATACTTTCTTTATATAAATTTTGTTATTCTGACATGGATAATAACTAACGTCGTACCTGATTAAATTTGCGTCTAATTTCCTGAAATATTCTACTTTTGAAGTCAAGGATAATAAACTTGATAAATATATATAATCTGATTTTTCTGCCTAAATTATCTATCATATACCCTAAGGCAGTGGTTTTCAACCTGGTACTGTAGCACCTTAGAGTACCAAGAGAGGTTCCAGAAGTTTACATCCAAATTCAAGATATTATATTAATATATGTACATTGTTAAATATAATCAAATACATATTCGGTTAGCCATCATTTAACTTGCTACACTTCAAGGACTAATTTGTTCTGGCAGTATTAGGTTTGCTTCTATATAATTTTATAGTTCATACCAGTGGTTCCCAACCGAGAGCTTATGGCTCATAAAGGGGGGCCACAGAGAAGTTAGAAGAGGGCCCCCATACCAGACGCAAAACTGATTTTACTTTTACTAGAAGACTCCTCGTTACTCTCAGTTTCATTGTTTGGTAAGGTTCTTATTTCACAAGGTGTTTTTTTCACTTTGTTGAGCATGAATTGTTTAAACAAAATCGTATTTGGGAATCTACCAATCAATCAAAGTAAAAAATTTACTGGAATGATAAACACTCGAGGGCCATGAGGGCTAAAAGCCTCCAGAAAAAGGTAACAAGATATGGAAGGTTGGGAATTGCCAGTTTATTCAATTCAGACAATTACCTATTGCACAGGTCAGGGGTTCTCCCGAGCTTCTGGAATGTTTCAAAGGGGCTTTGTGAAACAAAAAAAGTTGAAAACCACTGCTTTAAAGTAGATATATTAAAGTTCCCTGCCTCAATACTTTTGTCTTTTTCTTGGTTTTTCCGAATCCAAACATCGTTGCAAAATTATCCTCGTCACAGTCACTGGACATCGGAGACATAGGAGAGGTCAAATGTCGCGAACTTGATTTCGCTTTCTTTAACGCGGCAGCAAACGGGTTGTCCATCTCACTCTCCTCGTCCCCACTATTGAATAAACTATCGAGATCGAAATCAGCATTATCAGTAAACTTTGACCTTTGCGTTGTACCTCCTCTAAGCGAATCTATATTTTGACTACTTTGACTATGGACGTCACGAACAACATTCGCAAAAGCTCCAAACATTTCATCCTGATTTTTCGAGTCGTTTTCATCCAAAAGTAGATCGACTACATCGACATCAGAAATATGGGTGCGAACAGTTGCGCCAGATCTTTGCGTCAACGGAGATAGAGGAGCATCCTCGTCACTCAGAGATTCCTCACTCATAAAATCCTCTTCATCTTCACTTTGAATTTTTCTGATGAGTTTGGTTCCTCGTAAATTCTTGGTGAATTTTGCGAAAGGATTCGTCGATGTGAAAACATCCTGCGTTGTTACAACCTTGACGGGAGAATTTAACGGACTTTTTTGCGAATGAGCATCCTTGAATACTTCGTCTTCTGAGATGAAAGTTGTATCGTCAGCCGATAAGAAGCCATCTTCTTCCATTTTGCTTTGCGTTCCGAACAGTTGATCAAATTTTTCAGACTTTTCAAATTCTGCTTTTTCTTTCACTGATAACTGACTACCTTGTGATATTGATGGAGTAGTCGCAACGCTCTGTTTGGCAAAATTTTTCAGATCTGGTCGAATTTTAGCTATTTTCGTTGTTTCTTTGGGTTCATTTTTTGTTGTATCGTCAGTAAATTTTTTGCTGATGTCAGCATTTTCCATCTCAAATGAACTCTCCTCCGAACTCAATGACGTATCTTCATCTTTTCTGTCATTCTCCTTCCTTTCAATTTCATCCCAAAAGCCGAACAATTCCTCTTCTACATTCACGTCATCAATTGTAACATTCGGATTATTTTGAATATTTTTGAAATAGGAAACATGAGCTGGGGATGATTTTTTTTGCTCAAATTCAGAGAGTCGATTACTTCTCGCGTCTCTAGTTCTTTTTCCACCTTCCTGTATTTCCTGTTTCGATTCACGTAATAATTTCTTCGGCGAACTTTCAATTTCTGGCGATTCTTCATTATATGAAAACACTTTTCTATTTTTTCTAGAAGACCGTCTCTGAGCAGGACTTTCCATATCAATATTTTTTCCTTTTTTCACAACGCGAGATGCTTTTTTGGCACTTTTTTCAGGCGAAAAACTGTCCACAGCATCTTTGAAGTCAGATTCGTCTGATTCTGCATCAGTGACCACAGATTTTCTTGATTTTAAATTTTTATTCTTTTTCTTTATGATTCTACCAGAAACATCTGAATCCATGGCTTCATTAGGAATTTTATCAATATTTCGTTCTTCGATTCTTTTCGTACTTTTCCTCTCCGCTGAACTGTCTGAAATGATTGTCATTGATGTCGCATTTTTATTTCCAAATTCATCAATTTCATCGCCAATAATTTCAATTCCCGTCTTTTTCCGCTTTCTGATTGGACGTGTACTAGTCTTTTTTCCTTCATCTGCACAATTTTTAAATTAGCAAAAAATGGTTCGATAACACTTAGGGATGGTTAAATAGTCCAGATCACAATTTGGATGGCCTCCGTAGAAGGCACATTGGGCGGTGCTCCGAAGTATGTGCACCAAGATGGCACACAACCTGAACACAGTAAGTGTACCAGGTTAGGGTTATCAGGTTGTGCGCCATTTTGGTGCATGCTTGTCAAGTTCACAAATGGATGTTTTTCCTAACCTTACACCAGAACATTTACCTATAGTTTACCATTGCAAAATTTCGGATGCTCATTTTTTAGTGTTTTTTGAGAGCTTGCAAACTCTTCAAAAGTACAATTTTGTTTCAAAGTATTCGAACAGCTGTCTGAAAAAGAATCAGCAGCTAATTCGAGCTTAGTCTCTCCCATTTTCGCTACCGCAACTGGACTGGGAATCTTCCAAAGACAAATAAGATTTGTCAATGAGGTATTAAATTTATACCTATATTTATTGCCACTAAAAACTGACAAACGCCAGACAGAACAACATGAATATATCAAAACAAGGGGTATTAATGTCATATGTGAACCAAAATGGCGGATACCGGAATGTAGAAGGTGTACCAGGTTAGGATTAGGCCATAATTTCAGGTACAAATACTACTTGGTACTACGGGGGGTCACTTGGCTAGTCCCCGAACACGTAATAGAACTAAAATAAGAAAAATTAGAATAAAATTATGTCCTAATCCTAACCTGGTACACATACTACGTTCCAGTGTCCGCCATCTTGGTGCTCATATTACGGGAGCACCAAAGAATGTGTGGAAGCTCATTTGGGAAATAATGATAAAAAATAACGAGACACTCACCAGTATTCGAACCACTCACTGAAACCTCCTCAATAATATCCTCGTCTCTCACACTCCTCTCAGAAACATCCTCAACCTGTACCTTTCTCAATTTCTTTCTGATCTCACTCACGTCTCCAATATCAGAGCTTTCCTGACTTTCAGAATCGAATATGGAAGCTAACATTGATGTTTTTCCTCCTCTCTTGGGTGTGGTATCTTCCTCACTCACTGAAACTTTATTTTTATCTCGACGCTGCCTCAATCTACGACCTTCCTTACCACTATCAAGCCATGATTTGAGATCTCTTTGATTGCCACTGAGTAGAGTTAGGGTGGAAAAATGTATCAGTTACGTTGTAAAAATTAATTTTATATGGCAAGACATTTTAAATGTTCAAATTGGTCATGTATTCAATACTTTACGAAACAAAAAAATGACTATCCGATGGAAAAGTTGGCTCTTTTAATGAGTGTTGTAATCATCGCAAATGTTTTCACAGGGTGACCAAAAAAACGGAACATATACAATATGTTCCGAATGAACCGGGTTCCGTTGTTTTGGGTCACCCTATAGAAGACATTGCGTGGAACATTCAGATCCCGATTTTAAAACCCCACCCTTTTTTGAAAATCCTGGCTGTTCCTTTGAATGATCTTTCTACTGGAGATAAGTGTAAACGCAAATTTTATCTGCTAGTTACAATTTGCAGTTTTTCTTATTTTTCTCAAAGCAAGTCTACACACTCCCACGAAAATAACATAAATTTTCACAATGCCGATCATATTCGTTACTTACTGTTGCTGGTATGATATGGAGGAAACGTTAGCGTCATCCATTCGCATTTGTTTTGAAGGAACACCATCACGTTGTACTGTTGATGTGTGCTGGGAAACATGAAAAATTTCAAATTGAGAATTTGGTTCTCAAGAGGCAGGTGATTTGACCTGCCGTGGGAGAGACTTTACAATAAAAGCATCACAGATTAAAATCTCACCCCACCCTTATGCCTTACATTGTTCAATAAATTGATTGATAACCTTGTTGATGTTGTATTATTTCTACTATTTCCTTTTTTCGTTTTTCGATTGTGTCAACCATAAAAGAACATTACCTAATAGATAATAAGGTAACCCTAAAAAAATAAAATTACCATACTTGCCTAATAGGACGATCCCCCCAAAATCAGGCAAAAAATTTGGGTCTAGAAAAGCGACTTATTCGCCGGGAAATACGATATATCTATTTTGATATTGTAAATAATATAAGATTGTATTATATGATGATAGACAATTTAACAAACCTTATTGCTGATGACCTTCCCTAAACCAAATTAAGAAAAAGGGGTAGTGCCCTAGTTGGTCATATAATTTTATAAACAAAATGGAAATCTTGACTTGAAATTAGAAATTGATTAAAAAATAAAAGTGTGATAGCCCAATTGCTTAAACCCCTACGCCCACCCAGAGTGCATTATCTTTGGTAGGAAAAGCTAAACCAAAGAGTAACGTCAATAAAAAGTTCTCATTTCACGCTTTTAAAACGCCTTGTTCAGAATGAAATGCCCCATATGGAAACTTACTCAAAGATAGTGTGAATATTTAAAATTCTTCCGATAATAATAATATTCATTGTTTTTTTTTCACTACAATGTGTACTTCAATGATATTCAGAATTAAATGAATATCTAGTGTTATCTATCGATCTTGTTCAGAAGAAAAGACAATAGCGTCATCTGAAAATTACTGAGGTATGTGATCTAGTACAAATGGCTTTTTACCTGTGGCACAGGGTTCATTGGTGTCATAGGTGCACCAGGGCTCATAGGTGTAGCAGGTGTCATAGGTGTTCGAGGTGCATCCACGTCACCTTCCACATTTTTCTTCTTTCTGCCTCTGCGACCCTGGATGAAAATATTACAGATAAATGAATGTTTCCCAATTGAGGAATTTAGATGTTTTTGAGAAGAGAATATGGAAATGTCACCAAATTCACTAATATTGTTTATTATTTGGCATTATTTTAACCAAATTTATGGGTTTGTTATAAACGATTCAAACTGCACAAAAGCTACATTGCGACTTGCTAGTAACGCTTGATTATGATCCATAAAACATTGAACGAATGATGGAAACATGGTTTTTAAGCATAGGCAGGGAAGGAATAAAAAGTTCCAAAACAGGCAAAAGGAGGAATTTATCAAAAAAGATTGGAACCACCTGAGGAAACCTTTTTGTTGAACAAAGCCCAAGACAAGCAGCTAAATATGTATTTTGATTCGCTTTTGCATGAACAATTTTATGAAAATGTAGACTGCAGAACTGAAATTACTAATTTTTATAAATAATGTGTTTGAATTTCTATAGAGCTGTGAGAATGAAGAATTTAGAAGTCACATTTCACCTTCATTGGTTGTTTCATAATTTCAGCGTCATCTGATCCTTGTATTAACGAGTTTCTATAAGTTACGAGTGGAATCCATCCTAAAAAATTACAAAACTTATTATTTTCATGCATTTTGCTCAAAACAAGGCACAGTACAAGCAGTCACTGATATTCAACAAGATTTCGGGAGAAAGAATAACATTAATTTTCCCTGGTTCTGCTTGGCTACTTAATTTTTTGCACCCCGAGTGACGTGGGAAGTACTTCAACCTGGGATGGCAACAAACAAACAGAGCTAAGCCAATGCTTTCGATATTAAACAAAATGAAATAGAAACAATTGGAATAGAAGACAGAACTCTATTCTGAAAGGATTTTGAAAAAGTTCTGGAACTTGGAGATAATCAATTTACAGTGATACCTCAGTAGTCCAACGGCTCGACACTCGAACAATTCAGTAGTCTACCAAAAAATTTGGTTCTCCCGAAGTATGTGAATCAAGATGACGGACACCGAAACGAAGTATGTGTAACAGGTTAGGGTTAGGCCATAATTTCAGGTATAAATACTACTTGGCTAGTCCCGGAACTCAAAATAGAACTAAAATAAGGAAAATTGGAATAAAATTATGGCCTAACCCTAACCTGGTACACATACTACGTTGCGGTATCCACCATCTTGGTTCACATACTTCGGGAGTTCAAAAAATTCGAGCCAAAAATGCTGCAGTACTGAAATGGAAATTCAAAGCTCAAACACCCAAGCCGAGAGCAAGGTCGAGTGAGATGACGTCACACAACCAGAAATTTGACTTGATTCAAAGTTTGTGGACCTGCACCCAACAGTGGAACTTCATAACGAAGAGACTAACCTGCTGTCTGTTGCTTCAACATATGTGGTTTGATATGTTTGTCCAAATAATTCACGCTAAAGAAGAGAAATAAAAAATAAGACCACACATCAAGTTCAACAAATTTTTAGCGACAAATGAGCAGAATATCTTTCCTAATAATACGACCACGCTTACTACAAGATTATACTCACAATACTTGACGACTAGATTAGACTATGCTACAGGGAAAAATATAGCCAATGTGCAAAATTCGACACATTGAGTCTTTTTAATGCGCCTGTTACCTGCATTGGGGTGGGGAACATGGGATTTCGAACCCAATATTAACCACCACGTCATCGTGTCACCCAAAATATGATAATATTAAATCTATATGTAGTTCATAGAATGTTAGTCATTGTCTACATTTTCTTCTAGCAAGAAGTCAACTTGTGAGCGATGAAAAATATGAATAAAATTCAAACATTTTGACTTACACAGTCTTACGATCTTGTCTCATCAGTTTGGAGGAAAATTCGACGAGTATGAGAAGGAAACTCAAGTTTTCAGGAGGATAATTCTCATTGTAATGATCTTCGCTCTTTTTCAATGCAAATAATATCCCTTCCCTGGAAGAAAATTTAAAATTTTTTTTAATGAAATCAAAGCAAGAAATATGCATAACTATGAGAAGCAAATGGCAAGAGTTTTACCAACGTTTCAAATTTTATGACAACAAACACTTCATGACTACAAACATCTCACTTCACAATGCTCCAGAAATGTACTGGACATTATATATATTCTTATCCAATATATAATTATATTACTAATTTCTTTGATACATTATGAAATAATATTTAATAATATAGAATATTGAGGGCCATGTTAAATGGAGTAATTTAAAAAATATAGAAATTAATCATACTTGTGAAGGGCTGCAACCGCATCTCTGGTTTTAACTTGGTCCAAACCAAAAGTAAGTGATAATCTTCGAGCTAATTCTTTCAAATGTCCGTACTCTTGAGAGCTCTGATCAAGCGAGCCCCCCTGCATACGAATAGTCTCTCGGTACAACTGTAAAAATAATGAGGATTAAATTATTAAAGGAACTAGTGTAGCGTTTTCAACACGGAAAGGGATCCACTCCCAGACATGAATTTTGCTGCATTTGGAGAGGAAACAGAAATAGTACTTTGCATTCAATGTAGATTCACTGATATTGTTTACAATTTGATGTTATTGCAATACATATTCAACGATTCGTTATAAACTATTTAAACTATGCAAACGATTAGGAAATGAGAGTAACACTAGATACGGATCATTAAAAAATTGAACAACTATCCGAAATAGGCAAAAAAAGGGCATTCCAGAAGTGCGAGTACAAATATGGAGGTAACTAATTTTATTCGCCTATTTTAGATCAAGTTGGGTAAAAGTTGTGTAAAAAGAGGCAGGGGTTATATTCACTTGGCAAACAGAGACAGTCCCCGAACTCGTAATAGAACTAAAATAAGGAAAATCGGAATAAAATCATAGCATAACCCTAAACTGGTACACACACTACGTGAGTACCAAAGAAAGAATACATCAATAAACAAAGGGAAACACTAGCCTAGTGAATGAAATTTACCAATGTTGACTCCCCAGGTTAAACGTCTATCAAGTTACTATCCCATGTTCACCAACTCAAACCGACGATATAGCTAAATTGGGCACAAAATGGAGAACCAAAAAGATTCGGTCTTTCCATAAAACAGTAAATAATCAAGAAGAAGAAAGGTCAAGGATTTAAGTTTCACAGTACAGTTATGATCGAGTATAGCTTTAACGAATTTACAAAAGCTAGTTTCAGATTTACAGTTACTGACCCAAGCATGAGCTTGAAATGTATTCAAAAAATTGTCAAAAAATCGATAGCAACTCGAAATTTTTTTTCTTGCGCTCCAAAACAATTAATAACAATTTTAAACAAGTTTTGCTTTGTGTAAATAAAAAACTACGTACCGACATGATGCTGAGGGCGAGTGTGTGAGCACAAGCCATTTTATTTGCATGTCTTGCCCTGCTGATCGTTTCTTTTATAATATCACCATAATCGGGATAAAACCTAAACAAAACAAATTTACTAAAAAGTTAGTAAAGTGTTAAAGTCATTAACACCCAAGGTCCAAGTAAAATTTCGCTCAAAAAAGGAAAGATTTGAAATAATTTTCACTTCCTTCAAGATGTTATTAAACAAGGTGAGACTGTGAAGCAAGCGCCTAGCATGTTTTCATTGAATTTGGAGTCGAAACCATATTTTCAAACTTTCAACTTTCGATGTTTCGAAATTTCTGCGTGACACCCAAAAAGTGATTGTTTGACTCCGCTTCCTAACAGGAAATAAAAGAATATTCGGTTTACTTGAAGTTTAAAGAGTAAGTCAAGATTTCCTTCAACTTGGAGTTGGAAGCTGAGTTAAAATTTTTGCTAACCCAGAGTCGAGATTCCGAGTTTAATTTTTTACGTTCTGACAGCATGCACACTAATCTGAATTATACAAACATTCTTCGCCCTTGCAGTTATACCTGATATACTGCTGGAATACTGATGCAGCCAGTCTTAATTCAATCATGTTGAAGACAAATAGTTTACAAATAGCAGCAAGCAATAATCTCCTGTGATGCAGAGCATCTATCTTGGCGGTGTCTTCTTCGTCTAAATAAGTAAAAAGTAAATTAACAAAAAGAAAGAAATATATCAAAATAAGTTCTGTTTACTCCATACAATTTCTCAAACTGGGTCCTGAACCAAAGGAATTCACTAAGCACCATTAGTGATTACATTAATGACTGTGATTTATTCAATTCTTAGACAGCAATGTAATTGTAGTTTCTAATCTTTTTTTAACTAAACATTGTGCTTTTAATTATTAAACATGTGTTGAAAATCTTTGAATGTAAGTCTTTGAAAAGCGCTGCAATTTTTAAGAAACAATATTCTTCTTTACTTAAACTTAGAAATATATCCAAGCCTACAATATGTCACAAAAATATGAAAAAAGGGGATTGTGCTGTACCATACATAGCATTTTGGCCTCACTTGAACCAAAGATATAACAAGTTGTGTAATTGAGCAATCCCGAACTGGAAATATAGGGCCTTCCAATGAATAATTGCTCGTTACTATTGTTAGAGATCAGTGACTACTTATACGTGGCATTGTTCAGAGAGAATGGTGTGAAAATCGTATAAAAAATCATGAATGAATTACCATCATCATCATCCTCATGTACAATGAATACATAAGTGTTAACGAAGTCGATGAGCAAATGTTGTACGGTGTCAGATGGTCGTTGAACCAGGGGTCGAAGGTTAGGACAACTGTGTGCGAGTTGAGGAGAGAACAAGACAATCAGATCACATAATGCCATGTAACTTGCTTCCTTCACCTTAATAAATATTTTGATGTAAAATTCAAAATAGTAGGTGGTTGCTAACTGGTTTATTTACAGTGGAGACTTTATAGTAGGCTATGCATATTGCTGCCTCAAAACCAATGTGACTATGAGACATTTTCCAATTTTTTTAAATTTTCTGATGAAGGGCTATTTCTTGGTTCCTAGCTGTGTCTGCTTCAGTTTTGATTTTATGTGGTGCCTTTTGTTCATTTTTAATTTGACGGTTGGAACTAAACTATCACGAAAATAAGATTTTGATGAGTGGCTCTTGGCATTTCAGTGGTCATACTTAACTTTGAGAGGAATTCAGTTAACTTCTGAGTGAGTGCTATGAGCAAATTGCCTCAAAATTCACCATTTTTCCATAACCTTCATTATACTAACCTTTGGATGTGGAGACTGTGACAACAGTTCTTGACACGACTGTAAAAACTCGGTGACTTTTTGTCGAAGTTTTGCGATGGCTAGCTTCTGATCTTGAGTAGCAGACTGACCTCCATCTTCCTGATGTTTTACGACCGCAAGATTATACATCAAATCGCAATGTAGGAACTTGATAGCTTGCTCCAACATCTGAATATTGAATCAATTTTATGGCACATTTTTATAAACAGTTCAAGTAACTAGTGCTTGTATTTTCTCTGTCATTGGCCATAGGATGAGTGAATATGGCTGAAGAAATGGGTAACCTTCTTTACCACAGAATGAATATGGAAACCATACGTCAAGTTGATAATCTCAAGACACGGAATATCAAAAATGCAGTACAAAAAAATTAACCATAACATGGTCAGGTTTAACGAACAAATCTATCGAAAAATCTTTGAAAACAAGACTCACATCCTCTGGGACCGAATCAGGTTTTTCTTGGTACATCTGCAGTATAGAAGACACACTGGGATGCAGTTCGCAAGACAATATGTTATTATGCATGTAGATTTGTGTCAATCTTTTCAATGCTTGCACTACATTGTATATCTCTTCTTCATCTGCTCCATTTGTTGAGTCGGAGGTCTGAAAAACAGAAAAAAAATTGATTCGATTTCGAGGCACGGGTCATTTTCTTGTTTTTTGGTTTGGTTAGTTACAACCGATGCTGAAAATTTTGATATTTTGGAAATTACATAAATAATTTACAGAACTGATCTGTATTAAAAAGTGTTTTTGTCAATATTTAACAATAAATCAAACGGTCATGACAAAGGACAAACGGTCAGTCACGCTTGAGAGAATAAAAACGATGTTTCAATGAACTCAAACAAAACAGTGAAATTTCCCCAAGTATGAGATTCGATATTTCATTCAAAATTGTTATTTTTAGAAGTGAAAACACTGTTTTTATTCAGTCAGGCAGGACTGCCGTAATCACGACTGTCCTTCGTTATGTGAATCATTATTTCATTATTTCCAATAAACTCAACACAGCATAACAATTTACCGCATCTTTAAAGATGTCTAAAGCCAGAGTAAAATTCTCAGCCCAAGTGTCGATGACAGTCTGTCGTTCAACTTGTGCTTTGTTGCACATTGTGTAGTCATTATCGCATAGTTTATGATAAGTCATCGAAGCTTGCTCCAACAAATCTGCATCTGTGTGTTTATCGATGATAATCGACATTTGTCGAAGCAACATTTCTAAATGCTTTTCAAGTCTAAAATTGATATTATTGAAATTAGTTTTCTACTAAGCGAAAGAGTAGCCATTATTAGGAGGGATGGTCTAGCACAGTGCTTCTCTTCTCATCTGTTATTTGTAGGATATCGTTAGCTAGTTATTTTTGAGGTGGGGGCGCAAGAAAGTTTGAGAAACACTGCTTTAGCGGATCATTAGCTAGCGATATGCCCAAGTAGCATTCCGCTTTTCATTCAAATCGAATATTTAAAATGAGTAAATATGTATCACAATAATACCAATTAACTCATACAAAGTGAAATTTTATCTCCAGAAACAGGAAAATTCTCTTACTCATCCAAAAAGGAATTTCTCACCAGTTGCGAAAGTCTGCACTAACAAAATATGGCCCATATCGTCTTTAAATTAATCTTTGTGTAACTTTTACCTGCTGGTTGTGTAGAGTTCCAAATCAAAGAATCTTGGGATTTGTAGAAGCATGGTGACCTTTTCCTTGTCAACTTGATATTTGTTGAGTAAAGATGGTAAAGCGACAATAAAAAGTTCAGTCAAACGAACTTTATCTTCTAAAGCAGTTCGTTTGTCTCTGGTAGCAAGTTTCTGTAAAGGGTTGTTATTGAAGATTAGAGAATTCATATTGTTAATGATAGAATTTGAGTTTTTTTAATTCATACAAACAGCTCATCATCTTGAGTCAAGATTCAGCAGGTAGTCACTCTGAAGTGAAGGATAATCATCTTAAAAGAGCTTATATGTGAGTACTCAGAAGTAAAAGACACTCTTCCCGAGTGAAGTTACGCATAAGTAGCTCATTCAGTAGTACACTGAAAGACAATGGCATTCATACAGAGTAAAACTGAATGCCCGCACTGACTCAGAAGTTACGGGCACTCACTAAGAAAAAGGCACAAAGTTACACAAAAACAGTCACTCAGATGTAAAGGATGCTCATTTTAAGCAAAGTTACATTCAAAAGCACAAACTCAAAAACAAAAGACACTCATATCAATCTAAGTGCGAGCAATCACTCCTATTCAAAAGACACCCATCTTGATTTTTTTCTATTTTGACTCGCCCCAAAATTCTGCAGTCTCTGGTGGACATCCATGGCTCTCAATTCTTACCTTTGAAAACCCTTGTCTACCAGTCGGAGGTGTTCCTTCGGCGGCTTGCTTCACACTGCAAACCATGATATCAACCAGAGCACTTTCTTGTCTTGAGTCCATTTGATCTCTATCGTTGGCAGGTTCCTCTAAGAGTAAGTCACTCATGCAATCCCAATCTTTGAGCATATTCGAAGCTACGTCCCACAAGGAATCAACGAGATAGGTTGCATGTTCATGGAGCTGAATAAAAAGGAAAATATGAGATAAGTCAATAAAATGTACAAAAAGACGTTTAGTTTGGACGAGGACATGGAAAGTGATATTCAATGAGATATATTTGCTCTGAATAAGACCCTATAGCTTTGCTGAGAGCGAGGCCGGAAAAGAACTCGCTGATATTAATAGAGATATCTTTGCTCTGACAAGTGGAGAAGCCAGAAATTTTCTTAACAGAAAGTTACGATGGAATTAATAAAACAGTGTACCAAAGGTGCAACTTGCAATGTTGTGAGGTGTCCTCACATTTATTAAAGAGCACCAATTGCATTGCACATTGTTAATAGCAACCATCAAAAAGATTTTGGCTCTAAAAAGTTAGCTACTGATATGTATAGGTCTCTGCTCGGCACCAGAACCGAGACAGACATATAATCAACATGTTCTGAATGTATGATTTTGGGAATGATTAAAATATTCTCTAATTCTCAGACACGTGACATTCAGTAAACTGCTTTTAACATTTGGTTACAATTTTGCTAACATTGCGCTGGCCTAGTTTTTCATTTTTGTACCTATATTTGAATATTGTTCTGTTGATAAAAAACTTATTGAGTGATTATTCAATTTTTTCAAAGCATAGAAGGAACTCTTACCTCACTCTCAATGAAGAACAAGACAAGATCAGTAATGAGAGGCGCATTTGGGCTTCTTCTTCGCCCTCGTTTTGTGTATCCTGGAGTCACCTCCTGTTAAAACAGAAAAAATACTTTTTCTACTTTGAACCATGAAATTCGAAATCAAATTATTCAAATGGGTACTCCCGTAGTGTATGTACCAGGTTAGGGTTAAGCTTTATTTTATTCCGATTCTCCTTATTTTAGTTCTATTACGAGTTTGGGGACTGCCTGTATTAGTAAAGTGAATATACCCACTGCCCATATGCTTCACTCCTTTTACACAGCTTGATGCAAAGTAGGCGAACAAAATTAGCTACCTCCATATTGGTACTCATACTTCTGGAGCGTCTTCAAATGAACTCAAAAAACATCGAGTGTACTAAGCGTTTTTAACAATGATTATAGAAGGCTTGTACTGTACTAAAACTTTTGGTATTTGGCATGAAATTTTCCATACATTACCTTGTTTGCAAACAATTGCTTGTTGAGAAACTCCGCGGCAGCTATGGCAACCGGTCTATGCACGGAATACACAAGCTGATAAACACTTTCCGAATCATTTGAAGACAAAACTGGAGTGTCATATCCACAATGACTGAAAAGTTGAAACAATAATTACTTGAGGTTCACAAAACCTTATATCTGCACAAACAAAACCTCGCATTTATTCGCCTGACATAGAACAAAATGCAATTTGAATTAGAGCACACAATATAGACCCAAGTGCAAGGGGGGCTGGCACCTTCTCCCGTGCATGCCTGGGATTCTAATCCATAACCTTCCAAATTTCTTTGTCAGTTGCACACTAGATGGCAGGGATAACATGCAAGCCAGTATATGAATGTAGCGCTTGATAGCGAAATACAGTTCATTTCGTTTCATAAACCCTGAACAAGGCGCTGTATATGTAGCCTCTGATAAAATGTGATAAACTACTATTTTTTGAATTCATGCAGTTCGGTGGCTTTGGGACTTAAATCAGGGCACACAGAGCAGAATTGGCAACCAAATGTGCATTCATATAATTAAGTCTTCTGATCAGCCTAGCCCTCTAATCTCCCCAAAACAGCCATACTTACTCAAGAATTAAGATCAAGAGCTTGATAGCCAGAACTGCAACATCGTATTCCTTATCCAATGTCATCGACACAATTCTATCTTTGAATCGACTTGTAAATAATTTCAAATCCTTCGTCATTTCATCGTCTCTGTATAAACCTTGTAACGTCATGAGGCACTTCATACGAACTTCTTTTTGCTGAGAAAAATAAATGACGATAATTGGAGATGCAAAGTAGAAAAAAATTTACTCCCGACTCAGACCCAAAACTCTGAGCCATTTTGAAACTGACTTGAGCTTTTAAATTCTCCAAAAAACTTCAAAAAAAATTTTTTGATACCAAAAACCTCAGCATACGAATGCTTTTTTAATTCTGTATTAAGAGTGCCTACTCAACCCGATGCTTTGAGTTTATTTTGTAAAATAAAACTCTATTATCCTTAGAATTCTGACTCGATTGAATCAAGAATTTGACGCAAGTATTAAATATGACTCTGGTTTAGAGTTTAAAAATATGATTCCAGCTTCGATGAATTTTAAAATTCACTTTCGACTAGTTTAAAATAACGCTCCATAATAATAAATAACATTCTCTACTCAAAAGTTTCACTTTTTAGTTAGGCTATTACATATAACAGCTGATTGAGCTACTAAAAGCCCAGTGTACGTGCTTGTTTATTTCTGTGTTAGGTTCATCACAACTTTGTTAGTTCAAACTTCGACTAAAAGTCTTGGATCAACACGAACCAAAGAAAGACTTTCAAATCAAAACACCATGCTATTTATTAAAGAACGAACAGTATATGTCAGCAGGGTCATATGTCGTGACTGTTTAATGCGTTGCTAGATTTAAGGCACAAATCATCATAAATATTAATTACCTTATCGTGAAGAGTCCATCCAACATATTTCAAGTAACTGTCGGTCAAAAACACTTTGGGAAACATTTTCATCCAAACCCCTATTTCTTCCATGCATAATGCTCGGATATCAGCAATGAAATCACGATAACGATGAACAAAAATTCCCTGAAAACAAATAAGAACAGAAATAAAGCTGGAATAAAACTAAGCTGATATAACTTCAAACACTATGCCGGTCGGCAATGGTGCTACTGTGTCGTTTTAATAGCAGTGTGTCCGAATGGCAACAACATTTTGACAAATGTGCAAAAAAGACGCGATTATTCAGTGACCTAGCACAGAGCTTCTCAACTCAACTGTGGTCTGAATCCGGCCGGCCTTTCCGAGTTCCGAGTATTCATTCTTTATTTTAGATCATTGACCCAACATTGGATATGTGAAGGTTTCCTTTTATTAAATGACTTTCATATTTTCAAAGGTTATTACTTATCGATTTTAATCGGTAAGTATGTTGATAGGTATTTGTCTGTCTGTCTGTTAGATGCACGCGATATCTCACGAAAACGAGATTGAATCTGCTCCAGATTTTTCATGTGCATTCATCATATCTCGGACCAGATGCCTATTGATTTTGGGCGAATTATGTCGTATAATTAGCGAGTTATTAATTAATTAGTGATGGGACACAAGGTGTTACTATGGAGTAAGAGCGCTGTTTTGGGGGATCCCCTAACTTTTGATCGCGAAGTCCTCGGTCTCTGACCGATATTCTCGTTTTATAATTTATTGATATTTGCACCTGACAATATAAGAAAAGAACTGTAGCGCGAAAAAAAGTGCACATTTAATAAGGATGTTGAAATGTAATTTCTGCAAAGACCGGACATCAGTAACTTCAAAATTTTGTTCACGGATCTTTGGTAAAAAAAGATGAGAAGCCTTGGCCTAGCAGTTAAAATGGTAGTTCTTTAAATATAAAATGGATACAAAATGGATGCTTGTACGAAGACTCGTTTGAAGTGAAAGGCATTGTATAAAAAAATGTAATAACATTCAACGGTTCCCGTACATTAGAACCCACTACAATTGCACCTGCGTACTATTGCACATATGGAAATTTTTCTTGTTTTGCGGATATTTGCACCCATACCAACCCTAACCCATGGGTTTCAGCACCCGGATATAGATTGTCCCAGCGGATATACACATGGGTTCAAATGTACGTGGGTTCAAATGTATGGTCACCACATTCAACATACTCAAATGTACAAACCTTGAAGATTCCATTAAGCATGCTTTCAATCTCAGTTTGTTGATCTTCAAGCTACAGAATAATATAATGGTGATTTTCAATAAAAAAATTTCATGAAAAATTCAGAACTATTGGAAATGTTGACATCAATATAATCATAATAGACCTATGGGTAAAACCACTGGAGTGTTACTTTCTGAGTACGAATACTGCCATACTGCTGGTCTCCAGAGGTCATTAGTACATTGGTACAGCAGAGGCAACATGTTGCTTTTGTCTGGTTTATATTATGTTATTTGTGGTTCATTTGAACTGCTTATGTGCTCAATAAAACATTGATTTATACCAAAAGACATGCAGGAATTTATTCATGGTAATTATGTCTTTGATTAATTTAGATCAAAAATGCAAGCCACATCAAGAATTAGTGACTATACAATAATTCACAGTTTGCCATATCATTCTCCTACATTGATATTTAAATACTACTAATTTTGAACATAAAACCATCATACATCTTTTCTTTTTTCAAGAAGCATGTCCAATTTTTCTGACGCTCTTTTATTTGCAGATTTTGCTCTCTCTCCTTCGTACTGCCTCTGAGTATTGTCTAAACTCACACTCAACTGGAGTGCAACATTCACAAGTGCTGTCATGAGTTTCATGGCTAAAAAAAACGAGAATATCGGTCAGAGACTGAAGACTTATCGATCGAAAGTTAGGGGATCCCCCAAAACAGCGTTCTTACTCCATAGTGACACCTTGTGTCCCATCACTAATTAATTAATACCTCTTTAATTATACGACATAATTCGCCCAAAATCAATAGGCTTCTGGTCCGAGATATGATGAATGCACATGCAAAATCTGGAGCAGATTCAATCTCGCTTTCGTGAGATATCACGTGCATCTAACAGACAGACATACAAATACCTATCAACATACTTACGGATTAAAATCGATAAGTAACAGATCAATAAAATTCAAGGAAATTTTTTAAAACATTTTGTTCTTATAGAAAAACTACTGATCCCGAGGGAGAGCAACAACCCGACTCTCTCTCATATGCAGATCCATAAATTTACATAGTGTACCACAAAGCTACCAAGAGTTCATTATTAAGCAAGCAAGCAGGGAGGGCCAAAACAAAATCGAAATGAGTTATATTCGCCATTTTAAATTTGGGCATAAATCACTTTAAAAGTGAAGTAAAACTAGAGATCAAAGTAAATCATTGATTATTTCAACTTTCCTGCATTTCAAAATCCAAGCATATTGACTTCAATATGCTCTTCGCTGCAAAAGGGGGCAGAGAGAAAGATGTTCAGCATCCCACATTTAAATTTTTATTTTCAAACAAGAGTTAAAGTGGTAGGGTGATACGGCTCAACCAGATGGCGAACCATGGCCTCTTGTCCAATGACAATGACCAGTCTATGTTTGGGAATAGTTAACCAGTTATTTGTTTCAAATGCATGGACAAGTGCTGGAAATTGTGTAACAATACCTCTCTACAGCAGCAAAGAACCTAGCAACCCTAATGCACACAATTGTCTCCACTGCAGTCAAATCTTCAACAACACCCTACTTTTTGGACACGTTTAGTGGCCATAACGATCGTTTCAAAATTTTGTTGTTATTGTTATTTGTCTCCGTCTCCATTTTTAAAAAATCGATTTTCTCTTCGAATACTGGACCAATTGCTTTGATATTTTCAGTGGTTAAAGATAAAATTTTTCTCCAGAAGGCTATTACTTTTTTTTTTCGCTAGGACGTCATCAAAATTATTGCCACTGGGTGGCGCTACGTGTCCATATATTTGAGCATAGCTCTCTTGTTGCAATTAAACATACAGTTATTGAGAAAATCAGTCAATTCTTACCAGCAAGAGTAGAAGTATGTCTGAAAGCCCGTACTTGTGAGTTACTCAATTCAGTCAGTAATGTCAATACATTATCCATCATAAATTGATCGTATATTATCTGATACTGACATTGACGTACGAGAGCCTGATAACGAAAAAAATACTTTGCTTAGAATATCGATTCTATTTTAGAGACGATGCAAGAGTTGGGTGTCGAGAAATGTTCAAAACAAATCGAATATTTGAATCGATTCAAAATAGATTATATCCAAATTTTTGAATTGATGATTTGAAAACGTTTAATTAAAAAAACTGCGAGCAATTGAAGTCTCAAAGCATGACCAAAAACACCTTAATTAAATTTCTGAAAAATTAAAATGATGGCCAGATGACCATTTAATTTAACTTTGTGCATTACCAAATTCAAATTTGTTGAAAACGTATTTTTTTCTCATTTTTCCAAAAACAATAGGGCTAAATTCACAATATATTTATTAATAAATACCAGTACTCAATAATTCTAAAATTCTGTTACAATTATGAAAAAAGACTGGAGGAAATAAAATATTTATTTTTTACCTGAACAAAATCGGAGAAATTTGAACGAAACTTCTTAAAATTTGGTCCAGATGCAATCAATGGATAATCCCCACTATCCTGTGAATTTAGAGAAAAGATTATGAAAACACAAGTAAACCAACTATAATAACCAATTTTCAGCTGAAGGTTAATAGAATTGTACCAAACAATGTCATATTATAATAAACGTGTACCCGTGAATTATTAAAGTAACTAGCAAAATATTGGATAAAAGATCTCATAAGATAAATTAAAAAAAAATCTTTCCCTGAAGATTTAAAACGATTGATCTGTTACAGATTTAAGCGATTTTTAAATCCCAATATGAACAAAAACAACAATTTGGCAAAAGATTTAGGTACAAAACTTGCATCGGAATATAATATGAATTTTAAAGTCAAGAAATATCGAGGCACATATAGGACTCTGAGGGAAAAAATAGAAATTGAGTTGCAGGATAGGATTTACATATTCATCCCGGGGGAGAGGAAAGCCAATAACCTGGCCTAACCATATGGCGAATCACGGCCTCTCGTCCGGTTAACATTCCATGTCGGGTATGGGATTAGTTAGTTATTTGTTTTCGGAAGCATGGACTTGGTGGTGGAGGAAGTCCTAACCGACCAGCAGTTACGTGAACCACAATACGTTCTAGTTATAGCCTTCCAGTTGCTTCAATCATCATCTTTAGGTATTAAAAATTCCAAATGTTGAATGAGTTGAACACATTTATCTTTTAAATTCCAGCATATGATATATGATAAAAGCTTCACGTTTTATCTCGTAATATGACTATTCAAACCTCATCAAATTCCTCAGTCATTCTTTTAATAACGTCTTGAAATCCTTCTGAGGCCTCACGTAACATTTCTGGAGTTACAGTTCCTTTGCAACCAGATGCATTGATGAAGAATTGAATTAAATCTAGAAGAGCTTCATTTCGATCAGCCTGAAAAGGTAGATTGATTATGTATTGATAAAATATATTTGATTTTTTTGTTAGTAAGTCGATTGTTCAGTCCAAATTTTTCAACCTGACTTTCTGGGTTTGGCTCATTAGGCGTCCCGGCTTATTTTCCTTTTTACTGAGGTTGGCTTATTAATAGCTTTGGATCAGAAAATATCGGAAATGAGGGACAATGATGGGTATACCCATCAGTTTTTCTAAATGGGCATTCTCCCTCTGTGAATATGGAATATCTCTGCAATGATTATTATATTTGATGTTGCCACATTTGCGTGTGCATTACGAGCAAAAGCAAATGAAGATTAACACTGCCATAACAAGGTGATATTATTTTGACTCAACAAGTTTCGTTGATACTCAGTCACAAAAGGGTGAAATAAATACTTCGCCAAGAATCACAATCACAAGTCATGTCCAATCACATGGCAAACCAAAGCCTGTCATCCGATTACCATTCCATGTCGGCCAACATGTGAACACACGCAGGGTAACACAGATACTACGCAATTGCAATCATATTTCTAATGCTTAGCACAATGCGTCAGTCATCGAGATTCTTGTAAATATTCCGTTATACAACCTTATAAGCTTCGATCCAATCGTCAACTACAGCAGTCATCGCCATCTTTCCTTGTCGAACAACTTCAAATAACGTAGCAGGGACATCGCTGTCCTGTTTTGACCTTTTTTGAGCTTGCTGTAAAAAGAACATTGATTTTTATTCACAAAAAAAATTTTTTATCAACACACTGACATGAGAAAAGTACCTAGAAAAAAATAGGAGTGAGGAATGGGGAATAGGAGGGTGCGCCCAATACGTCGATGAGATCTTTGTTGACCAATTTGCGACCACCGTGTTTTAGTCTGTTTGATTGCTGTGATGCGGTGCTTTGTTTATATTTTGACAAGTTCCGTAATAACAGTGTTCTTAAAATATATGGCGTCAGAAATGCAATTAGAAGCCCATTTTTTTCATGCATGGCTGCGTATGCCCTAGTCTCGACGCAGCAGAAACTATGTTCAAGGCTTGAAATCCGTAGTCGCACACTGGTCGTTCGTTCTTAAATCTGTAAATACGTCTTTAGAGTGTCGTACTTTGGTGCCAGTCTGGATTTCATGGCCTTTTCGAACGAGAAATCGGGCGTGCAATCAGAAATTCCCGCGTGCAAATAAGAATTTCTGGCGTGCAATTATAGCTCACGGCGTGCAAAACAACTGCGCCCGCTAAACTGATTTCGACCAAAGATACCTCTCAATACATCCGCGTAAAAATAAGTTGGATCATAGCAAAGATGGACGTTTGACCTTTGACCCTCAAAACATCATTTCTATATTTTGTCACTAATTTTGAGAGTGTTTGTGGGACTTTAGATACCGGTACTGTTCAGTACATCCGTGTAAAATTATTGTATTAAAAAGACGCTGAATCAGAGCCATAACTGGCCAGCGTCGGTGAGGAGGCGATTTTTCTCACGGGATTCCTATCATTCAACACGATATGGTGATTTTTGCTTCGCATTTTTCGATCAGACCAAATCTTGCAAGCAAGTATTAGTCGACAATTGTAAAGTTATAATTTTTTGGTATCTTTATATTACTAGATTATTGATTTAAAAACTATTTAAACCGATTTACATTGGTGAGCAATTGCAAATTTTCGGCGTGCAAAAGTGAATTCGCTCGCGTGCATTTTTGTGGAGCGCTAGCGCCCTCGGGCGTGCATCTGCCATGGAATCTAGTCTGGCTTTGGTGGTTTGTATAGCTTCAACCCCTGGTCGTAAAAAGGGAATTCGAGGTTTAGCGTGTAGAATAAATGCCGATGCACTTACCGTGAAAAAATTAGATTATAAATTAGCGGGTTAGAAATAATGGTTTTTGTTTTAGAGCGGTTTGAATGAAATCGTCCGCAGACTGGCTACACCACCCTACTGCCCTATGACAAATGCCATTGAAAATTAAGGGCTTCAACAGTGCCCTACTGTCCTTTGTCATGGCTGCGAATTATCAGTTAAGCTAATCCAGTAATCTGAAATTGTACGGTGTCAAAATAACATGAAAACATTCAGTTTACCATTGCTCTTCCACCTCCTCTCCCTCTTTTTCTTCCCCCTCCTCGAACTACTTGATCTTCTTCTTCGATTTCACTATCACTACCAGACCCACTTTCATCTCCACCGCCCATTTTTTTAGGTAATATTCTTCTATTTGGTTAGAAATTACAGAACTACTGAACTACGTACAAACCTCCGCGTCAAACAGCAATACCGTATAAATAAACAACAGTGCGCGGCAACTTCGCACAAAAAAGTGGTGGGCAGAGTCAGTAATGACAGAATTTGAAACTCAAGAATAACTCCGGTTGAAGAAAAATACGATACGTGACGACGACAATTTTTGATACTTGAAAACTCAAATTATATAGAAATTTAACACAAAATAAATTTTTCCAAAAATAAAGTATATTTAAAGCAGTTGAAAACTATTTTAAAGATATACCAATTATAGTTATTTTAAACGGATTTCGAGTGGATCAATGACATTAAACAACATGATGCGCAACTCCGGCATTTTTGGCCGAAGATCGTATTCGATAGCACGCTCCAGTGCACATACTTGACGATACGAAAACGAGCGGATGTGTGCTGCTTTCAAGGCATAGCATGAATGGTGTTCGTGCCTGCTTTGACAGTTGTTGTCGATTTTAATGATATTTTGGAAAGTTGAGGTAAAAGGGTAAGGTAAATACTATTGTTGTATATCACACCCGGGCATCGCACTGTTAAGTACATGTGGGAAAGCCAGCCTTTGTCAAATACTACGAAGTTATTAATTCAGTACGGTACGTAGTTGCCCATTTGCCGAAATTACATATTTACTTACCCCTTATGGTTTCAAATAGTTCATGCACCTCCAGTTAGATTTTTTTAATCAGTGAGGATATATACTCATTGTTGATTGCTGCTCATTGTAACATACTATTACGCATTCACTTTTATTTGCGTATTGAATCAAAGTGTTAACAAGTTCACCTAACATTTCACTCATACCGGTCTATATTGTATAGTCTGATTTCTCAAGTATTTGGAGCCACGAATGCTTGTAATTTTCTGACTAAACCCTTTTATTAGTTGGTTTATATACCAAATTCAGTAAAATATTTTTTAAAACATGAGATATTGGATTTATTAGCTTTTCCATTCTGAATCATATAGACTGCTTTATTTATTCTTAACGAAAATTAATAAATCTCCTCTCTTTCTTCAGATGTGAAAGTTGTGGACAAACCTGTCTAAGCATTGTGAGACTCTTGCAGCACAAGAGGCAATAGCAGAAATAGTAAGTATATCAATCAAGAAATTAAGCCGACATAAAGCAAAACTTTCAACTATTCGTCTAATCTCAATTTCCTATTATTTATTCACAGGACAACTATAGCAGACGGGGAGATATCAGAAGTCTGGCGACATATCAGTGACAGTGTGATTCCAAGAAATATAATTGATATGAAAATGTTTGCAATAGAAAAACAACCTATGGAGGCATGCAAAGACATTTGACCCTCCGGTAGAGTTGTGTATGGCCCCCACATCCTGCAGGGCTTGAGGAAAATAACTAAAAATTCCAAAGCGTAAGATTGCATAAGCGGTCTTATTTGTAAAAAGGCACAAAACACGCCAGACATACTTAAAACAGCTTTGGAAATGAGGATTACGGGTACCTCACTGCACCTGTGTTATATTTGGTTCATCAACTTTTGGTAGTACTATAGAAGAAATTCCGGAAGGGGTATAATCATCATTCATGATAAAATACTATCATATATTTTGAACAACTTCAATCTAGACCAGGGATCTCAAACTCGCGGCCCCAGAGAACTTCCAGTGCGGCCCTCGAACGCTTAACAATAATTGTAATAGTATTTTGGAAGTTTTTTTTTTATCTAAATGTAATAGATTTTTCAAACCTTCTAAAGTGAAATTGATTATTCACACAGAAAACAATTTACTGAAAGTAGTTTTGGAATATTAATTTTTTTTGTCCACATTTTGACCCAATTAAGAATACACATCAAGCTAGCAAAAGAATAAAACACTTGAAATTAAATTAAAAAAGTACATGAAGAAGGTGGCATTTTCGAAGAAAATGGGAGTTGTAACATTTCTGCTTTCACAAAATTCTGAAGCACATTGTTTAATTTGTCATATTTCCATCAATACAATCAAAAAACACAATAAGCTCAGCAGTCAATATGACAAATTCGAAGACCAACTTCGAACAGAAAATTTCCATGTGTTTGTATATTAATATAATTATACAACGACTTAGTTACTAAAAATCAATATCAATAATAATTCAAGCAATCCTATGCCACGCAATGTAGTGCGAAATGTCTTGTCGAAAAAATCTGTCATTTGTTTTTTTACTGATCTATACATGAAATGATAAAAGTAACTTTTTTGCATTACTGGAATTAATTAAACATTCGTAAAGATCCAGATAAACCCATGATCATGTGGCCTCGTTAGTTAGAGTTGGTACTATAAAATCATTTCAGACTGGCCTTAGTATGCTGGTGACACAAAAAAGATGCCAAACGCCAGGACAAATGTAATTAAAAACATTGAGTTTATACTGTAGTATTTTTGTTAATTTTAGGTTCATATATTTAGATTAAGTTATTTTTAGTGTATGTATTATTCTTTCCTTATTCAAAGCTTGTTCAAAAATGATTTTGATGGTTGTACATAGAATTTTACGATTTTTTATAATAAATACTGTAACTTGCAAATGTTGCAATAATAGTGGAATGCAAATATTAATATGTAATTGCATTTGAAATTGAAGAAAATAATAAAACTTAATCCAACTGTTTAGTTGCATCACAATATATGTCACAAACTAAAACTATCTTAAAAATATCTTTTAAGTATACATTATCAAAAACTGTTTGCGGCTCTTTTTACAATTTTCAAAATGCAATGCGGCTCTCGAAAACCCATGAGTTTGACACCACTGATCTATTCTAGACGATTCAAGCATTGCTTTGGGAAATTATATCACTTCAATTAAATTGAAATAATCTCGCTATATTAAATACAAAATCGTTGCTATCATAAAGGTAAACCAATTCAGCCACTCGAAATATATTGGCCTTCACAAAGCAATGGAGGCAAAATTGAGAGTTCATGAGCTATGAACATTTGTTCTTTTCTTTGTCTTGAACTTTCCATACTCCACAGCCCCTATTAATTTTTTTTAATTTTAATTACCATGTGATGGTCATACATATCTTTAACTTGTATTTTCTGTCATGATGTATTATCTCAATGTGCCAAACTATTAATTAGTGTGCATATTTTGCTTCCAGATGACATAAATGTATTGTCATGTTTATTACCTCAGCTTGGAGTATTGACAAGAAAAAGGTGCCAGTAAATTAGGTAAAAAAATTTTCAACTCATTGTTATAATCAGAATTCACAATCAATAGGAATTATAAACAGCCAACAATCAGTGAGAATTATATGCGAAATCCCTCAGAATAAATTTGTCTAAAATCGGAGGAAGGCAAAAAATATAGGTAGTTTCCATCCACACAAGCATTTCAAGAAGACTTGCTCGAGCCAAACTAAATGAGCATCGTCAGGTGATCGGTAAGGCTGCAAGTTGAATTCAGCCCTGCAACCTCCTGCATAGAAGATAATATTAATTAGTGGGCTATGAGCTAAATTCCTAAATTTAAACAAACCTATCTACGATGCATTATGTACCAGCAATGTTACCTACGATTAACTGAATATGTAATATGTCTAATAAATTCACCTACAAAAGCAAGTTCGATAGGTGCAAACTTTGTGTTATGGAATTGTATCGCAGCACAGTTTTGTATGACACCCTCTTTAAATGAAATTTCAATGATTAAGCGCAAACATTAAAATTACTAACTTTGAACTTTGTCATTATCTGCAAAATGTTCCACACAAATCTTTCCTCTATCGCGTTTGTAATCTTCTCTGATAAAAAAAAACGTCTATTGCTCTTTACAGCTTGCCTGTTATTCCAGCTTTCCAAGTAAGCAAAACTTCTTAGATATAGAGATTATTTTGTTTCGTTACAGGCGCAAAAAGGCAGGTACTACACGTAAAAAAGACGCCGAGTAGCAAAAGCGAGCGGAAAACGGACGCGAAAGGCGACGAGAAATATGTGCATTGGAGCGTATCATGAAACATAATGTTTCGCCTGTAGTCTTATGGAGTGACGTCAGAGTTGCCTATCATGTTGTTTAATGTCATTGAGTGGATAGAGGGGTAACCAAACTGCCATTCTGGTCTGGTGAGACGGTATCATATGAAGAAAAAAAAATTATAACTTGTATATATATTCAAAATAACGTACATACTCAATTGACAATCCCAATTTTAGAATACGCCGTCCGCAACTACGGGATCTCCGCTCTCCGCTCTGGGTCGCAAAACACGTTAAATTTGCCATAAATATGAGCATCCCGTCAGTGTAGCGTATTTGTGTATAACAACTTTATAAATCTCTGATTTAATTATGTGTGTTTCTCCGAGTATAAACTTCCTTATTTACTGCCGTAACATTGGCCAATAAGCATAAAGTGCAAAATTTTACGTAACACAAACGTTTCAGAAGCTCCTAGGTATTTTGCCATTCAGACAGTCTTTCGTGGTTGTGAATATTAGCCTACTTCGTTTTGGCGGTTTCGCGGGCTATTTGTCAGCTTTTAGTTGTGTTTTGGTAAATGTAAGTCCTAATCAAATAACTCATTAATCATTTTGTTCTGTGGGAGTTTTATTTTAATTGCAGTAATCAAAAATCAATCTAGAAATAGCTGTGATAAACTTCTCTACGCACATTTAAATGAAAGGTTGTTGAATGTATTGAATTTAAATGATAGTTTGAAACATAAAAAATCGGTTTATAAGCGCCACCTCGCAAACCCATTCTTGAAATAAGTACCAATAATTTTGCAATGGTGGAGTATAAAGAGGAAGAATTTTGCGTGGATCGAAAGTCGGGGAAACATTCATTACTTATCGATCTTAAGATCGGTAAGTATATTGATAGGTATTTGCATGTATGTATGTATGTATGTCTGTCTGTCTGTGTGTGTGTCTGTTAGATGCACGCGATATCTCACGAAAGTGGGATTGAATCTGCTCCAGATTTTGCATGTGCATTTATCTTATCTCGGACTAGAAGCCTATTGATTTTGGGCGAATTATGTCGTATAATTAGCGAGTTATCAATCAATTATTGATATAGTGATCTAGATTTTTGTAAAGCGAGAGAATTTTGAAGTTACAAGAGCGGATGAATCGAAACTGCATTTTCTGTTTTGGGGGATTCCCTAACTATCGATCGATAAGTCTTCGGTTTCCAACCGATATTCTCGTTACGTCCTTGTTTACATTGTTAATTGGTACTATCCTACTACGTAGACAATTGTGTTGTTTGGTAGCAATGCGAGGTTAGCAGTAGCCGTGTGGAATTGCTTGATAAAGACAGATGAAGAGATTTGTCCATTCTAAATTAAATATATAGGGTGCTGTTACATTTGTTATTGTAAGCCGTTCTTGAATAAATTCAATATTAAGCGGGGTTAAGAATTTTAAAGGCAGTTTTAGTCACAAATAATGTTGACAAACTAGTTACGGAAGAGTATTCCAAAAAAAAAACGCGAGCGGAAAGTACAAAGGAGAAATTAAGTGAGAACAGAACAGCGCATGCACCTTCAAACATCTTTGCGTCTTCAAGCAGTGGAGATCAACGCCCGATAAAAGACTTATCTCCTCACCCTCATCGGATAAAAATACATCACTCAAACCATCTTTATAAGCGGAAGTACAGAGAATAATTTATAAAGCTTGATTTCACGTGTATTCATATAAATTATAAATGATGAGTCACGTCCTCAATGTGTTGTTTGTTCCGATATTCTTGCCAATGAGAGCCGGAAAGCAGTAAAATTGAAACGCCATCCTACAGCAAAGCATCCAAAATTCATTGACAAACCAATACATTTTTTCCGACGATTAGAAAAAAAATTGTTAAACGAAAAGAAAACAATGACAAAGTATCTTAAGCAAATAACAAGATCGGAGCTTTCAAAAATAAAATTCAACACTGGACTGCCCGAGTCAAAAATGGAAGAATGGATATGTTTTCTGAGCTGAACGTTTTTTTCGAAGAAAACGAGTTCAGTCAAAACATTGTGAAACAGTCCATAATCAGTCATCTTCATGACTTTCGCAGTGGTTTAATAAATATTTCCCGAAAACACAACACCACAGCAACACGACTGGATATCATCACCTTTCTCAGTATCAAAGATACAACATCTATCATTGGATTTAATTGAAGCATTCGATGACTTGTCAAGTGATTGCGGGTTGAAGATCGCATTTGATGGCAAAACAAGTTTGGCTGAATTTTGGATTTCAGTTGCAAATGAATATCCGGAGTTGTCAGCTGCCGCAATGAATGTTCTGTTGCCATTTGAAAATACCTAATTATGTGAAAAGACCTTTTCTGCGTTTTCATACATAAGAAACAAATACAGATCAAGGCTGAAAGTAGAAGAAAAACTTTTAGGAGTTGCTGTCTCCCAAATTAAACCTCGAATTGATATCTTGTGTTCAAAACACAAAGCTAATATTTCGCATTAGTCATAACAAACGCTATTATTCACGATTTTATGTGATAAGTTTCATATAATTTTGTACAATAAAATTGCTAGTGTCAATAATAGTCTTAAAATCGATAACTAATTACATGTTTACCAAATGCTTGGGTCGCGAGAAATTAGAATAATTATTTTTGAGTCGCGCTAAAAAGTAGTTGCGGATCCCTTCTACAATAATGTCAGGTGATCCGAAGACGCTCTTGCTTACATCAATATAAGAACACAATTGCAATGGTAACTATTAACCATTCGTTCGCCTTCGACCATCGCACTCTTTATTGGAGAAAAATGTTCGTGTTTTGTGGTATGTGTCCGGGAATATTTCATGAGCTTTTAGGAATAAAATGTGTATTCGCTATTATTTCTGTATTTGCTGTTGTTTGCTGTCTGATTCTGTTTTTTTTATCTGATGAAGACATACTTCTGGTTCCGAATACATATATTGCAATTGTATAATTTACAAATACAAAAGACAGTTCCAAGTCATGACTGATAAACCAGACAAAAAAAATACCAAGTTGCACTGCAAGCCCGCACGAGTTCGTTAATTACTTGTCCATCGTTATCCTTTCTCTCTACGAACGAATGATCGCTTTTATGCTGGTGTTGGTATCCTCAGGGCATGACGCGATATCGTCATGTAACCTATAGGTATATGGGACGTCTAATTGTTACGTATCTTAGGATTAAGAGCTTTTTTCTCATTTTAAGATTAGAATGACTTTAAGTTTAAACACGAAATCTATTAACCAAAAGCAGCAAAATTATCCAATATCCTATAAACTATATAGTGTTCCGCGATATAAAGAAGGGTTGGGAACCACTGCTCTAATAATTCTGCGTCAATATTACATGAAATAAATACGTGATTTCATTGTCATGCAATTTGTTTCAATTTTTTAACCTAATCCTGAAAAATCCCGGGATTATACGGCTCAATTCCGGGATATCCCGATACCGGGATTTCAAAAACTGGCCCCGAAATCCCAACCCCACTCCTAATGGCCGTAGAGTAATTGCTTTTTCGGTTACGGAATTCTCCAACACCAAGCTCCCACATCCGAAGCGAGTAGCGGTTTCTATATCCGACATGAACTACTGTAGTAGCCAGACAAAATCCCGTGATTTGCCATACAATTAAGTGATTGACTTTCCTATCCCGGGATATCCTAGCCTCGTGGTTCTCAAACTGGGTGTCGCGACGCCCAAGTGCGTCGTTTCAATATTGATAGGGCGTCGCAAAACTTTTCTTCTTTTGCGGATTTGTACTTGCGGTGCGTAGAAAAGGTCAAAATTTTCGTTATTCTCGTTTAAATCATACTTGAGAACTGGAAATGACAATATATTAATTATTGTAACGATTGATCTTATCTATATGTGACTTGACAAACATCACGGATCATTCAATACTGTTCCAATTATGACATCGCACAGGCTGGATCAGATCGAGTCATGCATGCCGTTCATTTCTAAATCTTTCATGAACATGGATGGGAACATCAAGCGTTGTTCAGCACTTCGTCTGCGCGTTAATCTAAACAGTTATTTAATATTGACACCCCATCAGTTCTCTTCAGGCATAATTTAAATAAAACTCACTGTAAAAGAGGTCTCTTATTGAAAGGTATTCAGACATTTTTCACGGGGAGTCGCAGCTCGGCCATATTTTTTGGAGGGCGTCGCAATACCAAGAAGTTTAAGAACCACTGTCCTAGCCCATGAATCGTGTCCACCAGAGGTCACAAGCGGTAAGTCGTGTTTGTTCGGTCGCTCTTGCACGAGAATAAAAAATTCGGGGCTATTACGATTGGTTTAGTGACGAAACGCGCATTGTCTCACTTGCTTGCGTATAGTTGTTATTTATGTTCAGAAACGTATCTGAAATTGTTATTGACAAAAGTGAATATTGAACGTACATTATACAAAAAAAAACACAATATGTGTTTTGGACGTATCAAATTTCGCAAATTAAAACCTTTATGAGGGTCATTTAATTATTTAAATTCGGTTGGAAATTTTGTGCGCATGTATGTGAGTAAAAGTCCTTGTCTTATGTGGCGAGATTTAAATCGGCAAAATGAGTGGAACATTATTTTGTTGGCAATAAAACGAGTTGTTAGCAAGTGTGACAGAAAGGGCATAGTTTAATAAAAATATTTATATCCATATCCCATCATACTATATTTAACGTATATGATCGTTTTAACGCCCGATCTTGATTAAGGGCGCGCTTGAATACCCGCCCGATGTAAAAGCTGATTTTTCAGTGGTAGAGAACACTAGGAAATGAGAAGCGCTTCTGTCACAACGCTGTTGAATTTTAAGCGCTGATAGATAACCCTACCGCCTCAGGCGTCCAATTACATAACAGATAGCATTGATTACGTAACAGCGTGGTTTTCAAACTGGGCGTCGCGACGCCCAAGTGAGTCGTTTCAATATTGATGTTGATGAGGATGATAGTTTTGATGAAGAAAATAACGGTACACTTGCTGAATAAATAAAAATTTTGATTTGTTGTTTCTTGTTAATAATATAAACTAGGGCCCGGTTAGTGAGTTTGGGTAAATAAATTTGGGCGCGGGCTACAAAACGAGCAAATACGGTATTCAAAAAGAGAGAGAATGATTCTACAAAAACAATGTCGATAGAGATAGTGTGTTATGTAACAGCCAAGCTGTTTGCTTCGACGAGACAAATTATTTTTGTGCCATAAGATATATAGAAACATCAAGCACAATCATCCTTCACATTGTTCGGACTTTGTATAACTGGCTAGACTTAACACCAAAGATTTCAGTCTTTCTAAATAGCTATTTCATGAGTCAGGAGTACTAGAATCAGATGAGTTTATTATTACTGAAATCTCTCGCGATAAGCATGCAACCACATTTTAGGAGACGCTATTGAACGCCGTAGAAATTAAGCAGGACAATTATTTATTAAACATACACATGTGCTATACTTTATTTGTTAGAAATTGCCAATTTTCAAAAACTAAGCGAAAGGTAATGTATCAACGCTATTTTTTGTGATTACACCCACTCTATCGATGCCGTACACCCTTCGAACTTTTTTGAAAGTGTTTTCTTCTAAAACAATGTAGTTTTAGCTTTTCGAATTATTTTTGCAAAAGTGAAAAGCAGTAAGATTATATTTATATTCCTATTTATTAGACACTCGAAAACTTATAAGAAAAATAATACAAAGTTTTGTATACAATTTGCAATTATAAATAGAAGGTGTTCTCCCATGTATATATATTGTTTCTTTATTACTCATTGTTTTATAGTCAAAATATATTTAATACCTAAATAATATTTTAATAATGAACAAATTTTCAGTACTATGTTTCATTATTATGAATTGGACTGCACTGACTTGTGCACAATTCGACGTTGTTCGCGATACAGCTTCCGGTAAGGTTAGAGGTCAGGCTACATTACTCACAGAAACCTATCTAGGCATTCCATACGCAGCCCCCCCAGTGGGGCCGTTGAGATGGAAGCCCCCACAGCCTCATCCAGGTTGGAGTGACAGTGGCGAAGCGAGAAATGCGACAAAAATGGGGCCGTACTGCCCCCAACCAGGATTTGGAGATTCAACCATAGCTGGGCAAGAAGATTGCTTATATATGAATATTTATGTACCAAGGGCGCCTTCGTCGGAATACTACCCTGTGATGGTTTTTGTGCATGGGGGTGGATTTCAGTGAGTCTCTTATTTTGCAAAATATAAAAGTCCTATCAAAATTTCTGTCACAGATGTATATGATGATGGATTCTATTAGTCTAAAACAAAAAATAAAAACGGCTGGATCTCTCAGTTCATTTACCTATGTTTATCATTCAATCAACTATTAATTAGCTGCGAACAGTTCCAGTTTACCAAACTTTACAGCATTTGAGACTTGAACCCTTAAGAATATAGCACAATGTTATATAGAGCGCCAATGTTACTCGTACATATTTTTTTTAATTGATGTTTTATTTTCCAATCGATAAGAAAAATACGAAAATAGAACTTAGCTTAAAAATAAGGGCACATCATAAAAATAAACACTATATTGTGCGTGTAAACTAAGCATTGTCGTTTGCGTTAAATCATGTTACGAAATCGTATTTACATTCACTCGTGCGTAAATACATTCGTTACCCCTAAGGTTCGGTACATAATGCGGCCAGTGTGTGGCCGTGTAAATTTTATCCAGCATTGTGGCTTGGTTAGGAAATAGGATGGCTGTAAGAAAGGCTACACCCTGCGACCTCTTCAAATATTTGATTAAATAAACTATTGATGATAGAAGTGATCCTGAATACAATAACCTTCCGTGAGTGGCATCAAAAACTACGTGTAGTTGAGGAAAAGTTATTTTACAATTTTTGGGTTTGAGTTTGAATAATTGAATTTTTGTGTTCCTGTTACAATTGTTACATTTATATATATTTATGCCTTTAATTTTACATTTTACCATTGCACTCTATGATATGAAAAGTTTTAAGTTGCGGGACGTTTCGTTTAAAATTTTTTGTATTTAGTATTTTTGGATGATGTAAGTAACGCGCAAAACTCATAAACAACCACTGAAAACGTGCAAAAATTCGCAATAAATTTTGTCATCATTTCAAGGGGGCAGACTATTGAATTATTGTTTAATTGTAAGGTATGTCTTGTCGAATGTTACAAAACGCATTGGAAAACAATACAACTTGTCACGATAAAATTCTTGAATATGGATTTTTTTAACAGTATAAACGCTGTGAAATGTCCACACGCTGATAAGGACGATGATAACGAGATTGTACTGTTTGTTTGCGGATTGTTGGCTAACGACATGGACCAAAGGATTACATTTATAATAACAAAGAATATTTCTAATAGCTGGACATTATGTTAACATTGCACCACACCACGAACTCGCTAATTCACATTTTTTTGGTTAAAGATTGCGACTTAAAAAGTTTGAGAACTATGGATATGATTAATGTATAATGGAATCACTAATATAGGTCACAATTGAAACATTTCCAATCAGTAATTTACATTCAAATTTCGCAGTACTGTACATTATTACAAAAATCGAATGGAAAAATCCGCTAATGCTCGTTTGACATTAATTTGTGATGTTCGCCGAGTTTCGGCAATAAAGATGAATTTAACTTTTCTGTAGTCACAAAATCACCAACCTTCTTTTTAATACGAGTATATTTATTCTTCATTTTTCAGATTCGGTAACGCAGACTCTTATGACGGAACAATTCTTGCTCTGATGAACAATGTTATTGTTGTCATATTCAACTATCGATTGGGATCTTTGGGATTTATGAGTACGGGTAAGATGTAATATATACTAACCAAATAATAATAAAATTTTTAGGCATGAAAATTGGCTGTTACGATAAATGCACGGGAAAAGGGATATAAACGAAAAACCTCTTTAATGAACCCTTAGACATGGCTATGCACAATTAGTTAAAATGTAAGTACTCCCGTAGCGTGTGTACCAGGTTAAGGTTAAGACGTAGTTTTGTTTTGATTTTTCTTATTTTAGTTTTATTACGAGTTCGGGGACTGTCTGTGTTGGCCAAGTGAATATACATACCCCTGCCCATAGGTTTCAGTCCCTTTATACAACTTGATGTAAAATAGGCGAACAAAATTAAATACCTGGTAGTGGTACACATACCTCTGTAGCGCCAAAATGTGTGCATAGAGATAGGTATTTAAGTAATAACAAAAAACTAAAAAATATTAGTTATCCTATATACAGTACATACCAAGCTAAATTGCTCCCCAGGAACGAGAAACTTCTGCTCTGGAAAGGTTTTCCCTCCCCGCTTGGGAAACATCGATGAAATGAAAGGATAGCCTAATCGTGGAACGAGAAAACGGCGAATTTCTTGCCACAAATTCACCCCCAAGGAGTAAACTTACCCCCATATGATTACCCCTCCATAAACAGTTGCTCTTTCCAGGTGACAATCAAGTAACTGGCAACTACGGAATGCTTGATCAAGTCTCGGCTTTCCAGTGGGTGCATGAAAACATTCAAAACTTCGGAGGAGACAAAAACCGAGTTACCATATTTGGGGAATCAGCGGGATCTGTATCCGTACTTATGCAAGCAATATCGCCCCTGAATCACGGAAAAAACAAATTGTTTCAGAGGGTAATCGCTCAAAGTGGGTTCCCGTTTTCATGGTGGGGGTTCTATTCCGACCCTCGTTATCAAGCTGAAAAACTTATGCGCGAGGCAGGCTGCCCGACTTTTTCTATCTCCCTCGGAGTTCAATGTTTACGAGAGCTGAGTTTTGAGGATAGTATGCAATATCAAGGATCATACCCTGCAAGTGCTAGTTTAGAAATAGGCCCACCCTGGGTTCCCGTAGATGATGACGTATTTCTCACAGACATCCCTGACGTAATGGTGACGTCACAAGATTTGATAAACGACATGAAAGGAAGGTTTGTATTTTTTTTTTTCAATATTTTTCTCCACACAATTCGTTTTATAGCATAATATGTTTATTTTATCTTTATAACTTATGTGGTACACACAATGTCGCTCCGAACGAGGTCTAAGCAAGCAATACCTGATATGCAGCGAGATACTATCCTATAACATTAACAGTAGTAAATGACAGTCGTCATATTGGTTAAAATCTTTTGTGCGAACAACTGTTTCGCGCGCGTCCTGGCGTACGTATAAGTCTCCATGCTAAAGCTATAACCTTCGTTATAACCGTCACAAATAAGATTTGGGTTGAGATTTCGGTTGAAATAGAAATAGTATTAAACAGCGAAAGTCTCGCTGACGACACTTAGCTCCCACCAATTTGACTTAACCCCACCACCGTCCTATCTTGCTTTCTTATCACATTCTGTACAGTTTTTATCTCATGAATTTCCAGGTACGACTTCTTACTGGGTGTGAATGAATTTGATACGACGGTTCATTTTGACTTGGTTCGTACTGTTGAAACTGAAGAAGATTTCATAAACTTAATGACGACATTTTTCAAACCATTTTTTGAAGATCCGGACAAGGTTTGTTGCTAAAATATAGAAAGATAATTTTAGATCAAAAAAATTTTTTGAACACAAAAATGATTAACGTTTGACAATAAATATTATATAATATGAAGAATATAAATTTGTCAAAAAATTACCACTAACTTCAAATTTACATCTTTCATTTAAATTATGTAGTTTTGTCAAGCGTTGCACCAAAATGTGGAGGTATCAGGTTCACCAGATCATGAAGGGTTTATTAAAATTGAATAGGTAATGCGAACCGAAAAAATTCCGAGTTTTCTATAATCAATATCTCATTACTCATTAAACTATTATCGTTATATATCTCGTTTTTTAAGACCTTGTTTGAAGCGAATTAAGTGCGCCGTATGGAATTTTTTTATTTTTTTTCAGATGACAGAAGTTGTTATGTACAACTATCTAGATCAGACAAATTATCCAACAACAGGTCACGAGTGGCAGCTAATATATTTGAATGTCACTCGAGATATTGACTTCCTTGTTCCGGGGTTAAATATGTCAAATGTTGCGGCTGATAAATTTGAGTCGAACGTTTATCAGTATTATTTCACGCAATTACCGAGCGATGCTTTGATTGAAACGGGGGCAGGTAGGCCATGTTTATTCATATGGACAAATACTTAATGACACTGTTACAAAAATGATATTTTCAATTTGATATGCTGTGTAATTTTTATTTCGAATGCGAAAATAAAAATGCATTTTCTCATTAATCGCTTGTTCACAGAACGACTTGACACTGTTGATGTCTTGCAACTTTCTTTGATTAAAATATTTTCGTTTCTATTCACTCTTCGCTGCACTGTAAAAAGTTTACGTTTATTTGACCAGAATTCCATAAAAAATATTACTATTATATATATCCAGCTAAATGGATTTAAAGTTTGATAAAAAATTATGGGCGTGTAGAAGGCGTGTCTTGGCATTGGTCAGACAATACATTACGGAAATACTTTCCTGTTCATGTGCAGCAAGACTCTTGAATCATTTAAAATAGAAAATTCATTACAGAAATTGGGTAAATTCACGATTATAAAACTGTAAATATTTTAAAACACCACCACAAAACAGGGTTCAAGATCGTAAAATCAGAAGCCGAAAGACTGTAAAATATGACAATAAAATTATGACAATGTCGCTACAACGAACAGTATAAAAATTGTAAAATAACTTTTTCTCAACTATACGTAATTTTTTGAAAAATATTCATATCAAATAGTTATTTTTATTCAATGCAATATTATTTTTATTAAATGCAATAGCCACAAAAATCATTTTATATTGAATTTACAAATTGTTACCTAGTATCGCTACGATTAACCCTCTGGGCAGTTCACTATTTGAGCCATATATATATTTCTTTACTTATTTAAACCTTTATATCTTTTTATTCCCTCAGCCTACCCTCGAGGTGATCCAGTGCTTGCAAGTGGGGCGCGACATGCTGAAGAACTACCTTATGTGTTTGGTTTACCGTTTGTAATAAATGCAACTCAGCAAGATCGAGATACAAGTTCTGCAATTATGACGTATTGGACAAATTTTGCTAAAACAGGGTAAGATGAGAATTTCGTTTTCGATTGCTGATATAGATAACAAGAATTAACACTTTGAAATTCAAGTATTTTAATAGACTATTTGGTGCTCCAGTGTGTGTACCAAAATGAAGGTAGTAAAACAAGAACATCACTCATTGTGAAAATGTTAACCAAGTTTGTTAAATAAATTCAAGTAAAATAAAATTAAAATAAAATAAAATAAAAAGTAAAATGAAAAAAACGAGTTCGTTAAATAAATTTAAATAAAAAAAAATAAAAAATAAATAAATAAATAAAAATTTAATCAAAAATGAAAAAAAAAATTTAAATAAAAAAAAAAAATTAACACTAAGATATTTGCACGACCAGATCCACAAATGCACGCAATTTTGATGGATGGGTGAGCGTGCTATTGTTGCAGTTTTTTTTTCAAAAGATGACACTTTCGTGAGCGCGTGTGCCTGGTACTAAAGTGTTAGTCTTAATTATGATGGTATCTCATGCTAGAATCCCACGCCCACCCATGGGGTAGTAAATTCGATGTCGAATCAGAAATATTCCTGTCTTTTCAAAATAAAGTAGCCTCTTACATACATAAATCGATCAAGTAGCATGTTTAGTAGCATGATGTTTTGATTTGGAGGAAGTCATTCTTTGGTTCGTGCTGCTTTCGGACTCTTAGTTGCCGTTTGAGCTAATAAAAGCCTGTAGTGTAGACGAGCTTGTTTATGTCTATGTTGGGTTTATCCCACATACCATTGTCTGTGCGTGAAGAGCCTGACTCAGTGCGAATAACGAGTACACTTTACATCACGTCAAGCGATTGAAAATTCATGTGTATCGTCTCTAAAATTGGCGATGCGGGTATACTACGACATAATTGAACGCAATTTAAAGCTTATCGAGTATATACGAGCGGGTATAGTTCGAAATAATTTAAAGCAATTTAAAGCTTAACGTGTAAAAAAAAACATTTTTGTTGGATACTCGCCAAAATTCGTTTTTCTGGCAAATTGTGAATTATGGTTTATCGACGACCAGTTGCCTAACGTTTCTCCAGGGCGAGCGCACTTTGTAATAAACGGAACGTTTTAAATAAAAAGTTAAAGGATATTTTACTGAAAGACATGTGATGCTGTTAACCTCAAGTCCATTTCAAGATCAAAATTAGCGAATAAAAATTGACCACTTATATAGCCAAGATAAATAAACTTCATAATCGCTTGGTACGTTCTGAAATAGTCACGCGCACACATTAGAACCACAATTTGAATTTGAACCGTTTCCAAAATTATCAGCTTAAAAATTGGATGGCGAATATAGCTAAATAAAGGTAAGTTGTGAGAGACTGGGTCATTCGATTAAAATTGCTTACCTAAAGGAAAAAACGCCAGGACACAAGACAGATCCATATCACATATAATTTATGTGTATTTAAGAAGATATATGTGCGCGCACGTGAGTTGTCCGTGTGTGTTTATGTGTGTGTCGTATACACATTATGAATATAACTGAGTCTCCCAGTTGAAGTAATGAATCCAATTTTAAAAATATTGTCGACAGACCTTAGCAAAAACTGATGTTAATTTTTACATAAAATGAAAAAAATGAAGAAAATGAATTCATTTGCATGTATGTGTACACATGTGTACGCGTGTATGTGTGTGTGTGATATACAGTACAAATGCAAATGAAGCTTTCAGTTAAAGTGATCAACCTAATTATAAAGAAAATGGGAAATTTTACATTGATTATAACTAATCTCATAACATATCAGCACTAATTATCTGCCCTTTCCCGAAATTCTTGTTATTTTTTTTAACCTGTTTTTCACAATTTCAATGTCTAGTGATCCCAACCTTGGAGAACCCGTACCAACACAGTGGCCGAAATATAGTACGAGTCGTCAGGAGTATTTAACAATCGGTACGAAAGATCCCGATGTTAATTTAACTCGAGTGCAAGATCATCTGGAATCTGATAAAGTTGTTTTGTGGGCTCAAGAACTTCCATTGTACGGACAAGGAAAAGGACTAAATGTAAGAATAATGTGTTGTGCAATATCAAATACTGCCTAGCGCATACTGGACCGTTGAATAAGAAAAAAACGCTCACCTGGCTCAAAACTGATGGATATTCTTTTTTAATTATTGCGTATTGCGATTCCAGGTTCAACGAAATTCTGACACTGACTTAAGCTCCGAACTCTGAGGAAATTACATTTTGATAATTAAATCTTTGGCGTATGGAAGTCTTCTTTATATAACTGTTTCAAATGCGTATTCAACTCAAATATTATCGAGTTTTGTCGAAAATTTTACCTTCATTCATTACCGTTTGAAAATTAAAAATTTCAACTCCGGAGAATCTAAAGTTTCGACTCCGACTTCCAACGCGGTGAAAAATACGCCCTTGGCTAAACTCCGTTATACAGGCTTGAACATGGGATATTCAGTACGCCCAATGAAAACGTTAGGGCTACCCTTGCTTTTTATACTTTTTACCTTCCAATATCTAGAATCTAGATGAAATGAAACATGCGTCAATGACCACGGGTTGGAACGGTCTATATCATGAACAAGCCCGTCATATCAGTAAAAACGTGCCAAAATTTGAATCCAGACTTCAGACTAAATTGGGTCGTCGTGACACGTTAAAATATTAATAATTCTTTTTCGCCAGGATTCCATCGCACATCCCGATCCTCCACCATCAAATGAAACAGTTTCAGAACAAGTTCAGCCTGTTGTTGAAACAAACAAAGGAAAGATTCAAGGAATTCGTATTAAAAGAGAGGATTATATCACGGATAGATTTATGAGGATTCCTTATGCTAAACCTCCCGTTGGAAAATTAAGGTAAGAAAGCATTTGAGATTTACATATAGCTTTTCGTCCGTATATTATGTTCCGAATATCATAAATGTCTTGTTAGTAGGAACCCCTATCTATTAGACATCAATTCCCATCGATTACTAGGACCAATGTCTTCCCAAAAGCATGGTATGATGAACGGTAATAATTACGACCAAATGACCAAATTTAATTTCTTATAGTGTTAGTAGGCAATTGTTTGTTATTATAAAAACGATATGATAATTATAATAACCTGGACTGTCATTTCTTGTGAATTCATGATATAATTCTCATCACTGCATCAGCTGCAAGAAGTAATCATATTACCAGTATTGTATTGCCCGTCAATTTTTTTGAAGATTATCTTTTAGGACATTTTAATGACAGTCAATATAATTACCATAATCAAACACGTATTTTTTGGACGACGCCCAATCGCGCAATTTGCTCCTAATCACCCACTGATATCTAACGATATCTTAGATACTACCATTTTTGTAACGACCAAAATAATTCCGCTTTGGTGTTGCTTACCCAATTCACTACGCATTTGTGTGGATAGTGGGTGTACGTGTATGTAGCATATATTGATTTGTGATATGATGAAAGATGTCTTTAAGATACAATATTTGATCTTCCCTTCCAGATTTATGCGTCCAGAACCGCACCCTGGATGGCAAGGAATTTTGAAAGCAGATGGAAAAAACTCTGAGATAGAGTGGTTGAACGGTTGTGCTATGGTTACAGCAGCAAGGAATGGAACTTGGGGAAAAGAAGATTGCTTGTTTCTCAATGTTTGGGTGCCTGGTGGAATAAATGGTACGTTTTTGTCAAAAAAGAAAGGCGATAACCTAACTTTTGACAATGTGAAACAATATAGTGTTTTTTATATAACGAGAAAAACTCTGTGCAAGTAGCCACTGGTAAGGACAGTGGAATATACCTGGCTCATTCTTGTCCGATTTATTACACCATGGGGTTTATTACATGCGGTTTGAATCCACGATTTGCATCCACGATTAGTTGGGACAACATGGGTATATTATACCAAATTGGTATAACGCCTTTATTTTTCAAACGATCGAGTTTTTTTTTATTGAACATAACTAAATAAAGAAAATACCACATATTCAAGATGATGCACTACACTACCACTCACGTATATTTTGAACAAATAAATACTCAATACTCTTAAACTCCAACGATAAATTGTTTCTGGATACACAAAACAATTAATTAAATTAGGTCTGAAACTGCCTTTGGTGTAGACATGAGATAAAAATGTTTTGCACTTTGTTTATCATGCTTTATAAGGTATGGTTGTTTAAATAAAACTCTCTAAAATAAATTGAGGTGACACAAAAATAATCCTGTTATTTTCGTTAATCTATACGACTATTTATTCCCAAATTAACTTAATAATGAAATTTATATTATTTCAGCAACAAGAGATCGACTGTTACCAGTTATGGTTTGGATATACGGCGGAGCTTTCAAACTCGGGAGATCTACTGGTCCATTGTTTATGTATAATTTAGAAAAAATATCAATTCAAGGACAAGTTATTGGTGTTTCATTGAACTACAGACTGGGAGCTCTTGGTAAATAGTCTAAATCTACTTACTAATGAGCACAGAAGCAGTAGATTTTATTGATTACAAGTTCAAATTTCATCGAACACTCGAGGCACCGTCAAGCTTCATGGACGATTGTCCGAAACATGTAGTGATCTTGCCTCACAATTATACCACTTGTCACACACATGTCCTTTATTGTCTCACACTCGTCCTACACTTGACCTAATTGCCACACACTTGTCCCATTTGACCACACCTTGTCTCACACATGCCTAACTTATCCCAAACTTGTCCCACCTGCCCCACATTTGCCCCGCTTGTCCTACAAATGCGATAAAAAGAAAAGCAAGTGTGGCAATTGGAATGAATGGCAGAAATTGGCCTACAAGTGTGCTAAGAAACTAACAACCGCTAGCCAAATGGAACACTTCATTTTTAGACACCTCTTTGAAACTTGGAAATCTCTCATTGCATTTACTTTGTTTAGGTTTCCTCAGTACACAAGATGGAAATGCTCCTGGAAACGCAGGATTGTTAGATCAAGTTGCTGCTTTACAATGGATCCAAGATAATATTGCTAACTTTGGCGGAGATCCTCAACAAGTTACTATATTCGGTAAATTATATATTCATCAGGCTAGCGACATCAAAGCACTAAATAAACTATAGTTGAATCATGTGTTTTCATATCCGACCTAATCTGAAAGTCCTGACACTAATTCGTGGTTCGCCGACTTCTAAACTTTCCTTTCTTATGTTGTTAGCAAGCGAGCTAGTCAAAATATTATTACGTCGAAAGCAAGCGGAATTGTCGGCTGCTCCTGACTAAAATACACAGCCCCAATAAAGATATCTCATTAATAGCGCAAAGGGTTGGAAATAACTTTGTTGCAATCGCATGTTGCACATTCGTTCGATTTTCATGTCCCCACGCCACCTAAGGTGTAATAACTTGGGTGGGCAAAGCAGAACAGTTAAGATTTCGGTCCTTCCACAAGTTATAGCGCCTCGCCAAGAAGAAAAATGATGAGAACCACAAGAGAGCAATGTTTAAATATATGGACACTAGAATCAAGTAGTACGGGTAAGTAATCTGATACAGTATACTACTGGTACCGCGGCCTTCATGAATTCGCCTGACAACCAGATCGCGGAACCTAAATAAAGTGCGCAATTTTTAATTTTGATGACGTCATCGCGCGCACAAAAACGAACCTCTCAGAGCCAACCGAAATGTTTAAAATAAACAAAAGCAATAGCGAATATACTTCTAGCAGAAAATGCAATCTTCAACCATTGAAAATTTTAAAGCGATTGGTCCAGTAGCAACAAGAATTCAGAATATGAATACAAAATGACAAAACGATCAATATGTTCAATTCGTGTTCAATTATTTTATTTCACAGGTGAATCTGCGGGAGCTGCATCTGTATCCTACCATATGATGTCACCAGTGAGTGCTAATCTCTTCAGGCGCGGAATCGCTGAAAGTGGAGTTGTGCCGGCACAATGGTCTTTTGTTCGAAATCCTTTATATTGGGCTCGGAAACTTTCGGAAAGAGTCGGATGTCCAACAGAAAATAACCAATTGCTTGTGAAATGTCTGCAAAATAAACCATTGAATGACGTAGTGGTGGCGAGCGATATGGATGATCCTCTGGAACACGGGGTGAGTTGATGCAAATCTTGAATAAACTTGAGGAAAGACTTTTCACTCTGCGCAAGTATAGCGGAGTAGTCAATTTTATTTCAATCCACATCTCAAATTAAATTAATGTAATGCTGATAGAAACAGTTTTTATTCTGTGCAAGTATCGCTTGTTGTTACTTTTACCGTATCTAATCGTAAATGCTTACAGTTTATCGCTCGTATAATAAAACTTTAATAAATATATATTGTTCAAACTTCAAATATTTGGTTTAAACTTTGCTATGAGACTGACCATCATTGGCATACGCCCTTGATTTATTCTGTATAGTTTTTGAAGCCGGTAAATCAACACGCAGTCGAATATGGGGTATAGAAATCAAAAGAATCTTTCCAGTAAACTACAAGGTCCAATTTTTTCCGATTGCACTTGTGATTTTTTGATCAGTGGTTGCTCTGCTCCAATATTTTTTAGTGGAGGGTTCCGATCCGTGCTTTGATCAAACTTTTATATATTTTTGCTTTCTTTATTTTTTTTTCTATACTGAAAGCCAGTGGCGAATCGTAACTTGTCTCTCAATATTCATGCTATTTTATATTCTTGCTACCCAGGGTTTTATCTACTCAGCCTGGGCTGGAGTTGTTGACGGTTATTTTATACCAGAAGATCCGACCAATACGCTCCAGTGGTCAAAAGATAAAGATTTCTTACTTGGACATAACAGCATGGATGGACATTTGTTCGCCTCGTTTGATTCTCCGACTATAAATGTTGAAAGTAAGCAAAATTTATAATCAATAGTTAGGAATAAATAACTTGATATGGGAGGATTCGCCAGTTATGTGTAAAAACCTAATTCATAGCTGCTTTCCTGAACATATTGACCTGTGCCACTTCAAGTATCGGGTCGATTGGCATTTACTAGCCAATAATTTACCTCTACATTTATTTATATTGTCAGTGTTGCTTTTGGCACTTCAGTAGTCGCCCGTAACGTTCATCAGAAATCACGTATTCTGCTTCTGAGTGAGTGAGTGCACATAACCTTGATTTCAAAGCTCACCGATAAATTTTGTGTAAACCAACAAAAACCTAGGTGAAATTTTAACTCACAAGTACGATCATCTCTCGCCATCATACGTCGAGATTCTCCCAATGAAACTTAATTTTTTATTTTTTATAACGGTACGACTCAAGCTGAATTTTTGCAAAATGCAACTCGTGCTTGTATTGGCCTTAATTCAGTTCAAGTATGTTATACTTATATCAGGTTTACCGATGTCTCATGCTGACGTTAGACTGGCATCCACAAAAATTGCACCTCATGTACCAGATCATGTGTCAGAAGCTATTTCATTCAAGTATATTGATTGGGAAAGTAAGTTTGAAATTTTGATTTGCAATAACGGTATTGTCCATTTTTAAATCTTAGGCCCACAAAACCTTCAATAAATATTTCGGATATCATAAAATTGATTTATTATTGTCAACGATGCAATAAATATTTCAATGACCTAATTAATCGTCCTCGTGTCTATTTATCAGATTGTCCAGTTTTACTTCCAAACCTTGGTTCAACCTCAAGCGCAAATCTCCTCTCTTTTCAATTTGTAATTGATACTTGGCACCTACTGTAAGCCCCATTGAAACCCCGAGCCTATTTCAAAAATCTTTCTACCATTTGTTATTGATGACCTTTTTTAAGAACCTATTGTAGGCCTAATGAAACTCCGGGACCATTTCAAACGTTGAGAAATACTACTTTAATCATCTCATATTACGAAGGCTAGTTAGAAAATAAGTGAATATCTGCGACTGCGCGACTACTTCAATCCAATTGATCTTTTCAGTAGCTACTCCATAATTATCTGATTGTTGTCAAAATATGTCTATTATGTTCACCAAAATTAATTATCCTTATAACAGAACCAGCCACAGACACATTATGGCCGAAACTTGCCATCGTTGACATGTACACCGACTCAATGTTCGCCACTCCAACTTATTGGACAGCAAATGAAAGATTGTTAGCTAATGGGTAAGTACAGACTTGTAGATAAAGGTGGAAGGCATGAGTTATCGAATTGTAACATAAGTTAACCACTTGCGGCGTAAAATAAAGGGTAGAAAAGTTCACATTTTACCAAATGATTGTAATGTTGGGGTGCTAATGTCTGGCGACAATGACTGACCAACGAACAAGTGTACAGTACGACCGTCAATGATCTATTCATATTAATGTTAATAAATACCATAGCTACAAACAATATGGTACATAATTATGTTTACCGGTATAAATGCATTATTTTTCACAGCACTGGCAGAACATACATGTACAGATTCAGTGAAAAATCAAATATACAAATCTGGCCGGAATGGATGGAGGCTGATCATATGGCTGAATTAGGATATGTATTTGGACATGATTACCGGGTAATGTAGATTTGAAATGAATTCATTTCTATATTTTCATTCTATATTTTTTATGAGAATGTACTTTTTGAAAGTTGGCTGCTCTCCTCTGACTAGTCTTGAGAGCCGTCCCGATCGAATGGGTATAGTTATCATACGCAATGTGCCCGATTAAAAAACTAATTTTGTATTTATATTTTACTGTTAAATCACATTGAAGATCAGCTGTTCGTAATAGTTATCCCTCATTTTGAAAGCAGATTCCAAATGCCGAAACATAAATTTATCTATCTTTTGTTTTCTCTATCTTTCTCTCGTTTTTATTTTTTACTTTTTATTTCGTTCTTGCGTTCTCATTTCTCTCTCTCGTTTTTTGAGTCTCTCCTTCTGCCTCTCTCTCTCTCTCTCTTTAGCTTCCTATTTCTCTCGTTTCTCTCATCTTCTCTCGTTTTTCAACTCTCTCTTTTTCGGGTCTAATCTCTCTCTCCCTATCTCTCTCATAATGAGTTTCTCCATTTCTGTCTATAACTCTGTTTTATTACATTTCACAGCGCAGAAACTTTACAGACGAAGAGTTGATACTAAGCAAAGCTATCATGACTTATTGGACTAATTTTGCTTGGAGTGGGTAAGAAGTTTTAACTGTTGATTTAAATTCATATATATATATATATAGATTATATTGATACATACCCCATTGTCCAAGTCTCAAGGGTACTCAAACTGGTGTTATGGAGCCCGTAAAAAGTTTACCTAATAGTTACGGAAGCACCACAAAACAAATAAAAAAAATGAAAATAAAAATGACTAATTGTTACTTACAGATTAGTGTTTTTTAGTAAACTAAAATTACGTTATTTAGGGACTTATATGTATTTGCTGCTTTATAATTAAAAATTATTCACTATTTTAATAAGTGGAAGCATGGATCGTGGAGCTCTAGATTTCTCACACGGAGACGTGGGGCTCCATATGACGCTCTCTGAGAACCTATGTTAAGATGTATATAATTCGAATATGCATGGTAATGCATTCACAACTGATAAAAAAAAAAGATATAGTTTGGTCGTCTTTTTGAATGCCTATACAGACTCAATCAGGGAAATATTATATGAATAATTCTGGTAGCAACCACCTGAAACTTGAAAAATGGGTTGTTTAAAAATAAGTGGTGATAAGTACTTGAGGGATTGACATAAAATAAACATAGATATGAGGGCGATATAACTTTAAAAACGCTGTAACCTTATTATTTTTAATATTGTTATTTTATCTCAGAAATCCCAATTATCCCAACCAAGGCGACATATTTGCAGAATGGCCTGAATTTACTTCTGATACAAAATATGCTCTTGAACTCAACTCCAGCACTGCATCGGAACCAGATAAATATCCTCATATTTTAAGTAATTACAGGTAAATATTGTAAAAATGTATAATATATGTACAACATAATAATAAAGCTATACACAATAACGCTAAAATACTAGTCATTTTACAGCAAAATCATATTGAAATTGCAGAAAAATTAGTGATGATTATTTTACAAGAGGGTTGTCGGAAAATTACTAATTCTTCTCACTGGAGAAAAATTGAAATTTTTTTCTATTTTCTGATATTCTTATTTAAACTGCTTCAAGTCGGGCTATGGTAGGCGTTTACTGACTGGCTTCGTACAACGTTCTCAAACGGTGGGGCGCGCCCAACAAAGGGGGCGAAGACAATTTTTTTTGAAGGGGAGTGAAGCTAATTAGATAAAAAAATATTTGTTAGATTTGATCTTCCCCGCCTTATTTTGGTTATTCACATTCTTTATTCACATTTTTTTATCTTGGATATTTACGTTTCATCCACGTATTTTCAGGGTGTTTTTGGAAAAAAAAAAATTCGCCCCATTATCTGTTATTTGTAGCTTTTTGCTAGCTAGTTATTTTTGAGGTGGGCGCGAGACTTGACAAATTCTAAAGAGGGAACGCGGATTCAAAGTTTGAGAACGACTGTTCTACAGAGTTCCAGCAGCACTTGGCATTGCAGTGATCGCCGGTAACTTTGCCCGGGTTACAATTATTTTAGTCTTGTTTTATTGTTTGCATTCTTATATTTTTTTTTTGTCCAGAGGAGAGATTGTTGAATTCTGGACAGATTTATTGAAATATATTTGGACTCTTCCGCTTGGTTCATGTCCAGCTGATAATTCAAAATCTAAGATTTCCGATTCGACGACAAATGTTGAAAAAACTGATATTAAGGTAAGTTTTATGAGAACAGTAATACACTCTTCTATTATAAATTACGATGATTATTTCAGAAATAAGCAACATTTTATCTGTGATATTTTACTTAAGTGATGGTATTTTAATATTCAATATTTTATTAATATATTATATCGACCGCAAATTACCGACCTTAAATTTGCACCCTTTGGCCAGGTCCAAAATATAAAATATTGTAATTAATTTACCACAAAGATTTTAATCATGTAAAAAAATTAGGAATGGATAAGTTCATTTTGATTAAATATGCAAACATGAAAATTTCAAATTTACAGTTTTATGACAGTTATTTTTTTATTCCCAATTTTAAATATTTGAAACATGGCTATTACATAAATTAATATTACGTTGTCGTTCATCTCCTTGCAGTCCTACCCTTCCACACAAGATTGCATATTAAATATTTATTAGACTTTGTCATTAATGCTTTCAGATTCAATCTAGAGCAGTAACATGTCCATCAGATCCTCTGATACGAGCTACAGAAAGTGGATGCGTACAAGGATATGAATATGAGTCTAATGGAAAAATAATTGAAAGATATCTTGGGATTCCATACGCTAAACCACCTATGGGTAATGAAGAAATAAACAAAAAAAATTTATATTGAATTTGTAACAAGAGACAGATCATGTTTTAATATAGTATTTGCATTGCTTGCTAAGCCCATGTTTTGTGAGAAGAGTCTATTGTTTTTCCTTCGAGTAAACCAAATCAAGTGCTTTATGTTTCATTGTGATTTCAGCAGCATTATTCCAGTCTCACGTTTTAGTAGTCGGTGCTTAGTTGTAATAACTTAGTTGAGCACGTTTTTGGAAAAACTAAAGTTGCTCAGGTGTTTTTTTTCTATTCCGTGACAATATTTTCAATCCAATTTATTTTTATTTCAGGTAACTTACGATTTTCAAAAGCAGAAAAATCTGACGAATGGTCTGGCAATCTCAATGCAACAAGTTATCAAAAAATTTGTCCACAAAATTCAGTTTTGGATGAAACGATGAGCGAGGATTGTTTGTATTTATGCGTATATGTTCCTCAAGTCAATGTTACTGCTGATACGACAGCAGGGTTGCCAGTTATGATCTGGATTCATGGTGGTGGATATCAAATTGGTAACGGGATGGAAAAATTGAAAGGTAAATGGAGATTCAAGAGTATTGATCGTTGAGTATTTTTAGATTTGATGTTGGAACTATGAATCATGCTAAATTGACGTTTTTCATGTTGTTGTACTGTACTGAACCCTCTAAATTATCAGTATTCAACAATGAAAGTGTCTTTTATGACTCTATAGATGGCCATGCTATATTGCGTACCAGAATAAATCTATTCTAAAAATCTATTTAGATAATAACGCTGTTCATCAAATGTATGATCGTTAAATTAATTCTACGCAAAAGTAGTGTCTGCTTTCGTTCGGAATATATCACTCGTTTATTCAAAACGTTTTTGCTTAACAAGGCTATTTTTTTGTTTCCACCTCGGCGTATGGAGAAAGAAAACTATTGTCGAGTTATTTGAAACTAACTATTTTAAATTCTAATAAAAATCTGTCTGTGTGAAAAAGGTGCAGATGCTTAAATTCACTACTGACACTATTAATTTGTTGTTTGGAAGTTGTCACGGAATTGCTAAAGAACTTTTGGCCCAATCAAATCCGTTCCTAATCAATTTACTGCAAAGGACATGATCACGGGTCTCCATATCAAATATTACTTTGTTATTGTGACATTCGATTTGATATTCCCGTAGTCTGTGTACCATGTTGGGGTTATGCCATAATTTTATTCCGATTTTTCTTATTGTAGTTCTATTACGAGTTCGGGGACTGCCTGTGTTGGCCAAGTGAATTATCCCCTGCTCATGGGTTTCAGTCCCTTTACACAACTTGATGTAGAGTAAGCAAACAAAATTAGTTACCTTCATATTGGTGCACATACTTCTTGAGCGCTTCTGTATCTTTTGCAGGTGACACCCTCGCTGCACTTGGTGACGTCATTGTGATTAATTTCAACTACAGACTTGGAAGTTTTGGATTCTTAACGACTGATGATGAATATTCTCGAGGAAATTATGGATTGTTTGATCAACAAATGGCTTTGAATTGGGTGAAAGATAACATCGGAAATTTTGGTGGTGATCCAGGTAAATGTGGTTACATATTGCCAGATGAATTTGAAAGTCTTTTTTCTACTTATACTAATGAATGTTGCCTCGAGCATCGATTTCCGTAACATTGACCAATCAGCGAGGTGGTGTAACCATTGGAATTTGAGAAGACGCTCAGACACATTTTTGCTTGGATAGACAGGCAGGGCAGTAAACATTAGCTCGTTTTCGTGGTAATGTTAGCTATTCGTCAGTTTAAAGTTATTTTTCGGAAATTTGGGTCTGAATGAGCTGCTCAGGTAATGCGCGATTTTGTAATACCTGTAGATATGACGTACTAACTTATATTAGAGTATTAGCTTGTTAAATAAAGTAAAATTGGAAAACAAATGGAAATTTGGGGAAATTAAACCAAATAACCACCAGTTTTCTCAATAATATGAAAATTGATTTTTCTTCTATTTTTTTCTTCGTTTTAGACCTTTTAATTCACACTATTTTTGCATCTTTTTCTGTCCAGATAAAATCACAATATTTGGGAACTCAGCAGGAGGTCAAAGTGTTTTGCTTCATTCACTGAGTCCAACTAACGTTGATCTAGGAATAAATAAAGCGATTATTGAAAGTTCTGCGATTATTCCGTATGACGACATGAAACAACTCAATAAAACTGTCAGGTTTGGACTCCTTTATTATTGAAACTTTGAAATTGTTTAAAAATTGCGCTTCGTTTATCCAATATTCATTTCAATACAATTTTTCTATTATATGTATTCGTTATTTTTTTTATTTTGTGCTTATTCACGAACTTCGTTCCAAACGAGGACGAGACTTAGTCACTGATATGAAAGGAGCTAATATTTCTGGTATCCGGAATCTTTCCGGATCGGCATTGCCTACCCAATATATTACACCCTGGATGAGATGTTTGTCAACATTACAATACGTGGTAATATTTATGATCCTTCTCGTTCAGCTTAGCGCAGGCGGCAACTTGTGACGTCAGTTCCGGAAATGATGCCATAGTCAATTGTTTACGTAATCTTGACGCAGCATCGTTGCTGGCTTTTCAATCCTCCACAGGACTAAGCTATCTTCCAACAATTGATGGAGAATTTTTTCCAAATCATCCACGAGAGCTTGCCACCGAAGACCAAGTCAAAAATTGGAATTATATTATTGGTAAATATTTTTTATTTTGACAATTCTTCAACAATATTAAATGTGGACTGGCGGGGGAAACCGTAACAAACTAGTGGTTTAGTGAACCAATTTGCAACGAGGAGGATACCAGCGACCCTCAGGCATATAAATATTTTTGAAAAGGTTGCAAACCTTAGAATCCGTGGAGATATTCAAAGTGCGACATATTTTCAGGCGTGCCTTAATGGAAAGCCATTTGACTCTACTCGAGTAGTTTGATATTTCATTCAACTTTCATTAGAGCTACACTGACTTCTATGGCTTGTGGCGGAGTCAAATTACAAATGATATTAAGTGGCAAATGTCTCAAAGTTGTCGTATCGCACTTAACTCACTCGTGGCAAATGTACTTGCACATCACAAATGGCTTCATACGCTTATCATAACCATTTGCCCAACGTTATATATGTATATCAACCCAAAGAAGCGGGGTGAGTGTGAGATACAAGTGGAACAAATGCAGTTCGAAGGAAATATTGTACTAGTGTGGAACGAATGTAAAGCAAATGTGGTGCAAGTGGTGCAACAGGGGGGATGGTACGGGTGGTACAAGAGGCACCTTTTTCAGACACCGCTGACGACAGCTAAATTAGGCATTCCTGAGTTATATACATGCGAATATGTTCTAATGTAGTAAGTATCAGTAACAATTAGACACAAGAATTAGTATGATTACAAAAGTTCATGCTCAGAGCAACATTATAAACTCAGTAGAATATATATTAGATTCTACCCAGGTGTAGAACAAGTCAGTCAAGTGTGAGGCTATTGCTATGACATTTTTGAGACATCATTTTAAGCACAGCGTAATACATAACCATATGTTCCAATGTTTGTGCATTATTTTATACTTAATGGTAACATTTGAAGCTAGTTATAATATTAAATATCACCATGTTTTTTTGTTATTCACTTTAATTAATTATCAATTTATCAGGTGCAAACAACGGAGATGGGAGTGTAAGATGGGGAGATGTACAAACAATTAATAATGAAGAGAAATTCCATGAAGTCATCAATAAATGGTTGGAAGCAACTTATGGTTGGAGAACAAGTTTAATAGATCAACAATATGCTGATTACGATGATTTGAATTTCTTTCAGGATGAACAGGTTACTTTCCTTCCTCTCTCTTCTTTCTTGGTCATTTTTCATCCTTAATTTTTCATCCTGAATCGTAATTTTTTCCCTTTTTCAGAAAATGCAAATTCATTTAACGAATTTATTTGGTCAAGAACGATACATCGGTCCTGCGTTACAAATTGCAGATGATCATATTCAACTCGGAGCCGAAGTTTATTTCTATTATTTCACGTATCCCCATGACAGGTTAGTATTCTTTGGCTCTTCCTAGTTTTTTTTAGTCACGTAACGCTGGTGGGTTACGACCTCTTTCACCATGAATTCCTCGCATCTGAATCAAATAACTGGCTAAATAAGACCATACCAGACATGAACTAGTAACTGGACGAGAGGCCGTTTATCGGCTTCCATCTACCCAAGGATAAAAAAGATGTCATATCCTTGTCTTTCAGTCAATTACGAAACTGATAAATTAAGATTTCATTAGAAAAGGTCTGGTAGGCTATTTAAATTTCTAATTTACACAATTAAATATCTTTAATGAATTTTATTTATTATTTATCACTTAGTCAACATTTGGAATTTACCCCTGCTGTTATTTTTTAGGCCAGATTTTTATGGATTTCCGTCATGGGCTGGCGCTGCTCATTCTGCGGAGTATTCTTTTGTATTCGGTGATGTCATTTATGATGTCACACAACCAGAAGAAGTCAAAGATTTGAGCAGAAGAATAATTCAGTATTGGAGCAATTTTGCGAAGACAGGGTAGGTTGGAGGTCTTTTGAAACTACTTACCAAATGTATGCTTTATTGTATTATGAATATAATACAACTAATTTGTATTTTAATCTTCTATATTAGTGCATTATTGCATTAGTCAGGCTGTGCCAAAATTTTAGGTCCCAGTCGGGCGATGTGGTTAATGCACTGGACTCAGCTATGTCAGAATTGCAGGTTCAAAATTTGGGTTAAAACTCCATGTCCGCCACCCAAGAATAGTAGCTTACCACATATCAGCTGATGCTTATGCAGAACCCTGTTTAAAGTGGAGCGTGAAAAACGTCGTATAAACATTTAGGCTATAAATTCTGATCAACGTAAGTAGTTCTGTACATCACTCGGGGTGAAATATGGCCTTTTAAAAACATGGTAGACATTCATACAGAGTCTCACTTAAAGTGAGGGTCTTGGACATAACATAAGAAGGCCGAGCTATGACGAATATGAAAGATTTTGTTGATTCCAATAAACGCTCAACACATTTATGTTTAATGGCTTGTTCCCAGAAACCATTTTGTAAAAAATATATATATTTATGTGTAACGAAATACAATATGAAACTCAAGATTAATGGATGTAAATAAACACTAGCTCTGTAAGTTTTTTATTGCCTAACTTTGATGCTTTGCGCTATTATTCTAAACTATTTTTGACTTTAGGAATCCTAATACAGGATATTCTATTGACCCTGAACCGGAACTAAATTGGGGAAACTACAAGGGGTCACGACCTGCATCTTCAGGGAAAAATTACATTCAACTTGATCTTGGTAACAAAACGATGATGTTGCAAAATTTACTTCCAACTGAAAATGCTTTCTGGAATGAACATTTGATCGCTGAAGCTGAATTCTGCGAAATTGAAATTGTGGAAGTAAGAATATGTATGTGTGTGTGCCATGTGTTGAAAAAGATTGGAAAACATATGAAGTGAGATTCATAATAAAATCATGGTTTTACGTAACAAGGTTCTCTCGCATATTATTTTCCTCCTCTTGGCCCTGAAGGCAGACACATTCACATTACCGTCATATTTGACGCGTTAATAAAGTTAACCAATTCACACAACAGTTAGTCAAAATAAGCTTCTCAAACTGGAGCTGGTAACCTGAACAGCATTCGATTTTTTTAGTGACTCGGAATCGTTTGTGAGATACATTTTACACAATTTCTTTATTTTTTGAATCTGTGTGTGTGTGTGCGACAGATTTATAACAAAATCGGAGTTTTATGTTTTATGTAACGGTTCGCTCGCATATTATTACTTCTTTTGGGCTCTGAAGGCGGGTACTTTCACATTACCGTCATACTTGTCGCATTAGTAATGTTTTCAAATTTACACAATGTGAGTCAAAACAATTTTCTCGAGCTGATAGTCTGAACGTCTTTTCGAATTTCTTAGCAGCTCGAAGTCGAAGTCACACGAAAGTTCAAACAATTTTCTCAACCTTGAGTTGGTAGTCCGAACGACATTCGAATTTCCTAATAGCTGGAAGTTGTTTGGAAGATACATTTGACTACACTGCCTTGTCACCGAAACCTGTGATCACCTCAGCCAGCGGACCCATCTGTAAAATGCACATTTTAAATAGTAATTACACAGTTTCTTCTATGTTTTTAGACAACAACTCCTGCGCCTCCCATAACTGACCCAGACAATCCCTTAGTAATGACGAGTGGAGGAAGAATTCGTGGAATGAGAATTAAGAATGAAATGTATGACGTTCATGTTTTCCTTGGAATTCCATTTGCAAAACCACCTGTTGGAAACAGAAGATTTACTAAATCAGAAAAAGCTGATCGTAAGTTGGATCGGGTTTATAACTTTCAATCCTTCTTATTAAAGTCAATGAAAGTAGTTGTATGGGAGTTCAGCATAAAAAACCCATCATATTAACAAACATAGATCTAAAATTTCATAACAATCTTCAGACCATTTTATAGGATCTTGATACAATTTTGTTGCTTTAATGGAAGACGTAGACGTAAAATTTTTAAAATTATTTTGTTACCACAATATCCAAAATGAATCTCTCAAATACATTCATAGTTGAACAAATAATTTAAATTCGTAAAGAGTAATTCATTACAAATATCCACAAAACGACTAAAGAACGTATATATCCGTCCATCATAACAAGTTTTGACCACACTATTTCCTGGGCGACTCCACAAATCTTTCCGAATATAAAGTGATTTACATTCTAAATAAAATTCGATTCTGCAAATATTCACAATACTTCGGCCACAAGTCGAAAATGGGTTCGCTCGTCCAACATACCGAATTTTAGTGTCATTTTTTTGCGTGGCCGGCTTCTAAAATTTTCAAAATCATCAGTTCTTAAAAATGATTCTAACTTGATCTAATTTTACAGCATGGACGAACATACTTGAAGCAAACATTCCAAAACCTCCTTGTCTTCAAACAACATTTGACGGAAATATGATCGGTGATGAAGATTGTCTTTATTTGGATGTTTTTATGCCAACTGGATTGATTGGTAGTGAGTATTCACAGGAAAATATTTATCATTATTATTCATACTTATCCTGAGAGAGAGAGCAAAGTTGCTGAGCTGTCATACCCAAGAAAATGCCGCAATTTTTTTTTATGAATGTCTTAGTACTTCACAAGTATTATCTTAGGTTATTTACTCCACTAATTGAAACAATTTAAAATTTCATAAGAAATATTACAGCTCAGAATAGAATAAGATATATATGTTTATCTTGTAAAAGAACAAAGATGTTAAGACGGCTTAATCATATGGCGAAACACGGCCTCTAGTCCGGTTACCAGTCCATGTCAGGTATTAGTTAGCCAGTTATTTGTTTTTTGTTACATGGACTACTCATTAGAATCTATTCAACATGCTGTGTAAATCCAAAATGTTTAATTTTTTATTCCAGCAAATACGACATCGACACCTGTAATGATGTGGATTCATGGCGATGCTAACGGAGAAGATCCTGGAAAATATGCTGGCAGTTTTTGGAGTGGTGGAGGGAGTCCAGGATGGAACTCCGAATACAACACCCTAGATCCATCATACATTGCAAGTTTCGGAGGAGTCGTGATAATTCGACCGAATTTTAGACTCGGAGCACTTGGATTTTTAACAACTGAAAATGACGTAATGAAAGGAAATTACGGACTTTCTGATCTTCGACAAGCATTGCTATGGGCAACTGAAAATGCTGGTAATTTTGCCGGGGATTCGAAGAAATTGACGTTGATCGGGCAAGGATCCGGAAGTGCAGCAGCTGAGTTATTGGTAAATTTCCTTGTTGAAAATAATAATTCATTTTTCTTTTTGATACGAAGCTATTCACTCAGATTAGTCCGAAAAGGGCCCGTACAAGCTGATACCACTGATATCTCACAATATGTAAGGGGTTACTATTTTTTAAAGGATCAAAATTTTTTCGGTTATTCATTGTCTACCCGATTTATTACACCCCGGAGGTGGTGAATTTTGAATCCAAGCTGTGTATAAACTGCGATGCTAACACGGCCAAGACAAATGCTTTAACCACTTGGCCATCATCTCAGCCACTATTTGGGAATTCTTTCAAAATCCTCTCACTCGCCATTACCTTTCACGGTTGAAATCCTGTGGAGGATAATATATGTAATTATATGTAAGGATTGTTGGACGCCCATCCCATTATAGGGTAAGTCACATAACCTCTGGTCAGTTACCGCTTTTTCCAATATCAAGCCCATTCATCTGAAATTGGTACTCCCGAAGTATGTGAACCAAGATGGCCGACAACGGAACGTAGTATGTGTACTAGGTATGGGTTAGATTATAACTTCAGGTACAAATAATATGGGAGTCACTTGGCTAGTCCCCGAACTCATGATAGGACTAAATTAAGGAAAATTGAAATAAAATTATGGCCTGACCCTAACCAGTTTAAATACTACGATCCAGTGTCCGCCATCTTGTTTCACATACTTCGGGAGTACCCTGAAATGAATAACAGGTTAATTATGTTTATGCTCTCAATGGACTGATAACTGGACCTGAGTTTGCCATATAATTAGGTCGTCTTATCAACTTTCCCCTCCCCCTGATAAATATCAATTTAACTCTATTCTTTTCTTTAACAGGCAATATTACCATCTACAAGATCCCACGTAAAAAGATCGATCAGTCAAAGTGGATCGATATTCTCACCCTGGGTTTTCTGTAATCCAGATGAATGTAGAAACATCGCTAAATCAGTGGCAGAATCGAACAATTGCGGAAATTTTGAAAACGAGGCTGAAACATTAGATTGCTTGCGTAACCTTAACGCAAATAATATTGTCCAATCAATCCCCTTAAAACCAGTGACGTCAAACTCTGATGACGTCAGTAATGCATGGGGCACTTGGAGATTTACAATTGATGGTGATATCATTCCAGATGACGTCAATATGACGCAATTATTTTTAGAATCGGAGACCGATTTTATGACTGGAACAACGAGTCACGAATTCTTCAGATATTTAAAGGTGAATCATGCTTATATTATTCAAAACAAATTTTCTTGATTTCATGACTATTTACACATATTCTCTCCAAACCCGGCTCTGTTTAAAAACAACTTTGAAAATATTATCGTTTTTATAGCATATTGTTTTCTACAAAAATATTCAAAAATATTTCGCTCAGAGTGAAATATTCGACATACAGACGTTTATGCCCTAGGCCATTTTGGCCCACGCCGGTTCGAATGCGTTCGATTATGAAGTATCGAATTATTATAACAATATTTAGAGTTGAATATAATTAAGCCATAGATTGTATAGCTGTTTCGGCGATCAGGTTTTTTCCTCTGCCGTATTGTTGCTAGACGTATCTCCGCACTCGATCCTGCAGGGGCCGACACGTCCGCGGGCCAAAATATACCGATTCATGATGGATATTATCATTCAGTAGGCAGATTGCAATTAGAAAACGCTTTTTATTGCAACAATCTGTTATAAAAACTAGATTACACCACAAAACTATTCAAATGATAGATTTAATTATGACCCATCTTTGACAAATTTCTCATTTTGTGCTAATTTTTTAATTAAACTATATAATTAAATAACGAAGATTTTCAACTTGAGTCAATATTTTTGTTATTCAGGCTGCATATCCAGATTCAGTAGGCAGATCACAATCAGAAAGCACTTTCCTTCAAACTGCTATAAAAGACACATATCGATTTCTGATTGGTGGAGAAATTGACCAATGGTCTCCTGAGTTATACAACACACTTACACATGAATATACAAACTGGGATGAAACAGAAAATGTTGAATTTGAATCTTCAGTCAAATATTTTACTGATTTCATGTTTGCTGTGGATTCATCAAGAAGTTTGGAAGCAAAATTAGAGTCAGGGTAAGATGAATTTATTATGTTTCGATAGATATGTCAGAAGACAATAGTGCGCTCAAATTTTGCATGGACAGATTAGAGTTTTCATATTTATCATGGGGGAAATAAAAGTCGATAGGTTGGCTTAATCATATGTTGAACGACCACTTGTTCACCGGTGTGGAAATATTCGTTGAAGATGAATTTATGGTGAATTGGTTAAATGGGATTAGGGGAAAATCATGTTGTCAAAAACTCGAACAATTTATGTTCAAACAATTCACGCTCAACAAAGCCAAAACCTCGCGAGCAAAAACCTTATAAAGTAATGGAACTAGGAAAAACGGGGAATTTTCTTGTAAAAGTAAAATCAGTTTTCGCGTAGCATTGTGAACCCACTCCAACTGCTCTATGTAGAAATGTTACAAAACGCGCTTTTTCGCGCCAAAAATATACGCATCACGTCTGCTAGGTACCGTTACTCCGTGTCGGAATACCGCTGATAAAAACGACTACGGATTGCCTACAGTAGCTCGAAGTTTCATGAAATTTTGACACTACGTAGATAATATACACGACTATGTCCTGGTATTTGAATTATTTCATTAGCGCATAAATTTCCCAACATTCGGAGCTTCTAAAAATTACGCTCACTTATACGTGCTGAAGGTTAATGATATTGTCTATGGACACTAATAAAATTTATATGGACACGTGTATTTCTTTCTTAACTTCATACTTGCCAATTTTTATGAAGTTTGTTTAATCAGAACATCATTAATTATTACCTGCAATGAACCACTGCCAAACTAATATGCACAACTTCAGCACTGATTTGCGACGATCTTCGGACGACCTCGATGACAGTTGCCAGAATAAAATTCTGAAATAGTCCCGATATTCCATAGATTCGACACATATCGAGAGATTAGTAAATAATATGTGTTTTTTTTTATAATATTCGATAAAATTTTTATTAAAAAAAGATAATTTCCAGACGTTTCACGAAACTGTACAAAATAATTCAAGGCAATGGTAATATGATCTTAGCCCGAGTCTGTCATGGCGCATAGATTATCGATTGACCGCCAAACTTTTCCCTCGCAACAATTCTCTCGTTTGTGTTTCACTAGACGCGGTAAATTTCTTACGAGTTAACATATTTAGAATTCCACATTGTATAACAAGGACCCGCACCGACCTAGGGAATGTACGAATATATACTCTTCTACAAGTCGTCTTTCATCTTGATACACCATAAACTGTGAACTGAAGCCTAAGGATTGTCAGCTACACTGCCTCACGTGAGAATTTATACGAAACGAGCAGCGCTTAAATAAACTGGCAGTTTCGATAACCCGTTCACCTAATTAATCGCGCTGCCGTTACAGATCCGGGATTCTTTAAGGGATATTAAATGGTAAATAAATGGTTCATTAAATAAGGTCGGATATGAAAAGCGCTAAATCAATTGATTGCCGCGTATGCGTGGACTAGCGTACTGGAGAAGGCCGTTGCCGACCAGAGGTTATGTGAAGTTCAGAGACTTCCCTTACATAATTTAATTGAAAAGCAGCTCATTTCTTTAGGAAATATTGTAAATTTTGTTCCATTAGGATTTTATGTTCTCAATATCTTTTCGTTCCAAATTTTGTTCCATTACCTTCAAAAATAGCGGAGATACAACTTATTATTTATCGGTCTTACCATCTTCCAGTAAGCGTATTGCTAACCTTATGAAAAAAATTGGCCTCTCGGACGGTACTAAAATACCGATATCTCCGTTATTTCCTGACCGTTTTTTCGCAAACTTGGTATCATTTTCTTATTTTCCCTTAGCTCTATTAACTGGCGGCGCAGTTTTTATATAAATAGATGACTTTATTTTTTTCGTAGCATTACTGTAAATGCTCGTTTTACCCCCGATCTCGAAATAAAAAGGGCCCGTTTGAATAGCCGCCCGTGTGAACAGAACATAAAAATATATAAGGGCCGGTGCTTGAATACCCGCCCGATGTAAATGCTGATTTTTGAGTGGTAGAGAACAATAGGAAATAAGAAGCGCTTTTGTCACATCGCCGTTGAATTTTAACCCAGGTAGATAACACTCACGCCTTAGGCGTCCAATTACATAACAGATAGCATTGATAGCATTTACTTAAAAAATAACAAGCGCCCGTGCTTGAATAAGGGCCGGTTTGAATAAGGGCCCGGTTAGTGAGTTTGGTTAAAAAAATATGGGCCCGGGCTACAAAACGAGCAAATACGGTACCTACTCCATGGGCCCATGGATCGGTCACAGGACCCTGCTTGTGAATCTCTGCTTTATGATTTGTTTACCGATACTTTTACAAATACTATTTTCTATTTCAGGATCGGATCTCTCTATCAATACGTTCTTACTCGACCTCTTGCATTATTGGACACTTCTTCGTTACCTGCATGGCTTGGAGGACGTCATGGTGATGACGTCATATACACGTTTGGTTTACCCTTCACACAACCTTCGAAGTTTTCGGACAGTGACAGAGAATTCAGTTTGGCAATGATTGGATATTGGACTAGTTTTGCGTGGGGAGGGTAAGGTTGAATTTCATTTTCAGTGGCTTCCATTTTTCAATTTCAGCGAAATTTTTACTCAATAAAAATTTTAGGGCGCTCCCGTAGTATTAGTACCAAGTTGGCGCACAACCTGCTTTCCCTAACTTGGTACACATACTATGTTCAGGTTGTGCGCCATCTTAGTACAAATACTACGAGAGCACCAATTTTAGTGATTAAATTATGAGGTGAAAATAGTTAAAAACTAAACTAAAAGGCTATTACATTTATCCTATCTATTTTGACATCATAGGTTAATCATTTTGACTTGTATCCCCATGTCCATGCCCCCCCCCCCCCCTCCCCCCATGCAAGATGTCATGTTGAAATGAAATTATCCTGGCTGAGTATTTTTCTACGAATGCTTTTCAAGACCCTTATTAGGAGAGAAATTTGAAAAACAATAAAATTAAACTTTTCATTTTCTGTGATTCAGAAACCCAAACAACGCATTTTCATCAAACACTTGGACAGAATATACAAATGAAAGAAAATCTTATTTGGAAATGAATTCAAATCTTATTCAGCCATTGAACAATCCAACTGATTATAACATCGAAAAAAACAATTTATGGAGCCAGGTTGTTCCTCAGTTTCCTAAAGGTTTGTTGCCGACATATTTTTCTATCGTTACTTCGACTTTTATGATTTTAAGTTGATTTCTCCCCTGACATATATAAAAAATAGGCCTTGATTGAAAAAGTAGAATTAGCCGAATATTTGTACGTTCCAAGTTCCCTCACCACACTTTCTCAATTAGTTTCGTGTAATCTAGACTCCATCTGACAAGCTCTAGACGAGCAATAGACATACAAATATAACTGGACGTTCCATTGGAAAATTTCTAGGAATCGTTTCACTTTTAGGGGGACATTAAAAAATAGCAAGTATACTAGACAAGTAGTAAAACACTATACCTTGAATTCATCTAGGAGGCGTGAGTAACTTTTAAATAATTAGTTGATGTATAATATTAAATCTTATAAAATAAGTATAAACAATAGAATTGTTTCAAGGATTTTTTTTAGTATGTAAATTTCTTAGTGTTTTTCGAAAAAAGAACAATTATTTAGGATTTTCATAAAAACATAAATTCTACAAATTTCATTACAAATTTTTTCAGTTCCTGTTCCTGCAACAACAACACCGATTTATTCTACAATTTCATCGATTTCTCCCACTGACCAGTGTCCAGACCCGATTCCACCTATCGGGGAAGGTCTTGGACTTTCCCTATCGCCAACTCAGGCCGATACCGCAATTTATGCCATGTTTAGTGTTTGTCTTATTCTTGGCGTGATTTTAATATTACTAATTGTTTTGTGGGTGTGTTATGGGCGTGGTGCACAAAGAAAAGGTGTGACTGCCGAAAAACGAAATAATACTCTACACGAAAATGCCGCTTTTGATAATAAATCTGAATCAAATAATTTTTCCGCTCTTTAAAATGGCGAATTTACTTTTAACTAATTCGGAAATTTAATATTTTTATAACGTAAAGTTATAATTGTCAACTTTATTTTCCGAACTCCGTTTACTAGTCTTTTCCTCAAACTTTCTAATTACAATTTTTTGCTGCAACAAATTATGATGTGTCAAGTTTGGATTGGTTGTTATGTAATTCTACGTACCTGTGACGTATTTATGTTTGTGCCGATCATAGCACGAGTCTAGCGATTAGTGATTTTTAACCTTATTTGGTGGCGCGGTGGTCTAATGAAACATTCCTAAGACTTGGGAAATTTAATTATCTTTTATATTCTGGATTGTCGAATGTAAATATATAAAGCAAACTTGAAAGTTGTTGAACAGAATTTTATCAAAAGGTGTTTGTTTATAATCAAACAATATACACATAATAATAACGACTCTTAGATTTGAATGTGAACTTGTGGAACTTCTGGGCTGCACTGACGGAACACAAAAATGTTTCGGAACCCTTGTTGATAACCACTGTCACTGACATATGAAAGATGTTCAGTTCTCCCTTGACCTGTCTGTTCTATACTGTCTAACTGTGTTAACCTGTTCCTATCGTAATTGAAATACGTAATACAAACGAAATACTGCACTTGTCTTTTAATATCGTCAAAGTATTGTTGAAACCGATGGTGGAATTTAAAATTGTAAGAACGGATCATTTTTGTATCGAACACACTGACAGCATGTTCCCTCACTCAGAAAATGCAATTATGCGACAACTTAGGCCATATTGACATACCTTTCGAAGCGCCAAATAAAACGTTCGTCATCAGCTGCGGTGCATGTTACTCATTTGATTTGGTAGTCCAACATCTAAAACTAATACGTGACGCGGACCCGCTGAATCCCGCCTCTACTAATGACACTCGAAACTAACAATACGTCGAGCATACGTTTTCTCTTACGCATTTTGAAACGGGCATGTAAAGTTTACCGGTCTCAGCAGCAGCAGAGTACTGATCGACACCGTAGACGTAGAAGGAAGGTTGAGTTGTTTCGTACAGAACTGTGACTGTTTGGCATGTTTTCGTGGAGCTAGTGTCATACCGCCGAAGTCGGAGTTAAAATACTCTATTCGTCAGAGTTGGAATTGCAATTTGTTACAGAAAATCAAAAAGCATTAAGTTTACTAAGCTTTCTTAGATAGTCTTTTGAGGGAGGCTTGGATAACCCGAAGTTTTTGATTCGTTGGATCTGGAGTCGAAATTTCCTACAATTCGAAGTTGGGAGTATTCGATTGTAAATTTTCACCGAATCCGAAACTCTAGATCCATGTGTCTCAGTTTTAACTCATTATGGCGATAGTGCAGCAAAAATCTTTAATTTGATAGAATAACTTTTTTAAGTTAGCAATTTTATTTAGATGAAAAAAGCACTATTTGCCGTTTATGATTTCACAATTTTTTTTCAAATTGGGTCGTTTCAGAAGAAGGTCAGGAACCGCTAAACCCATGGTCTACCACCCGTAAAACGATTAACATTACAAGCATGATAAGTTTTTATTACATAGTTACAGCTAGAGAAATAATAACAAAAGTAGGATGCAGTGAATATAGCCGCAAATGATTGCTGTTGTGGAATACTTTTGTCAAAGAAAAAGTCTAATGAACGTATACCGTCTTACAACATTACCGTTGGTCACAGTCAAGATGGAGGCTAATCTCGATTCAAATGCTTCGTAAAGTGAGTCTTGTATTAGAGACCAATTCATAGCAAGTTTGTCAATGACTCGATAGATTAGAAATGAACTTATTATTGATGATTAAACAATCCCGTTCTTGCACCACCTAATATTCACAAAAGGCCCCTAAGCGGTACCATCCACGATCTGCAGTGTGCAACCCTTGTAGGTCTGTTTTAGGGTTCATTTTTACAACTAAACCAATCAAATATTGATCATCAAGATTTATCGGATGACCGTAGTGCCACATCGTATAGGGTGCAGGGTTCCCATTCGAGAGAAACGTGTTTCCCGTCTGCAAAAACATGTAAATGTTAACAAAATAGAAATTTTGGCGGTGATAACTTTGGAACATTTTTAAGAATCAAGTGAAATTTAGCAGACCGCATGTAACTATTTGTGGCCAGTTCTAAATCGTGCATGATTTCAAATTTGTTCAGAAGACAAATTATTGATCCATTGAGGTTGTGAATTTTTTTTATATTTTCAATGTAATTGCAACTAATTGGAAGAGTAAATCCATTTTTTCTCCATTTCCAAGATTCGTCAAAATTTCCGTTCGAGTCTCAGTACAAGTCATGTTGATGGTTAGTCGAATTCAATCCGAATCATTTCTCTCAGATAGCTCGAGTAATTGAAAAACTTGACTCGTTTCGAGTCAACGAGTCAAGTCTGCTCAACATTTACTGCCTATTTACAGGTGTTATATTACTTACATATGGATTGTGCGACATCCCAAGCCAAATGAAAATATCTCGTGATTTTCGGCGAAGATATTCAATCACGAGACTGTAGTGGTTTTCAGAGTAAATATTAGCAAGTTCCCAACCATTTGACTCGCACATATTGGTAGCATCTGAAATGGTTACGTCTTGTTCGTCGTGTAAGATGGCTTGAAAGCATTTGCCGTTGTAAAAAAGTGCAGCACAGACTTCTGAATGTGTATACAAAGTTGCAAATGTAATCGGAATATTGAACAGAACTCACATCAGTTTTGATGGGGAGCGCATATCGTTAATCAAAGTCGAAAGTTTTTTTTTTATACTTTTCAAGGTTCTAACTTGCTTTATTTTCTTGCCATCACAAGATTTGACTTTTGCGAGAATAAAATTCGATAAAAATTTTTCGATAAAATTCAATTTTTCGATAAAAAACATTCAAACTGTTTAGTTTAGACCTGAGTTTTTTATGACAATTATTTAGAATTCCAGAATACTTTTGTTGTATATATAAAATTTATGCACATAAATACATACCGAGGATTTATAAATGACATACAATTGCGTGTAACTCATATTTTCGGACCCAATCATATTTTCGATTTGATAAACTAACTATTAGCTAAGATTTTCTGATTAGGACATCGACGATTAAATATGTTATCTCCTGCTTAGGGTCACGCATGTATCCAAATAGCAGTTAAATAGCTTTCGAGTGACTGCTAATACAATGTTCAGCCAAAGCTCTTTGTGTGTGATACACTACATGCTTGTTTCGAAATAACCTGAATTTCGTTTCACCAACATGCTGATAGTTCTGTTCATTTGATCCATCATTTCCGACATTTTGACAATTCTGGTTTTCATAGAATCGGTAGCTTTAAAAAAAGCAGAAAAGTATTATCACACTATTTTGGTTATAGAGATTCATATATGGGTTTTTAAAGTTTCCATCGGTAGAGGTTTCAACGTAGAGTGAGTCACTCTACTAAAGCCCTACACTCGAACGAAACTTGATCGAACATATCTCGAAAAAAACTAGTCCTAATCGAGCATAGAGAAATTTATTCAAAACAGGTCATGTTATGTTTTGTAATCTGAATATTGGACGTTAATAAATGACCAAATTAATATATTTGATCACGGCGTGATTATAAGGTCCCACCGGGAACATCGAGGCTAATTTTTCGCTGTTGGTGTAAGACACGGTAGTGATCACATATTGTATGATTGAAATTTTCCGGTCGAAAAGAATTGAAGAATCTTCCTAGAGGTTATGAAGTTTTGAAATATCGTGATATGGGCGATTCCGTTCTGAGCTGACGACTAGGGCTATATTTGGCGTTGGCCTATAAATTAGTTTTATATGTGAAGGGTATCAATGTAGCGTACGTAGGGACATACATCGTAATGTTTTTCTGAAATAAGAGCACATTTTAGTGAGTTCCATACAAAAGAGAACCGGGTTTTAAATTTTTGACTCTCAGCTCTGTCTTCACGAATTATAATATGTATGTGGAACGAATGTTAGACAAGGGAACGGGATAAGGCGTAGGCAACATATAAGCGGTTTTATCGTAAACAAAAAAATTTCCCAAATGAAAACTTAGTTTATTCTCAGTAAAACTATTTTAATCGTAGTTACCTGCTGAAATTTTTGCTTCAATAATGTCATCAACCCTCTCGTAATCAACGGTTCCTTTTGGTCCAATATCCCCCTTATCACCTTTGAACCCTTGGGCGCCGCGTTTACCGGGTCTGCCTTGTGTAGTTTGGTTCCCATGTGACGTCACAGGACTATCTGGCGTCAGAAACAATGCACATATTCGCTGGCACACTTGTTGCTGATTGCCGAGTCCACATGATAGACTGATTGCAAGTGCGCATAACGTGATCTTGAATATAAGACTGGCTCTCATCCTTGCACTAGGTGTATTTTCAAAATACCGCTCTTACAAATAAGGTATTGAAATCTAGTGCATACTTGATCACAAAGCAATACTGCAAATATTGAGAAAAAATTAACCTTTTATGCGTAATGGAAATATTTGTGATGATATTTGAGGCATTACCAAGCTTGGGACGGATTGCAATACAAGTGTCTCTTTCCTTACCTTGTTCACTTTCCATTGCTATTACCAAATCGCGAGTTACAATTACATTGAAATTCATAATAAATTGTATTGAAATTTTAAATTCCCACAAAATTACAGGAAATACTCCAAACCTTTTTCTGTACAATACATAAGCAAAGAGTAACTTTGACGATGCATTACCTTAACATAGCACAATCAAATCGATAACATTTTTAATATCAATACAATATGTGATTTATTTGACGCGAAGGAGACCAATGCGTGTATATTTTTTGTATTTGTTTTTCCTATCTCCTCATTAACTATTTGATACATCTTTAGAGCGCTGAAAGTCAGCAACTTTGAATATTCCGTTTTAAACAGAAATCCAATAAATCAAAGTTTACTATGAATTTTGAATGAAGACTAATTACTATTGTATCTCTATACATTTTCACTGGACTCTCAAAACCAGTTGTTTTACCCAACGTTTCCTATTTTCGAAAAAATTGCCACCGTACGGATTTTTTGCTCAGCCTAAAATTGCTCGTACAAGGAAAATGACGTATTCGTGTTGACGGTGGTAGACACTGACGATATGGTACATCATGTCGATATAGTTGTTCATTGATGTATGGTTCAGTAGACAAAACTGAATTTAGATAGTTCATAAAAGGTGATTCGCATGAGACAACACGGCTGAAATTTATGAGAATATGATGGGAGACTTCTAATATAGAAATCTTCTCGCTGTACATAACGTTTAACAACCCACAAATAGAAGAAAATAATTTCAAAGTATGACCTGATCTCAAATTAGAGATGCGCTTAGCTCTTCGACACAAGTATCGACACAGCTTCTTGTAAAATACACGAATATTACTTTCACGTATTTGGAAAAGTATGCTGAATTGGACCCGAAGGCATCTATAGGAGCATTACGTGTTTTATTTTCGCGCTACTAGTGCTATGAAGGGGTTTATGACTAATATGGCAACATCAAAAAAGGTCCGCAAAATAATAAAGGGGGTTGAGAAAACTGATCTAAAGCATGGGTTTTCAAAGTGCTACATACGGAGCCCCAGAGTACGGTGCAAGAAGCCACGTGCCTCCGCGAGCTATTCGTTTACTTATTAAAACACTGACTTGGTTAATAACTGTCCAAAGAAGCAGTAACAGTATTAATGAAATTTTACAACGGTAACGTGAATTCTAATATGAATTTATCTAAACGCTGTAATAAATAATGCCATTTTTTAATTACCGCCTTGTTACCAGATTTTGACACTTATTCATTGATATGTTTGTGAAATTGTTAAATCTCTGTGTCAAATTTATTGTTGAGCTCTGTAAATAATAGTCAACACCTTCACGGGCCCCAAAATGCTAAAAGTTGAGGAACCCGTAATATAAAATACTCAACGACTACATTGTTGATATAGTAACTTGATATTATTTCAAATTTGAAATTGTCCGTTACGGCATCGAATTCCGCGCCAAAATATACATCAAGTTTCAAACGCGAAAGATTCTTTCCTGTAGAATAAATATACAGAGTCCGGATAGTAACATAATAGATAATTATTTATTCGTTTTTACAACAGCGAATAACACTACTAAAATATTCCACAAAATAGGTGATATATTAGTGTAACTCATAATTCATTTTCATTATTGAGGGCATTTATGAAATGCTTTGCGCGATGCAATTCATACGAATGATTGGCCCATGTGAAAATGAACATCAATTACCAAGTTATGCATGTTAAATTATGATTATTTTTAAAAGGGTCTCATAATCGACGCGTTTGGCGTTCAAACATTGGAAAAACATTCGAAACGAAATCTTTCCTATTCCGATTGTAAACTACCAAAACATTATTTGAAAGCGATGTTTCAACTATATTATGCCATTGTCTTGGAAATCTTCCTCGCTACCACAGAAACTGTTGCTGCCGACCTCTTTATATAATAGGGTAAGTCTAGTTATTGTAAATGCTTACAAATCGGCACAGTAAAACCAAAATAGCTTTTTAGAGAAGAACTTCTCTGATCTTTCATTATTAATGTTGGATCAGGGGACATCTTTAGCTTTGTGTTTCAATGCTGTGTCTGTTTCAGTTTTGATTTTAGGAGATGCCTTATGCTTACATTTACATTTGATCTTTAGATCTGAAAATTACAAAATACCATCTTCTCAAAACCTCGAAATTTTACATAATCTAATTTTGCTCTACCTCCAAAATAACATTCCTAAATTATCAACCAACAAAAATAATTTTCAACTGAGAGCTTATTGCTCCATCAACGAAATTATTTTCACAACAGGAACGCGAAGATGAAGACGCTTCTATTTCTTTTCTTTCTGTTCCTGGCAACTTTCCGATCTGCTACTGCTAGATGCTCGTGAGTACATAAATAGGACTCGAACTGTATATTTATTCCGGGGGAGAGCCAATATGACGCCTTGCTCATTCATATGACGAACCACGGCATTTCGTCCGGTTACCAGTCCATGCCGGGTATGAGATTAGTTAGCCAGTTATTTTGTTTTAGATGCATGGACTTGCTGGTGGATAAACCACCCTACGGTGGGGTGAGAAGTGCAGCAGTCTACTTGCACATGATTATTCTTCGCGGGATTCGAACCTGCGAACCCACGAATGATAATGGTTGCCGGGCGTATTACTAACCCCTGGCACGATGCGCCACACCGATCTGAAAAAAATACGTTAAATAAACTTTTATCAGTGCTCTTTTACATTTTTGGTTAAGATTTCTAGCTGTGAGTGAATTTATATATTAACTGTATATCTTAACAAAACTGAATATTAAAAAAAATTATACAGGAACTGAATCATTTTTAAAATTTTATGGGGTCTTACAGTTGCAGCTTTTTTTTTATAATGTATTGACAAACTTTTGAAATTGTAACGTTTCTTCTAATTCTTTTTGTAGGAGTTATAAGTGCAAGAGGGGAAAGTCCGTTGAAGTAATTGGTAAGACAATAATTAGACACACGATTATATATATTTCGCAGCTGTTACGTTCAGTGGTTTCAAGCCCGGTGGAATACGACAATATAAATAGACTTATCGCTAACGAAGGGCGGTTTGTGAATCTCTGAACTTTCATGGCACTCTACATGACACCATTTCTTTTCATTAGATAATAATATTTTCCTATCCAAACTGCCCAACATATGATATCGTTAAGATGCCTTGTCGAACAGGGCTTCAAATGACCTTGTGGCTAATTATTTTTAATTGTGTCTTGTTTAAAATGACTATCATAACATTACCAACTCGGCAACTAGTTATGAGTAAGACTTACCTTCATATTTTCAATGAAGCTATGATGATATGATGTTTTTCAAATGTGACACCAAAATTATACCGTACCGTCCAGCAAACGGGGTGCAGTTATTACCATTTCATGGTAGCTCCTGCCACGAACGAAACGCGCGTCTCTTTCCATGGTTTTATGGCGCTATTATCGGTATATTCACAAAGTCATGTACCAGATTTTAGTTTATCATGCGGAATTATATCTACTTAACCTGAAACTTAACCCCAAATCTATCAAAACTGTATTCATAAGGTAAATGTGCCAACTTACCCAAAGTTTGTCACCATCAGACAGCCCTGTCATTACAGCCAACATGCCTTGGTTTGTGGCAGCAAAATTCTACCATTGGTTTTCAATTTGCTGCTGTGATGCCCGCCTCGCGCTATTGGTTCGTGGCAGCTAAGAAGTCAGCCCGCATGGTTTGACCAAAGCGGCCGTGGTTTGGAAATCCCGCCATGGTTTTGCGGCAGCTTCGGACGCCACAAAATACTAAAAAACTGCGCTTTTACAAACCAAATGCTCAACAGAACCTTACGTCATGGTCAAGCTCCATTTATTTATCAAAGGCGATGCCAGTTTTAATAAAAACAATGCAAGCGGATTTGACTCATGTTGTAAAAAAACATCATTTTTAGTATTTTAAAGTTTTTTAAATAATTTCAGAGCCTCGTGAAGAAGATGCAAACGTTATCGAGGTCCCGAAATTCGAAGAGCACGTTCAATCTATCCCACACTTTCCTCTGGATGATGACGCTTTTATACAACATCCCAGGCAAAAGTTCATATTGAAACCAAGACTTAAGAATAATCTTGACGACCGCGTTATACTGGCAATTCCTGAATTTGAAATAGAAGATTTTGATTATAACTTTAATTAAATCTTGAAAATATTTATTGATAGTTATTGCAGGAAGAATCATTTTGGAATCTCGCGAAATAGTTGATGAACGGAATGTATGGACTTTCTGGTTTTAATGATTTACATGTTTAGTTTATTGGGGTAAATTTTCATCTGATTTATGTTGATTTTCTTGAACTAAACTTCACTATTACTTCGTTTTGTATTTTTGTGTTCTATGTAGTGACTTTTCCATGTTCTGAGTTTCATTTTTTATGAAATAAATTTCAATATTTGCTACTAATGTGCAGTATGTCTTGCAGTCGTTTTTTACGCTCATGTAGCCTCATTCACGCTATCCGAATTTTACATTTTGCGGTATTTTATGTAATTGTTACTCATCTCTGCGAAAATCTAAATGCTATGCTATGAGTTGATCACCCTTATCATTGCAAATAGGTATTTGAGTTAAAAGGCGAAAACGCCTGAACCAACAGTCTGTGTGTCCTTCATTAATTCCCTTCAGAATAGAAGATCGTCGAAGCATTGGAACACCATTGCAAATGTGTCGCAGCAAGAATAGTTTGGCGGGAATAGTCTCTGAAAAGCAGAATAAGAAAATTTTCGTTTGATATTCGGCAAGAAATTCCTGATATAAAAAGTATTCCGCGGACCAACAAAGGTAGAAAATC